AAAAAAACATGGGTTTAAAGGAGCGAGAATCTGGGTCTCTCCTCCTTCTGAGGCTTGTAGCGAAAGAACAGTAACACAGAGAAAATGAAACCCATTCTGAAAAGCTGACAAAAGTTCCTACTTTTTGAGTTATAATTTGTTTTGGTAGTCCAAACGGTCTGGGGTAGTAAAGAGTTGTTCACAGAAGATGTGAAGTTCAAAAGTTACAGTGCGGAATTCTCAAGTTAGAGTGAGAAGAGACATATTTTTAAATTTGAATTTTCTCAAACAAATGAACCGTACGACCACAATGTTTGGAGTACAGTCAAGAATTATAGCTCAAAACGAAGGTATGTTCGGTAACTGTAAGCCAGCGTGTGTCTCATTTTAATCTGACCTACGGTTCTCTCGGTACAACGCCGGAAATGGAGCAAGGGAGGGTCACTGCTCCTATCTTTCCCCATTATAACTTTTGTGAATTTTTCTGAAAATTTCATGTCGTACCTCAACTTCTACCTGCGATTTTAGAAAAACCGTAAAAGATATCAAAAAGCCTCTTTAATATGTTAAACAGGAAAGTCTTGTGAGTTTGTTAAACTTTGAATGAAGTCTCTGAGTTAAAAGGAACCCTATAGAGTTTGAGGTAAAAAAAAGTGATAGGAATTTGCTGAAAATTGTCCAATCCCATTGATTTCAATGGGAAATTTTTCACAGAAAAAGCTTAATAACTCGAAAAATTTGAAAGATATAAATGCCAAAAGTAATAGCTGGAAAGAGCTTAACGAGCTGAATGTTTTGATATAAAATTGTTGAAATAGCTCAAAATTTGAAGGAGAAGAAGAGGTTCAAAAAGTGTACGGAAGCAGAATAAGAAGAAGAAGAAGGGGAAACAGGAAAACAATAGTTTGAATGCTTACCAGCATGCACCCGTTACCTTTAAATCGGATGTCTGGGCTAATTTCGGTTTTGGGATCCTGGATGTGAAAGAATCACTTAACACAGTATTTGTTTACTATTTTTAAGTTCAGTAATATTCTATCTTAAAGCTGCTCTACCGAAAACATTATTTCTTATTATTTAAGTAATTATAGGCAGCACACTTTAAAAATTATTGCTCACTATAGTGAATAGATAAATGTTCTGTTTTTCAGGGATTTCGAAATCAAAAAGAAATTGAAAACTATTCTACTGCTTTTATTAAGTAATGAAAATTTTTGTGTGAAGAATCGTGATGCATTTCAGACTCAAATCGAATCGTTAGGCAGATAATCGGAATCTGATCAAATCGTGAGGCAAGTAGAGATGCACACACACACACACACACACACACACACACACACACACACACACACACACACACACACACACACACACACACACACACACACACACACACACACACACACACACACACACACACCAACATTTTTCATCCCAGCCATCAAACATTTCTTCATTCCAGGTGAACCACAGGTGATTTCCATGAATGTTTATCTGTTCATCTGAGGTACACAGATAAAGAAAGGGGGCGGACGCTCGTGTCTCGGGTAATGTAACCCTTTAGTGTAGAGATTTTGACTCATTCACCATGCTGCTCTCTGTGGTGCTGCTGCTGCTGCTGCTGCTCGTCAGCACGACTCAAGCTGGGTTTTACGGTTACGTGTTCACCTACACTGTTAAAAGCTTTCAGGGAGGTGGACTAATGGTGAGTTACGATTCTATGTGAACTCCTTTTGCTGCTTTTTAAATACTCATTTTGCTTCCCATCTCTTATGTCAAAGGGAGTCAGCCATGCGACAGTGGGCTTCAGCTCATGCCAAGAAGCCGTCTCAGTGTACTGTGGTGGCGGCTGTGATCAGATTGATGAAAGCAGTGGAGAGTGGTGTCAGAAGGAACAAATCTGGTACTGGAGCGACACTGTTGCTCTACATCAGGCAGAGTGAGTCTCCCTCGGGGTTTTAGAAAAATGGGACTTTCTGAAGAAAAGATGAACCCTCTGCTGTTGTCAGCTCATGAAATTCCATTTGTTCAAATGTTTTGTCGTCCCCCCCCAGTATTACTTATGGGAGCTGGACACCAAACAACAACAACGTTTTATCATGGAGGTATGTGTTATATATCGAACTGAGGAACCGGTCTGACACTGGGAAGCCCAACTCTTCACCACAGACCACCATCCTCCCTGCTCTAAGGTAGCTGCACTTATGGGGGAACCTTTTGTCCTGTCCTGAGTCCCATTCCCTTAACTCATGTTACTATTCAGCCTTTACATTCAAACGTCTCATTCCAGCCCCTCTTCTGCCCTTCATTGTTCTCCCCTTTCCTATATTTAATCTTTATCAGATTAGTACATCAGATTTGTGTGTTTTACTTCCTTTTCTTCCTCGTTTATGGCTAATTAAGCCTTGAGTTTGACTTTAGTCCCTAGAGTTCAGTTTTATCCTCATTCATCTCCTGTTTTCTCCTCCTTTCCCCACATTTGTTTCATTTAGTTCCTTAGTTTCTCAGTTATTCTCTAGTTTTATTAGTTTACTTTAATAATTATTATTTTGGTCTTCAGTTAGCTTTAAAGCATTCACACATGATATCTCAACTCCACCCTGTTTACTTTATTACATTTAGTCAGTGTTTGATTGTTTATCGTGTTCAGGTCAGTTCTTCTCTTGTCTTTTATACTGCCTCCCATTCCTCAATTAGTCACACCTGTGGGGCATTGTCATTAGCAATCACCTCACCTGTTCCATTATCTGTGTGTGCAAACCCAGCTCTATCTCTGGCTCCTCGTGTCCCTGTTCTGTTCCAGGTCTTGCTCCTAAAATGTCCTGGGGTCTCATTTATCAAACATTGTGTAGAGTCCTTACTAAAACCGTACTTAAGCTCAGCAAAAAATAATGTACCTACGCCAAGTAGGTTTGTGATCTATCAAACATGGAGTTCGCACAGCTGCTTGCAATCTCCGCTTCATGAATCGGAGACTAACGAGAACGTTTCTCAGCTGCATTTTAATCAGATCCCGCCGTCACCACGCCCACTTACTGCCATAAATAGTCAATGAAAAGTGCCTTGTGGACCTCATGCATTTACATAAGCTGGCTGTTGCAGCGCTCCGCCAATGACATGGCGACCGTAGATCAAGGCAGATCAAGGAAGCGCTATTTCACAAGCAGAAATTGAGGTACCTATGGGTGAGGTGGAGAAATGAAAGGAAGTGCTTTTGCAAAACAAATAAGAGAAAATCCACGGAGTGGTACAGTGTTGCTGAAGCCGTCAATGTTGTGAATTCTTTAGAGAGATCTGTGGCGGATATAAAAAAAGGGTCCAATCAGGGTTTGATCCTCAGACTCCCAGGTGTAAGTCACGTGCTAACCAGTCAGCCAAACAGGGAACTCCACTGTTCTAAGACTAAGTAGCCAGGGCGCATGATCAATCGGGTCGCAGTGACAGGACACACACTGTCACAGACACATGACATTCTGTCTCAATCTGTCCCCCTGCTGATATTCTGCATTCTGTATTCTGCGCTTCAGGCGTGCGCGTGTGTGTGTATGAGTGTGCGGGCATGTGTGTGTATGCACACGTGTGTGTGCATGTAGGGGGTCTTGCTTTGTGTGACAACGAAGCAGTACAAGTGATAATGCTCCAGGATTTCATAATTGTATCCTTCTCAGCAGCAGCACTGCAGGTGCTCTCCATGTCCAAAATGTGTGTAAGCGAAGTCCTTAGTCAACTTAAAGTTGCGCAAATTTTCCCGCTAAGTTTTCTTTCATAAATCCCAAAGTTTGTGTGGAAAGTTGCTTACGCAGTTTTCCGACCCCGTTTTGTGCGTAAGCAAGCTTGATGAATGAGGCCCCTGGTTATTTTTACCTTCCCAGGATGCCTCCTGGATTGAGTCTTTACCCCAATATTTCCTGCCCCTTTTCTGTTTGTGTTGATTTACTACTGTCGTCGGTCAGAAGCTGCTTCCTAACGAGAGCTGTTGTACGTGAAACTCTTCAGATCAACATGGAGGTTAACAGAGATGTGGGAATTGTGGTAAATCTGATCTTTTTCTCGATCAGTCCAAATCTCCTAGTTTAACACAGAATCACCAACGATCTGAAAACTGAGTTGTTTTTCCACTGATCATCGTGGCTGGTAAAGGACCTAAGAACAAGAGAAACAAGTCTGTTGAGTCAGTCTGCACTTTACTGGAAATGTCTTGTACATCACTCAAAAAAATAAATTCCCAACTGACTGAAATATGTATGAACCAAAGCAGCAGCCCTAGCAGGAAAGACCAGCCCGACCACTTCTACTAGCTCCTCCAGCGAGAGACCAAGGTGATCCCACGCCAGCTTACAAAAACAACACTTACTGGGTTTGCCCCAGGGGTATCCAGCAGCCCAGGTCTTCTCCCATTTTCCCAACTGGTCCCAACCATATTTCTAGCCTAGCACGTACGAGAGGAACGAATAAAAAAGTGTTTAAAATTGCTTTTTTTGGTTTTATTTTCACCAAGGCAGCAGAATCAATACATATATTTTGATTATGTATTAGTTTAAATTATTCAGTTGCTTTCAAATGCCAAAACCTTATGTTCTGACAAAATCCAACCTTTAAAAAATGTACACACCTAAAATGCAAATAAAAGACTTTTTAAGGTATTCTGAAATGTGTTTCTGTAGAAAATAGATGAAAAATGTATTTAAAAAAAATGTAAATTTAGTAATACAGCTCCTGACCTCAGTTTGGAGAAGCAGAGATGCTTGCCACTATCTGTTTATAACAGAACCGATGTGAATGCGTGAAAGTGATTTGTTGTGATATTTTGCTTTTCAGAGTTCCTTCAAACTGTCAGAGAAATATCAACTTGTTGACCTTTGACCCTGATGGAGACGAGGTCAAATGTAGATATGCAAAGGGATCCTTGTCAGAGTGCAACGACTGCACACCGCCGTCTGTCCTCAACCTGTCATCAGTGAGTAACAGGCCACCAGACCATGAGGCGGTTAACATCAGTGGAACAGATGCATCTGCCACTGATGCTTCAATTTCCAAGATTTTTGTGTATTTTTATAATAAGAAGCTCAGTGAAGGTTCTCAGTCATCAAGGCATTGCAAGGGCATCCCTTTGTTTTAATATTGCAGGGGACAATTATTATTAATTAATATGTAAGTTTTTTTATGTTTCATTTCAATTATGCAGTGCAGTGTAACGACAGCTGTTTCAAATCAGAGCTTTATTGAATACATGAAAGTGAAAAACCTGAGGTCGATCCCACATTTACTGATTACAATGTGAGTCATGACCTCTGGGCCACAGCAGAAATTAGACACCCTCTGAAAAAAAACACCTGTAGAATAATGCGTAGCTTACTTGTGACAACTCCGTATTTCTGCACCAGAGCCAAACTGTCTGTGATCCGCTGGATTGAATTAAATAAATAAAATAGGTGCAATCTCACAGTAGGACTGTCCGGGAGAAACATGGAACCAACATCCAACAAAACTGTGCTTTAGGTGAAGCCTTAACAGTAAAACTGTCGAAATCATTACTTTTTTCATTCTAGTTCATTTGTGAGCTCGACATTGTGTCACGACCAATTTTCTTAATCTTCTTCTTTGAGCTGTTTTGTGGCGGTGACTAGCAAGCTGGACTGTGACTGGCATTCTAAACACTATGTATGTCAAAATTAAAAAATAATCAAGAATAAAAACAAAACAGAAATGTTCCGTAGGTCTGGGGCTGGAAACAATGTTAAAGGTACATGCTGCCATCTCTGTAACCCCACGTGTTTTGTGGACAATGTAGAGCCAATTTAAAAGTAACTCTAAACCAAAACATGACTAAGTCAGCTGATATAAACCACAACATTTGGGGTTTAAATAATTGCAAATTATTGGAATGTGTTTTTATTTTGTTCTTTCATCTTTGTCCTGTCCTCCTTTAGTCTTGTTCTCTGTTGTTCAGCCCGACTAACAGCAGTAGTGAAGGTCCATATGCAGTCCAGCTGATGATGGAGGAGTTTCCCAGACAGAACATGACTCTGACTGATTTCAGCGGCGTGAAGGTGCTGAGAACTACCAGTGATTTCATCGGCAAGACGCCCCTCCAGTTTGTTTTAAATGGTAAAGTTTCATATTCAGACCTGACCAGTGCTTGTTGAAATCTATATTTCATTAGTTACTGTAGATGAAAAAAATAATCAAAAATAAGTTTTAATTTGTTGTTCTAGTTGACCCCGCTGCCCCGTCCTGCACTGAGGGTCTCTATCTGCCCAGATTTCTGCCTCCAACTCCAGATAACGGAGCTCAGATCTTTGTGACTATTAACCAGATGGTGAAAATCCCCATCAGAGCAGAGGCAACTCGGTCTGAGTAAGTTTAGCATGGTTGAAGGTTCACAGAGAGCAGAAAACAAAAAGGCAGTTATCTTTCACATGAACAAGTTGGGAACTGCATCTTATCTATTGTGGCACATATGTGAAACTGCAAATGTATTAGGAATTAACTAACATCCTTAAAAAGCTAAAAATAAAAAAAACTTTAAAAAAGGAGTCAAAGGGACAATTAGCTAATTAAATAATTTTCTTGAGCCAGTATGTGTTAAATGGCCCTTTAAAACGGGGTTGTTGAATTCCAGGCCAGGAGTGCCTGTGCTCAGCACGTTTGGTTTTAACCTGTTTCAACACACCTGAATTCAACCAGCAGGTGATCAACAGGCTTCTGCAGGGCCTGATGAGCTGCTGCTCACGTGATTCCACCACTGAATTTCGTGCGTTGGAGCAAATAAACCACTAAAACGTGCTTGACACCGGCCCTCCAGGTCCGGAATTGAATAGCCCTGCTTTGCAGGGTTAATGAAAGGCCACCCAGCCCCTATCTCCCCCTGTGGACAGAATATCGCACTTGCAACTACACAGTTGCTGGTCCAGTCTGCTGGGAAAAATTGAGCTGACCTATCCGACGCTGCTGTCTGGCTTCAGCACATTTCCTGCATGTTTTTAGATCATGGGTCCTCAATTACAGTGGTCCGAGGGCCACTCAAAAGAAAGACCCAGTAAGTCGCTTTGGACAAAAGCGTCTGCTAAATACATAAACATAAACATAAACATAACCCAGTGGCAAGAGGTCCGGACCGGGGGTGGGGTGAGGTGGGGGGTTGCTGTTTGGATCACTGGCTGTGATGCACATAACACACAAACTTACATTATAAAGAAGGACAACACCGGTCCCTTCCCTTCCAGCCCGGCTGTGTGACCGGGGTTGGGGGGTTGGGGTGTGTGCTTTGCTGCTCTAACGTTGCTGCTGGCAGTTCATTACACAAGCCCGGGCCGCCTATTGAGGACCACCGTTTTAGATCATGAACACAGCTAATTTGTTTAATTTAGTGGCAAATCACTCCTCTAGACACTTAGGAACGCTGGGAGACGTTTCAACTGTTAGATTAAGGTGTTAAAAAGACGAACGCACAGTGAGGAGATGGTTTCGCTTCCACAAACGTACACTAGGGGGTGATAAAAGCAAGCAAAACTGCTTAGTATTCCTTGATTATAGAGAAGTCTGAGTAAGGTGAGACCAACAAATCTGTTTGATCATTTTCATCATGATTTCAGGGGCAACCACATAATTTTTAGGTAGCAGAGTTTTCCCAAATATCACCAAACAAACCTGTTTATTTCCTGTTTGTTAAAGGATCACTAAGCTCCTGTTCAGCGGGCCTCACGATGTGCTCAAGAGTTCATCAGGACCAGGAAACTTCACCCTGAGCTGGACAGCATCTGACAACATTTTCAACCAAGGACAAAGTCACCCCATCTGTTTCGTCGTCCAGTCAAAGTCAGTTTGTGTCCAAGTCAATTCAGTTGATTTATATAGCGCCAATTCATGACAAGAGTCATCTAAAGGCACTTCACAAAGTGTTTTAACTATAACATATTTTTGGGATGACTAACTTAAAATAACCAAAAAGATTATTTGTGGTCGGTTTTGCAGCTGGTGTTTTAATCTGCTGAGTTCAAATACAAAAATGTGTGTTGTAATCCAAGCCTAAGGTGGCCCCTATAATCTTAGAAAACCTTTTATTTTGCTGAGGATTTCATTTTTTATCACAGTGATGCTCACAGGCCCAAGGCATATTGTGCTTCTGACTCTCTCCACTGTCGAGCTGGCGATGATCAGTAGAGTGGAGATTAATAGAGTTTCTCCTGAATGTCATCATTTTTTCCCACATTGAGGGACAGACTGTGCCACACCATTCATTCAACTGAGCTACTTCTTGTTGCCAATGAGACCTACTACTGGTGTGTCATCAGCAAACTTGATCAGGTGATTGGAGCTAGACTTAGTGCAGACGTGAGTCAGCAGTGTAAAAAGCAGCAGACTGAGCACACAGCCTTGTGGAGCTCCTGTGCACAGTGCAATGGTGCTTGAGGTGTTGTGACCTACATGGGCTGACTGAGGTCTTCCAGTTAGATAGTCCAGGGCCCTCATTCATCAAACATTCATAAAAACATTCCTAAATTCTTATCTATGAACGAAATGTAGAATGTTGGTACAAACAATCAAAATCCTGATTTATGAAACATGCGGTGGCCTCTCGTACACACGTTCCTCCACAATCATCTGATGATATAGCCTGGCCTGCCAGACTCGTCCTCTGTTTAATTCTGCACAGAGAAAGAGTCTGGTAACTCACAGGCAGAGAGGCATTTGAGGGGTGGGACTAGCCAGCTCAAAAATAACCAATCAGAAAAAAGATGGAAATGCTGACTGTATCGTGCGACGCTGTAGTTTTTTTTTTGCTGTAGTAAAAAAGATGTCTGGCAACGGCGCACACATGTTTTATTTTTTTAGAAGAAAAGCTTTTAGTGCTTCTACTTGTTGTGGTATTCAAGTCATTTAGAACAGAGGAAAGAGCCGCAGCGAACTCCGCCGCTGCCTTCGTTGTTTATGAGAAACTGAGCGTCGCTGTGTGTGACGTCCGGGACGCTGTAGTTTTTTAGCTGTAGTCAAAAATGGCGTCTTGCGACAGCGCAAACATCTTTCTTTAGCAGAAAGGCTTTTAGCGCTTCTACTTGTTGTTTTAAAGGCGTGTCCAAGTCATTTAGACCAGAGGAAAGAGCCGCAGCGAACTCCGCTTCAGTTGCCATGTTCGACAAACTCGGCGTTGTGGTGTGTGATGTACGCTGCTCAGCGCGATTGGCTTGGTTAGAATTCTCACGGGATGGGGTTATTTGCATAGCAGAATTCCCAGACCCTTTCGCTGTGCAGAATTAAACAGAGGAGGAGTCTGGCAGGCCAGGTTACTGATGATAAATTCCACCTGTGCGTACCTAGGTGCTCGTGTCCATCCACGGTAATTGACATACAGGAACACCCTCGATTAACCATATTTAGTCACACCACATCATCAGGTCATGAGGGGATTTCTGCATTCTCCACAGAGAAACAAAGAAAAACTTTGTTGACAGCGAGATCGAGGCGCTGGTTGCCAAAGTCAAGGAGAAACAAACAAGTTGCAGAGGTTGTAAAAGTGGTCTGGACAGAGGTCTCTGTCAGAAAAAAAAAAGATTCAACATAAAACTTAATTAAAAAATGTAGAATAACAGACTGAATGTTTCTTTCTGTTTACATGTAAGGAGTTGTATGCATGTTCTGTTTGGAGTTAGTTTTGTTCTTGTTTGGAAATCTTCGTTGTGTTCTGCGAGTGCAGCCTCCTCTAAGCTGTCATTCAGTCTGGTTACCTTGACAACGTGTGTGTGATCGGGGAGCAGAGGATGGTTCTGTTGGTTTCTCGTACTTGTAAAATAAATTATGGACTAAAGTTTAGTTTGTCAGTCGCTCTACAAAGGGTTCCAAATCATTGCATAGATGCTTTCTTTGCACCTTGTTGGCAGTGGAGATGGTGGAAGACCCATGAGTGGTGGAGCTGGACCAGGAGGCAGAAACGGCAGATAAGGCAAAAAACAAATAACAGATTTAATGAATAATGACAGGTAGGATGACACAAACGGAAGCAACGTAACATGGTGAAGACACAACTATCCGATAAACGACTAGCGCAAAACAGGGGGTATGAATACACAATGAGAATCACGAAAACACAGGTAGGTAAACAAGGAGCAGGTGAGTCCAATAAACAGCTACTTAGGGGTAAATGAGACCTAGAGTCAGAGGGGTTAGAGCAGATCCTGACAGTACCCCCCCTCAAGCATGGTTTGATGTTGTGCATGACTAGCCTCTCAAAGCACTTCATCATTATTGGAGTCAGTGTCGTGGAACAGTAATCGTTTTGGTACCAGTATCATTTATGTGGATTTGGGACATGTGGGGACGACTGCCTGTCTCAGCGAGGTGTTGAAGATGTCTGTGAACACATCTGTCAGCTGTGTGGCACAGTCTCTCAGCACGTGTCCATGTATGTTGCCCTCGGCCTTGCGTTGGTTTATCCTGGATAGGGTCTCTCTTATGTCTGCTAGAGACAGACAGACAACCTGGTCGCTGGGAGGTGTGGGAAGTTTTTGTGCAGGAGTGTCATAGAGGGATGTGCCATCACCACTGCAGGCCTGTGGTGATGGCTTGTAGTCTGAAATATGGGATAGTTGTGTCTTTGCTGTCCGTGAAGTGGTTGTTGATTTATTGAGATATGACCTTTTTGATCTGATGGGACAGATTGGTTCTTGGTGCTTTGATAAGAGTTTTTACTGTTGTGTAAACAAGGTCCAGTGTGTTGTCTCCTCATGTTGCTAAGTTCATGTCTTGGTGGAACTTTGGTAAGGCTGTGTTTAAATCGGCATGCTTGAAGTCACCTAATTATGATGATGCTGTTGTTTGGTTGTTGTTCTCTGATGATCATGATTTTATGTTGGTGACGCCAAATTTTGACCCGACCATCTGAATGTTGCATCTGTAATCCAGACCCATCAGACCAGGAAAGGTTTTCCCATGTCTTATGGTCTGGTCTGGTGATCCTGTGGCGATTTACTTTGATAAAAACTATGTTTTTTGGTTCTCCATAGAGAAGCACAGATGGCTGTGTTGAATGAAAAAGCAGCTTTGTTTAGCAAAACCCAAAAGCCATTTCCATCATGCTTCTAATACATCTTCTTCCCACAGTTTGTCCAGTTCTGTGTTCCAGTCGGAGCTTCGGTGTGTTGTTGTCACAGTTGAGAACGGTAAGCAGGATTCCACCCAGTTTAAATTCCACCAGTTAAATTTTGCATGGATAATGTGTTGGTCTCCTCTCAGGCCCAACAACCCCTGCACCATCTCTCTTCCCAACAAACGCACCCCTGTCTACAGCTTCACAAACTCCAATGATCATGCAATCTATATCCACACTACCTCCAACCACCCAAGGCACAACCATGGCCCCTCCCATACCTACAACCTCCCCCACTCCACATACCCCTACATCTATGAACATGCCACCAAATTCAACCTCTCCTCCAGGACCAAGTAAGCAAAAAAAAAAAAAATTTTTTTTAAATGTGTTTAAATGTTAAAAATATCTGTACAGAATCAAAACTTATGTATTGTCAGCATATACTGTCCAAATATTAATTACCCTTCATTTTTTCCTAATTTTTTCTCTGTACTCTCCGAACACTTGGACTGTCCACTAATACTTGGAGGCAATTTTAATTTTTGGATGAATTCTTTAACAGACAGGCTCAGCACAGCTGGGACAGCGCAATTGGCAATCCACTAACATAGTTAAACAATACATGAGTGATTATGGGCTTTGAGATGCATGGCGATCTCTTCATCCTAACCGTAGAGAATATACTTTTTTTCACACGTCCATCACTCTCATTCACCTCTGGATTATTTTCTAGTCAGCAGCTCATTGTTGGTTAACATTTCAGACACTGAGATACACCTCTTATGGGCCATTCCCATCTGTACCGGGTCGGCCCGGGCCGGGTAGCGTAGGTTGTTTACATATCTGGGTGGCCTGGTATTTTTCCGGGCCAACCAAGGCTCATTCTCAGCCCTCTTCTCGAGGGGGTCTGCTTCAGGCCGACCAGGGCCAACACACCCACTGCTGACAGCAAATTCACACCTTCCATTAGAGCAAGCCTCTGATTGGTGGGTAGAATCAGCCCACATGGGCTTAAGGCAAGGATGTGTGGAATCAACCGGGCCAGGCTGGGGCCGACTGGGGCTACCCGGCCCGGGCCGACCCAGTACAGATGGGAATGGCCCAATAGTTGTCAGCGACCATGCTCCGGTTTCTTTAACTCTGGTAAACAAGAAGACAATCCCACCAAGCAAAAACTGGAGGTTTAATACATCACTGCTTAAAGATGAAAGTTTTATAGAATTTTTTAAAAAGGAGTGGGCTTTATATTTAGAATATAATGACCTGCCTGGAACATCAGCATCTATTCTCTGGGAGGCAGGAAAGGCAGTGATGAGAGGTAAAATAATCTCTTTCTCATCACATAAGAAAAAAACAGAAAACAAACGTATTCAGGAGTTAGAGGAAATCATTAAGTCTTTAGAGGCATCCACAGAAGAAGAGTTAATGAGCAAATTACGTAAAGCTAAATTAGAACTTCATGGAATTATTGACAAAAAGACACAATTTTTAGCAAAAAGACTATGAATAGAAAACTTTGAACATAGTAATAAATCAGGTAAATTTTTAGCTAGCCAATTAAAAATAAATAAAGAGAAAACTACCATATCTGCTGTTAAAGACTCAACCGGGAAAATAGTTTATGACCCTGAAAGCATAAACAACACTTTCAGAGACTTTTGCCAAACTTTGTACTCACCAATAGATAAACCCATCAGATAACGAGATCAATGAGTTTCTTGACAGGATAACACTTCCTAAATTATCAGACAGCCAAGTTACAGTCCTGGACTCGCCACTAACATCAGCTGAGCTCCAGGAAGCCCTTGAATCCATGACTAATAGGAAAGCTCCAGGTCCAGATGGGTTTCCAGCAGAGTTTTACAAAGAATTCTGGATCATTCTGGCTCCAACATTTTTCAGAATGGTGAGGGAAATTGAAGAGAGTGGCAGACTACAGCCAAACATGAACTCAGCCAATATTAGTCTCTTGTTGAAACCAGGCAAAGACCCTGCATTTCCTACCAGCTATCGCCCAATTTCTCTTATTAATGTTGATCTCAAAATAATTTGTAAAGCCCTGGCAAAAAGATTAGAGAAGGTAACCCCCTTCATAATACACCCTGACCAAACTGGTTTCATCAAGGGTAGACAGTCATCCACAAACTCACGTAGATTACTTAATTTGATAGATTTCTCTTAAAGTAGAAACATAGAAACTAGTATATTATCTCTAGATACAGAAAATGCTTTTGATAGAGTTAACTGGAAGTTCTTATTTGCAACTTTACATAAATTTAGTTTTGGGAACTTCTTCATAAACTGGCTACAAACATTTTACAGTTCACAACTGCACGTGTCAGGACGAACGACCAAATATCAGCTAGCTTCTGTCTTCAGAGGGGGACCAGGCAGGGATGCCCACCCTTCCCCTCATTGTTTGCTATCTTTATTGAACCACTAGCAGCAGCAATTAGACAAACAACAGGTATTAAAGGGATAAGTGTAAGAAAATAGAACACAAGATCAGTCTTTATGCAGATGATGTTTTACTCTTTCTCCGGAATTCTCAATGCTCTCTCTCTCATTCAATAGAACTGATAAACTCTTTTTCAAAAGTTTCAGATTACTCTATAAACTGGTTAAAATCCACAGTTCTACCAATTAATTTCTCTTTTGTCAATTTACTTAATACACAATTGGAGTCAGGGAATATCACATACCTGGGAATTAATATCTCTCCCAAGTTAGCAGATCTAACCAAACTAAACTACATCCCACTTTTAAAGAAAGTGGAAGATGATCTTGCAAGATGGAAATCCTTACTGATATCACTCATGGGGAGAGTTGCTACAATTAAAATGATGGTCTTACCCAGAATAAATTACTTATTTTCAATGATCCCAAACAAACCACCAGCTGACTGGCTTAAATCTCTGGACTCCTCAATTACCAAATTCCTTTGGCAGGATAAACCTCCATGAATTAGCTTAAAAACGCTTCAGAAGACCAAAGACAGAGGAGGACTGATCTACCAAACTTTTATTATTATTTCTTAGCCAACAGGCTGCAATATATACCAAGATGGTTGCAAGATAACCCACTAGATGAGTCCTGGTTAGACATAGAACAGACACTTTGCAATACGATAGAGCTTTCAGACTTACCATTTATTAGCTCAAGCATGAGAAAACATGAAGGCTTCAAAAGTATTAGTATCAGCACCTCTCTGACAGCATGGTGGGAGTATCTAAAAATGACAGAGCATTCACTAGTACCATGCAGACGCACACCTATCTGGAATAATCCTGATATTTAGCAAAATTTTCCTTAATTTCCTTATTTTCCTTAAGCTAAATGATTCTAAGTCTGAGGCACACCTCATGACCCCTAACAAAACCACACATGTATCTTCTGATTTGGCCACTCTCCCTTTTGACCTCAAGCAATGTGTTACCAACCTGGGGGTGAAACTGGATACACACTTTTCCATGGGCCCTCAGATTAACGCAGGGTCAGATCGTGTTTTTATCAGCTGCGCAGACTAGTCCGCTTAAAACCGATCCTGAAACTAGCACACCTGGAATCTGTAATTCATGCTTTTATCATCTCCCGACTGGATTATGCAAATTTGATTTTAATTGGCTTACCTGCCTCCGCTCTTAACAGGCTTCAGGTCGTACAGAACGCGGCAGCCAGGTTTTTAACAAACACCCCTAGAAGAGACCATATCACACCTGTAGTGGCGCAGCTCCACTGGCTACCCGTAAACTTTAGAGTCAAGTTTAAAATCCTGACTTTTGTTTTTAAGGCCCTGAATGGTCTGGCTCCGGATTACCTGTGGATCTTGTCACTCGGTATGTGCCAAACCGGGCGTTGAGGTCTGCTGATTGCCTGCTGCTTCGTGTTCCATCAATGAAATACAAAACGCGGGGGCAGCGTGCTTTTGTCTATGCTGCTCCGACACTCTGGAATGCTCTTCCTTTTTCAGTGAGGCTGGCACCATCCCTCCTCTGGTTCAAATCGCTGCTGAAGGCTCACTTTTACGACCAGGCATTTTTAAATCCCTGACTTTTATTATTTTATTATGTGTCTTTTTATTGACTGTGATCATCTGCCTTGTTGTGCGTTTTTATTGTTGACTGTGTATTGTTTTATATTGTGTTTTTACTTTTTATTCTGTACAGCACTTTGGTCGGCTGCCATGCCGTTTTTAAATGTGCTTTATAAATAACGTTGGTATGGTAAAATAATAAAATGATGAACCTTCCGGACTGGAAAAATAAAGGAATCCTATACCTGGAACACATATATGAAGGATTGGACTTCATCCCATTTAATAGAATAGTCTCCCAATTTGGAATAGATAAGAATAGCTTTTTAGAATACCACCAAATGAAATCTGTAGTCAAACAAAAATTTAAGCTCAATAAAATAGAATTACAAACACCACCAAGGGTATTAGACTTCTATAATCTCAAACCCCCCAAACTACTGCCTAAAGTATATAAGACACTGTCCAAAATAGACAATAGAATAGCAATCCCTATTGAAAAATGGGAGGTGGATCCATCAGTCAGCTTTGACCAGAACTTCTGGTCCCAAACTTGTTTAAAAACTTTTAAAATGATCAGACACTCCAATTTACAATTAATTCAGTACACAATTCTACACAGAGTACACTATACAGGTCATTGGATGATCAAGATGGGGTTTGTGTCGTCTGACACCTGTACACACTGCACAAACAACATTCCTGACAATTACATTCATGCACTGTAGTCCTGTCCACCTGTCCAGGAATTTTGTGGTAGAGTATGTGAGGACCTGTCAAAGTGTCTGAAATGTCATATCCCAACCGCCTCCTCTCTTTGTTTACTGGGAAACCTGGACGATGTCCTGATTGAAACATCTTTGGCTCATGTGGTTCTGACTGCCATATGCATCGCTAAGAAAACTATCCTCCTGAATTGGAAAAATAGAGATACTCTTTGCATCAACCAGTATAGAAATCTTTTGTTAGATCATATTACACTTTATATAGCCTCTGCTTCCACTTCAAATCAATCTCTCTGGGCTCCTTTAATCGGTTCCATCACATAGCGATGATGGGGGACCATTGATGGGGTGGGGGGTGGGGGGGGGGGGGGGGTGGGGGTTCTGAGTTTGGAGTATCTGGATGTTCCTTAGAGGTGGGTTCACTGGGGGTGTCGGGGACTGGAGGGCCGTTGCCCCCCTCTGGAGGTGCTTGGGTTGCCTCGGGGGGTGGACTGCTGGCGGTTGTGAGTGGGGCCCCTTGGAGGTCTTGGCGGTGGCCATGGGTTACTGCCCGGCAGCTGCATTGCCCCTGGGCGGGTCTGGGTGTGGGCCTGGGTACTCGGGGTATGGGGGTGGCCGGCCCCGTGGGGGGATCTGGGCGGGGCCTTGGGGGTCGGGTCCTGACATGTATGCTGCCGGTGAGATGGCAGAAACATGCAGCAGTGCCTGACTCTGGTTCAGGGGCCTCGGGTAGACCTTGGCTCCTCTGCTGTCCCATCACAGGGGAGGGGGAAGTCCAGGAGGGGGAGGACCCAACCTTACCTGGATGTCCTATGTCTATTATAGTCCGGAAGTTGTGCAAATGCAGGGATGGGCGTAGATATTCTGCTGGGGTGGGGCTGGGTTGGTGCCCTCGGACTCCGTGAGGCTCTGTGATGCTGCTGCTTTGGGGCCTGGCAGGATGGGCTGGGGGTCTCCATGCTCTGGGTGGCATTTTGACAACAGAGGTGTCTATTGGGGCCAGTGGGGGAGCTGGCTCCCTGGAGGGCTAAGCCCAACCAGCTATTCCTCCCCATCCCCACACATTTCTCTCCTCCTGCTCCCTCACATCATCACACAAACATGCACATTGGACCTTGGGGGGTGGACAAGTCAGGGAGTGCGGGTATGGACCCCATTTCCACATTCCTGTGGCAACCTGCCCCCCAATTTTATCTGCACCTTAAACACCTCCACCAACGACGTTCCATGCAAACACACACTTAGGGCCTTGGGAGTGAGCACATCCAACAGCTTTTGGCAGGGGGATTTCTCAGCCTCATCCCAAGTGCCGGTGCCCACTTCCAATTTTAAACTTCACTTAGACACTGAGGGCAGTGGGTGCAAGTGGGGTGAAGTGGTGGCATCAGCTGGCATAGGCCAGACAATGCCCACACTGCCCGCTCACCACAGCCATGGAATACACCTCATCAACACTCACTAACACCATATTGGAGCAGGCGGAGGGAGACTAGGGGTCTTAGCACACCTCTGTTGTCGCTTGGCTTCCTGGGGCTGGAGGCTAGGAGGGAGATCCGTCCGTCCGGTTGGGGTCTGGGGTGGTGGATTGCTGTGTTCAGCGTTGGGCGGGGGAGCCTGCTCATCAGCACCCCAGCAGAAAGGGTCAAACTCTTGGAACCGGTAATGGTTGTACCCCATGTGCAGCAGTACCGGGACCAGAGTGAATAGGGTGTGTATGGGGAGCATGAGTGGGTGTCCGGCGTGTATTTTGGTAAGTCTTTGGTTGTACTGTATGTGCATGTGTGAGCATGAGGGAGGGAGTGTGTGACTGTGTTTGTGTATGACTGTGTATGTCAGGTGGGGCCTTTGACTCCTCCCTTCTCCTGGGACTTCTTTTGGTGATTTAGATCTTCATCTCCCCTCTCCCTGCCACACCTGGTGTGGAGTGCGGTGCCTTGGTCTGCCTGGGTTGTGGCTCCCGGGTCAGGGAGTTTAAGATTTTTGGCATCTGCCTGACCAATCCTGGTGGCTGCCTGGTGGGGTCTGGGTCCCTTGGCTCTGCTGGGTCCCCAGCGGGGGTGGTCGCCCCTGGGTCCCGGGTCATTGGGTCCCGGGCTCGGTTGGCTAGGGGGTGGGAGGCTGCGGGTGGGCCTGTGGGCTTGCCGCCGATATCTCCCGGGACTCTGCCAGCTGCTGGTTGTGACCCTCCGGGGCGATCCTCTGTTCTCTGTTGTTGTGTTCCAATAGTCCCCCCCCCCATCTTTTGTCTCTTCCTTTCTCTTTCACCTCTGTATCCGTGCCTGGTCAGGATTAAAAAGCATTCAAAAACAATAACAATATAGTTTTAATTATCAGGCGTGACATTAAAAGCAGACGTTTTGATGCTCCACCTGAGAGTAAATGTGTAAGGCTTGTCACCAGCATTCAGACATAAATTCTGTTTGCTTCACAGCCAGACAGGACACAAATAAATAAATAAATAAATAAATAAATAAATAAAGGTCTCTGTCAGAAAAAAGAAAAAAAGATTCAACATAAAACTTAATTACAAAAATGTAGAATAATTTCACCAGTTGAAATTCCACCAGTTAAATTTTGCATGAATAATGTGTTGGTCTCCTTTCAGGCCCCATGGACGTAATTTTGTGGGGGGACAGGGGGGACATGTCCCCCCACATTTCCAAAGTCAAGTTTTGACCCCTGCACTTTTTACCATCCCAAAACAATATCACGTTATATTAAATTGACACTGGTTGAGCTCTAGGACCAAGTGGAAAACAACCGTTTGTGTTGAAGCCTGTTTCCCATTAGAACATACTGTAAAGATACCCCGCCCCCCATGTCCCCCCCACTTCTAAAATGAAAATTGCATCCATGTCAGGCCCAACAACCCCTGCAGCATCTCTCTTCCCAACAAACGCACCCCTGTCTACAGCTTCACAAACTCCAATGATCATGCAATCTATATCCACACTATCTCCAACCACCCAAGGCACAACCATGGCCCCTCCCATACCTACAACCTCCCCCACTCCACATACCCCTACATCTATGAACATGCCACCAAATTCAACCTCTCCTCCAGGACCAAGTAAGCAAAAAAAAAAGAAAGAAAAAAAAGAAAAGAAATGTAGATGCTCAAGGTTTTTTTAGCATTCTGAGTTGTTGTGTCTGCTCTTTGAAGCAGATCAGTTCATTCTGGTTTTGACCTGAGTCATGATGTGCATTCTCTCTGCTTCTAGATTATATCATTGCTATGAAAATGAAGATCTCCACCACACTGTCACCCTCTAGTGACAACGACACCATCATAAAACTGGTTAGTACCTTCTGTGACTTAATCACAGTTTCAGCGTGCTCACCAGTTAGGTCTGCTGATGTTTCCTCTTCCTTTTAGCGTTTAGGAGCAGTTACTTCGATAATCTTTCATGTTCCTTGTCAGATTCTGACACGTTAGATCCAAACACTGATCAGCTGTGTTTCCTTCTCCAGATAAAGGATGAACTCAAAAGGCAAGGACTGACATCAGACATAACCATACGCCTCCTCAGTTGTGGTTTGGTGCATGGGACTTCATCTCCCCCTGGTGGATAATTATGAGAATGCAGTAGATCTGCATTAGTGAAACCAACTGAAAATCAAGCTTGACTAAATGTACTTATGAAAAGTGAAAGTACTTTCAGTATGATGGATCATCAATAAAATATTAAAATACTGATAGTCTTTCTATTATTTTCAACTGAATGTAAAATTACCCAACTGCACTTTACTGTCTGTTACGCACACACACACACACACACACACACACACACACACACACACACACACACACACACACACACACACACACACACACACACACACACACACACACACACACACACACACACACACACACACACACACACCTGTATTCTTATCCATATTAGGACTTTGTATTGACTTCCATTCATTTTAGTAACTGCGTTTATGGCTAACCCTTACCCCCAAATTCCACTACCTCTGCTCCACTCCGGTCCGCCCCCGCCTTCTGCAGCTGCTCGCTTCCAAACTCAATTTTTACTGGTACCCACTCTACAATGGCTCCGCTCCGGTGCGGAGACCTGAGGTGGGCAAACAAGCATGCGCGGGATTTTCGAGATCTTGCGATACAGTCGGAGCAATAAACGTGGAAGTTAGATCCAAACACCCTTTGAATGGGAGAAGCATCGAAATGAACTGTTTAATCTGCCCATCATCTGTGTTGAGAGATCAGCAGTGTTTGGATCAACAAAGGGTGACTACTTTGATAGTGGAAACTGTATTCATGGCTTACTTTTGTGCATTTAAAGTTCAGCCACCATTGATAGTTGTTAAAAGTTGTTAAACCTGTGCATATGAAACAAAAAACGCCTTTTGTTTATCGATTTATTGTGAAAAACAGAAGTTGTGCTTGCTCCTTTTCCTGTTCGGCGGTTGTGATTTCTGTCCATTTACTGCGGAGGTGCTCCGGCGTCCGGCAAAAATAGGATCGATTCTATTTTTGCCGGACTCCGGAACAGAGGGCGACGCACTGCGCCGCACTGCCGGAGCACGGCCGCAGTAGTGGAATTGCTCTGATTGACTACAACGGGACCGATTTTGCTCCGGCATTTGTGTCGGAGCGGAGCGGAGGTAGTGGAATTTGGGGGTTACCCTAACCCTAACCAGTGTATTCCTAAACCTAACTTTAACAAAAACTCAATTCACATCTTACCTCTAAACTTCTCCCTTAAGCCTAAAACAGGGGTTTGCCATATTAGGCATGGGTTTTGGTCCAAATAAGGCCCATTGCTCTCCAGGGGTCTCATTTATAAAACATTGCGTAGAATCCTTACTAAAACCGTACTTAAAGGGACTTTACTGAGTTTTGAATTTTTATGCTCGCGATTGCCCCCTCTGGCCAAAAGCATAACGACAGCTTCAATAGGAGGCTCGTGCACAAAGCACGCATGCTGTACGTGCATACTCCTTAACGAAAATAACGGGACTCAGCTTCACAGAGCTCTGAGAGCTGACAGTCCCTTGTGTGTGTGTGTGTGTGTGTGTGTGTGTGGCCCAGAGGACAGAGGGCAGGAGAACGTGCATCTAATTAATTAAATAATTTGGTTCTGTACCTTTCTCTTCAGCACAGCCGACAAAGGTTTATGATGGGTCAGTCCTCCTGCATGCTCAGATCATTCCCTTCCCTTGCTTGAAAAATTGTTCCAAAATGAAAGTTGAACCCACATCTTTTTTATCTGTGAATTCAATGTCGTTCGGCGAGTCTCAAATAAAAATTTGGGCATCTTACCATAAAAAAATATACCATTAATGTAAAAAAGAAACAAACAAAAAAAACTATGTTCTCACCCAGAATCGAATCTGGGTCTCCTGCACAAGAGTCCAACATCTAACTAGATGAGCTAAACCACCTCTGACATCTATGGTATCTGTAATATCTATTTCCTTGATTTACAGCTAAAACAACGTTCAAAGAACGGTTTGGAGCAAAATTGGCTATTTTGTTGCTAATTTGCAGGAAATATCTAGAAGAAAGTAGCTAAGGGTCCTTAGAAATGTAGCTAGGTTCATCACTAGGCGTTAGGAACAGCGACAAAGTCGCTGAGTTGGCACTACCTCTCTCTCTGCTGCTAAAGCTACTGATAGCAAATGCTACGGGCTATGCCTGAGCGTGAACGCGCATGAAGCAGCCTGCTCGACCCGAGCATCTCTCTTTTTCTGTGATTTTACAGAAAAACAGGCAATCACAGTAAAAATGCCAGGGCTCATTCTACAGGACCAGGGCATTGCAGGAGAATGTATGAAGAAGACATTTATTATTTCTATACATGTTTTGGCTGTTAAACTTCCATAATGCCCCTTTAAGCTCAGCAAAAAAAAAAAGTACTTTTGCCAAGTAGGTTTGTGATCTATCAAACATGGAGTACGCACAGCTGCACGCAATCTCCGCTTCATAAATCGGAGACTAACGAGAATTTTCTCAGCTGCTTTTTAGTCACATCCCGCCCTCACCATAAATAGTCAATGCAAAGTGCCTTGTGGACCTCATGCATTTACATAAGCCGGCTGTTGCAGCGCTCCGCCAATGACATGGTGACCGTAGATCAAGGCAGATCAAGGAAGCGCAATTTCACAGAAGCAGAAATTGAGGTACCTGTGGGTGAGGTGGAGAAATGAAAGGAAGTGCTTTTGCAAAACAAATAAGAGAAAATCCACGGAGTGACACAGCGTGTTTGAAGCCGTCAATGTTGTGAATTCTTCAGAGGGATATGTGGCGGATATAAAAAGAAAACAGTCCAATCAGGATTTGATCCCCAGACTCCCAGATGAAAGTCACATGTGCTAACCAGTCAGCCAAACAGGGATCTTCCCTGGACAAGTAGCCAGGGTGCATGATCAATTAGGTCACAGTGACAGGACACACAGACGCATGACATTCTGTCTCAATCTGTCCCCCTGCTGATTTTCTGCATTCCGTATTCTGCGCTTCAGGCTGTGTGTGTGAGTGTGTGCGCATGTGTGTGTGTGTGTACGCGCGTCTGTGTGTGCGTGCGTGTGGGGGTCTTGTTCTGTGTGAAAACGAAGTAGTACAAGTGATAATGCTGCAGGATTCATAATTGTATCCTTCTCAGCAGCAGCACTGCAGGTGCTCTCCATGTCCAAAATGTGCGTAAGCCAGGTCCTTAGTCATCTTAAAGTTGCGCACATTTTTCCGCTTAGTTATCTTTCATAAATCCCAAAGTTTGCATGGAAAGGTACTTACGACCCCGTTTTGTGCATAAGCAAGCTTGATAAATGAGGCCCAAGAAGATTCGTGAATATACCGGTTTTGGTCCTAAGTAGGATAGTTGTAAAAGTACACACACACACACGCACACGCGCACGCACACACACACACACACACACACACACACACACACACACACACACACACACACACACACACACACACACGCACACGCGCACGCACACACACACACACACACACACACACACACGCACGCACGCGCACACACACACACACACACACACACACACACACACACACACACACACACACACACACACACACACACACACACTGGACATAATGCAAAGCCAAGAGTCCAGTACCTGTGTTGTGACTGCATGCACAAAACCTTAAACGTGTCAGCTTCTTGCAAATTGAATCATTTACATACCCATGACTGGTTTGCTTGTGTACCAAAATATACCCAAATTGAACCATTCCTTCTATGTTTTGTTGTTGTGTACTACATTCAACCACAGTCACTCCACAAACCACACAAAACCAGTGCCAAGTATACACACCTTCACATTTTCTTCACAACTAATGCAAGTGTATTTTCACCAATCACCCCCAACAATCAGCACATTCATCAGTCTTTCTTCTAAAGGACAGAGTTCTACTTGGGAGTACCATATGAGGTAACTTTAACATGCAAAGGAGCTTTTTGCATCTTTCTTTGCATGTTTGTGGGTGTGAGGACACCAGTCACAAAGCCAAAAGAGAGGAAGTCTTACTGATATATAGCAGGCATATTAAGACTCACTAAACATTAAAAGCATGCAAATAAAAAAATACAACTATGCTTGAAGGGAAATAGTAGGATTGGTGCTAACAGAGTCAAGTTAACCCTTTGATGCATAATGGTCGCTACAGTGGACAGGTGCTCAAAATTGTTATTTATTTGTTTTTGCTATTAAGCACAGCTGTTGAAGACTTTATTGCATTTGAGCCCCTCCATTTGGACTTCAGTAAGCCAAGCCAACATATTTCATGCTCAGAATGCACACTGTCCACTGAGGTGGACATGTAATAAATTATTTGTAAATTATTAAATTTTACAAAAAATATTTGTTGAAATTTGGAGGAAGAAAGAGAGAATGGTAAAGTTTTCTGATTCTAACAATAGCAGCGCCTTCAACTGGAAATGTGCCATGAAAATTACATCACACTGGAACAATATTGGCAATAATATATCACCTTATCACAGGGCTATTCAACTCCGGGCCTCAAGGGCCGGTATCCATCACTTTTTAGTTTTAACCCTGCTTCAACTAATTTCAATCAGCAGGTGATAAACAGGCTTCTGCAGTGCCCGATGAGCTGCTGCTCAGGTGATTCAACCACTGAATCAGGTGTGTAAGAGCAGAGAAACCACTAAAACGTGCAGGATACTGGCTCTCAAAGCTCGGAATTGAATAGCCCTGCCTTATGATATATGACACTGATATTACAAACCATCCAAAGATACATTTACACAATGTTGACATATAAAAAGCCAATTTCAATAAAAATGCACAATTCCAAAAGCCACGAGTCCCCCATACGAAATTTAAACCATGGCTCCCTTTGATGAACAGCAGATAGAAAACAAACATGTTGTTTATCCATCTGGAGCCAAAGGAATTCAGATGTAAAGACTTGATCTGGACCTCTGGGTGAGGCTTAAACCTGGTACATCACACTGGTTTCTACACAATGAGTCTTTACAGGAAAAACAACATTCCGGTAAAATACATCAGATAGAGAACCTAAAAACACATACATTTTCATACAAACTGGAACCAGAGATATATGGGTTTCTAGAACTTCCCATGAATAACAGGGATAAAAAAGCAAATGAACAAAATATCAAATTTCTATTGGATAAAGTTTAACGGACAATAAATGAGATAATCAGGTACATAGTTACTAATTATCTGTACATTTATCATTTCAAACAAGACTTTTCTGAGACAGGAGCACAAAAACAGTTTGAGAAATAACTAAAAGTAAACAATGGCAGCTTAATGAAAGTCAAAAGCATTTAAAAACCCTTTTAAAGTGTCCAAAAAGATCAGATCTTAAAGATTCAAAATGAAATCAACTGAATAGAAGCAATGACAACTATCTTTTTATTTTTTGTATTTATTTTTTATGGTTTGTCTTTTTAGGTAAAGTAAAAAAAAAATATCTTGTTCATGAGTGAGGGAAAGATGGAGTGTGAGATCGATAGGCGGATTGGTGCTGTGTCTGCAGTGATGCAGGCGTTGTACCGGTCTGTCGTGGTGAAGAGATAGCTGAGCCGGAAGATGAAGCTCTTGATTTACCGGTCGATCTGCGTTCCTACCCTCACTATGGTCACGAGCTTTGGGTAGTGACTGAAAGAACCAGATTGCGGATAAAAGCGGCTGAAATGAGTTTTCTTCGCAGTGTGTTGGCTCTCCTTTAGAGATAGGGTAAGAAGATCAGTCACCTGGAAGGGGCCCGGAGTAGATCCGCTGCTCCTCCACATCAAGGGGAGCCAGTTGAGGTGGCTCGGGCATCTAGTTAGGATGTCTCCTAGACGCCCCCTGGTGAGGGTGTCCGGGCACATCCAACTGGGAGGAGGCCTAAAGGTAGACCCAGGACACTCTGGAGAGACTTTGTCTCTCGGCTGGCCTAACCCTAACCCTAAAGCCTAGTTTATGCTTCTGTGTCGGCACGGAGACACTCAACGTCTTTACCCGTCCTTGCAAGTCTGCTGGAGAGCCCTTGCAAGGACAAACAGAGTCGAGTCCACTTTTCTAAACATCTATCCAACAAGACAGACAACGTAAGCTTGTAATTGGTCAGGACACTGTCAACAGCGCCATCATTGACCCCTCAAAAACATAAAGAAAACTAAAGAGATCTAGTTGTAGACATGGAGCAGCTTGAAGAATACTCGTGGAAAAACTCTAAAAACATGAACTTTTTATTCACCCGTGACCGGAGGAGTGAAAAGACACGCAGCAAGCATTTTATTCATGGATCAAAATTATGATAAACGCCGGTTTAGAGGTGGCGAGCGCAGTAAGAGGTGGAAGAGAATGATGGACCAACTTTATTTGTGTTAAAAAGCCTCTGAAATACAAAAACACAATACAAACAACAATAAACGCACTATCTTCATACAATGACATGACGAGATACAGAATAGCGCTACGCCCTCTGTTGTCCTGGTGGGGAATTGTTTTGCAACACTCCCTAGGAGATGGAGAAGTCCGAGAACAAAACGTCTCTGTTTGTAAGTAAGTAAATTTTATTTATATAGCACTTATCACAGACATAGAATCACAAAGTGCTTCACATTGATGAAAACAAAATAAAACAAAGTCATTAAATCATAAACAGATTAACATCATAAAATCAAAATGCTCTCAAAACAGAATTAGATTAACATCAGAAAAAATAAAGTCATAAAATTATAAATTTTCATAAATGGATGAAAGATTAAAAATTTGAGTTAAAAATAAGAAAATAAAAGGTTTAGGTAAAAGCAGCTTTAAATAAAAGGGTCTTTAGCTGTTTTTTAAAAGTGTCCAGACTGTCAATCCTGCGTAAGGATAAAGGAAGATCATTCCAGAGTCAGAGTGCAACAGTCTTGAAGGAGCGATCACCTCGACTTTTATATCTGGTCTTTGGAACTTTGGAAGGTTCTAATTCCATTTTTGGTTCTTTTTTAAACACAGATAAGGATTTTTCTTTACCGTGATGACGTTTCGTTTGCGGCTGTAAAGAAAAAGCCTTATCTGTGTTTAAAAAAGAACCAAAAATTGAATTTGAAGACAAATACAGCAAGAACGTACAAAAGATGTTTAGAAGGTTCTGGTGGGTGGACCTGAGGGCTTGGGTTGGAGCATAAGGCTTTAACAGTTCATTAATATAGGGAGGAGCTTGACCATGTAGAGCATTGAAAGTTATTCTAAAATAAGGATTCTAAAATGAACTCTAAAGTTAACGGGTAACCAGTGCAGAGACATTAGAATGGGAGTGATGTGTGCTCTTCTGTTTGCTCCAGTTAGGAACCTCGCTGCAAAGTTCTGGACCAACTGAAGGCGGTCAAGGGCTTTTTTTGTTAAAACATGTGAAAAGTGTGTTACAGTAATCTAGACGGGAGGAGATAAAGGCATAACCATTTCAAGTTCTTGTTTTGACACCAACCTTTGCAGTTTGGAGATGTTTCTTAAATGATAAAAACAGTTTCGGACCAAAGTTTTTGAGTGACCTTCAAGAGACATTGATTGGTCAAAAATAACACCCAAATTCCTTAAGTTTGTCTTGATGGCAGAGGATAAATGACCAAGTTTTAGACTAATCAGGGGAACCATGCTCTCAGGGGCAATGATCAGACATTCAGTCTTTTCAGAGTTTAACTGAAGGAATCTATCTAGCCAGCTGGCAATAGCTGAAAGACACTAGTAATTCAGACAATTTACAGTACAGCTGAATATCATCTGCATATAGGTGATAAGAGACATTATGAAAAGAATCAAGTATCTGTCCAAGATGATGTACAGTGGGGCAAAAAAGTATTTAGTCAGCCACCGATTGTGCAAGTTCTCCCACTTAAAATGATGACAGAGGTCAGTAATTTACATCATAGGTACACTTCAACTGTGAGAGACAGAATGTGAGAACATAATCCATGAATTCACATGGCAGGATTTTTAAAGAATTTATTTGTAAATCAGGGTGGAAAATAAGTATTTGGTCAATAACAAAAATTCAACTCAATACTTTGTAACATAACCTTTGTTGGCAATAACAGAGGTCAAACGATTACTATAGGTCTTTACCAGGTTTGCACACACAGTAGCTGGTATTTTGGCCCATTCCTCCATGCAGATCTTCTCGAGAGCAGTGATGTTTTGGGGCTGTCGCCGAGCAACATGGACTTTCAACTCCCTCCACAGATTTTCTATGGGGTTGAGGTCTGGAGACTGGCTAGGCCACTCCAGGACTTTCAAATGCTTCTTACGGAGCCACTCCTTTGTTGCCCGGGCGGTGTGTTTGGGATCATTGTCGTGTTGGAAGACCCAGCCACGTTTCATCTTCAAAGCTCTCACTGATGGAAGGAGGTTTTGGCACAGAATCTCACGATACATGGCCCCATTCATTCTGTCCTTAACACGGATCAGTCGTCCTGTCCCCTTAGCAGAAAAACAGCCCCAAAGCATGATGTTCCCACCCCCATGCTTCACAGTAGGTATGGTGTTCTTGGGATGCAACTCAGAATTCTTCTTCCTCCAAACACGACGAGTTGAGTTTATACCAAAAAGTTCTACTTTGGTTTCATCTGACCACATGACATTCTCCCAGTCCTCTGCTGTATCATCCATGTGCTCTCTGGCAAACTTCAGACGGGCCTGGACATGCACTGGCTTCAGCAGCGGAACACATCTGGCACTGCAGGATTTGATTCCCTGCCGTTGTAGTGTGTTACTGATGGTGACCTAAGTTACTGTGGTCCCAGCTCTCTGCAGGCCATTCACCAGGTCCCCCCGTGTGGTTCTGGGATTCTTGCTCACCGTTCTCATGATCATTTTGACCCCACGGGATGAGATCTTGCGTGGAGCCCCAGATCGAGGGAGATCATCAGTGGTCTTGTGTGTCTTCCATTTTCTGATAATTGCTCCCACAGGTGATTTTTTCACACCAAGCTGCTTGCCTATTGTAGATTCACTCTTCCCAGTCTGGTGCAGGTCTACAATTCTTTTCCTGGTGTCCTTCGAAAGCTCTTTGGTCTTGGCCATAGTGGAGTTTGGAGTCTGACTGTTTGAGGCTGTGGACAGGTGTCTTTTATACAGATAATGATTGCAAACAGGTGCCATTAATACAGGTAACGAGTGGAGGACAGAAAAGCTTCTTGAAGAAGACGTTACAGGTGATCTGCAACCTTTTCCAATATTTTAGAGATTTAGAAATGGGTCTGTAATTTTTAGGCTGCGATGAGTCCAAACTTGTTTTTTTAAGGATAGGTTCAATAACTGTATGTTTGAAAACAGATGGTACAGAGCCCAGAAAAACTTGCCCTGATATTTCTGATTTTATTCTCAAAGAATGCTAGAAAGTTGTTACAGTCAGACCTTGAGTAAATTGGCATAAGAGGGGCGTGAGGTGAAACAATCTGGTTTATGGTGTCAAACAGGACTTTAGAGTTATTTTTGTTTGCAGCAATCAGCTGAGCAAAGTTAGTGACCCTGGAAGTTTTCACTGTCTCATTCAGAGATGTTATCAGTTCTTTAAAGTACAGCCTGTGACTTCCTAATCTAGTTGACTTCCAACGTATCTCAGCTCTGCGGCATGTCCTTCTGAGACTGTAAATGTTTTTGATGAATCCAAGGACTTTTTCTCTTGCTAGAAAAAGTAACCTGTTAACAGGAGCTACTTTATCTAAGATACTGCAGCACTGTTTATCCATTGCGCGTGAGTGTCTCTCTCTCGTGGAGCTGATGCAGAGGCATAAACTAGGCTCCCCGGACGAGCTGGCCCAAGTAGCTGGGGAGAAGGAAGTCTGGGCCTCCCTGCTTAGGCTGCTGCCCCGTTACCTGACTCTGCATAAGCGGCAGAAAATGGATTAAAAAAAATCTTTGAAATTTTTTTGTTTGTCCACAAACCATGTTTACCACGTTATCACATCCACACTGTAGCATTTTTAAATATCTGGTCATTATTTGACATCTATAAACAATTTCCTTCAATGCAGTTCTTTCGCACGTTTTGTTTTGCATAAACAAATGAGTGTGGGGCAGTAAATCAACAAAAAGACGCAGAAAGAATCTAAGTAAACACTGACACTTTTATTTAATCTGTGTGTGTGTGTGTAGAAACGCCGAGACATTCACCATGCTGCTCCCTGCGCTGCTGCTGCTGTTCCTGGTCTGCAGGACTCAAGCATCTCATGTGTATGGCACCATGATGACCTACTACCCAAAGAACATGGGTGCAGATGGATCCATCTCTGTAAGTTGAAGTATTTTCTCTCCAAATGCATTACTTTTACCAACACTTCCTGTTAAATCTACAGGTGATCCTTCGCTACAAGTTGAACTACCTGACATGCCCTTATGTGGACGTGTGGACTTGCAGTGGAAACTGTGGGAATCAGACACAGAGCTTTTTATCAGCCCAAGTGGATGTGAGCAGTGGTGAATGGTGTCAGAGAGAAGGAATCATGACTCAGCTGGTTCCCAACAACTCTCCCCTTCAGCTTGTGTGAGTCCAAATCAACATTCTGAGAAAATACATTTTTGTGCATTGATTCGGACGAAAAACCCACTCCAGATTTAATCCAGAGGTGGTGCTAGACTGTTTTGTTGTCCGTCATTTTGGCCCACAGGGTTCGAAAGAAGAAGAAAAAAAAATACGGTCATGATTGATTTTTTTAGGAAATCCTCCCACAAACACGTGCACCAGAACCTTGTGGTTCTGCTGTGCAGGCCTGTGACCTGTAGTCACAGATGCAGTCCGAGCTTCGGCACTCTGTCCACTTGCACGTGCTGTCAATAACGAGATGCATTTACAATGGTGTCCGAGTGTGAGATAATGCTCAGAAGGTCTTTTCTTGATAGATTGTGTTCCTGCTGTGATGTCCTCTGTGTAGAATGTTTAAAAGGCCTGTGCCCATGCACAATTCAAGGTGTGATTTGCAGTCTTTTAAATGAAGGACAGCCTTCAGTCACTGTTAAAAACAAACAGGTCAAATATAGTAAATGTGCAGTTAACGGGACCCCTATTTAAATAAACACAACCCATGTGATTATAACTGTCCGTGAGCTCCTCTGATCATGCTAGCTTCTGAGAATGTGAGGTATATTGCTGGACTTAAGAGATCTGTTTCTCACTACTTTAGGATGTCTACCAACATTTGGGCAACAAACCTAAATGGCATATCTTCCCGGACAGCTGTGACTTTTGTTGAACTGAGGACCCGATCTGACACTGGCAAACCCAACACATCACCACAGACCACCATCATCCCAGTTGTGAAGTAAGTTGGTGTTTAGAAACATCAATGCAATGCAAAGAGCCAAAAAATGGTCAAAAAGTTTCATTAAAGGTGTCTTAAAATGAAGGTTGTTTCATGGGAACTAGGGATGCATCTATATTGGTATTGGCTGATGTTAGTCATTTTTAACATGTTGGTATTGGTTTTCCTTGCTGTCAGTGTGTGATAGAAGGGTGTGTGGGTGTTTTGGGCTCCTGACAAACCCTTGCATTGTCCGTCCAGAGCTACACTGATGCTTCCAGTTTCATAGTCAGGGAGAAAGAAAAGGAATTGCCACAGGATAAACGAAAATATGTGATTGAACTCTATGAAACAGGAAAAGGATATGAAAAGATATCCAACATAGTGATGATGCCAATCAGCAGTGCACATACTCCCATCTGTTGAAACCAAACCACAGTCAGGTGGACCAACAAACCTTTCTGCATCCACTAGTCATGAACCGTTCCCTGCTCCTGTGTTTCCCGTGATTGTTTAGTTTATCGTTTGCATCTGCCTCTCATTACCTGATTACCTGCCCCTCATGTATTTAATCCCTGTTTGCTTTTGTGTTAGTTGTCGGATTGCCTGTTTACTTCTGTGGGTTCCTGCGAACTCCTGTTCCTGATGTCTCCTCAGCACTGATGAAATGAAAGACCTTATTTGCCTACAACTGCCTCTAGTTTGTTCTCACACACTTTTGGATCTTACTCCCCTCCCAAAAATGACACAACTTGTAGAAAACTTTGCACAGTACAAAGAATACCCCCGAAAAAACTTCTGCGAACATTCAGGACCACCTCAAGGACAGTGGTGTGGCTGTTCCAAGAAGCACAATCTAGATGCGCTTGAAGAAAAATGGCCTACAAGGCCGAGGTGCCAGAAGAAGGCCATTATTGTGCCAATGCCCCAAAGCATCTCACTTACGAAATGCCAAATAGCACAGAGACGAGCCTCAAAGATTTTGGAACAAAATCATTTGGAGTGATGGGACCAAATTCGAACTTTAGCCACAACCATAAACATTTGGAGAGGAGTCAACAAGGCCTTTGATGAAAAGTGTACAGTTCCAACAGTGAAGAATGGAGGTGGTTCTCAGATGTTTTAGGGATGTGTGTTACCAAGGCACTGGACAGCTGGTCACGACTGATGGCAAGATGAGTGCAGGTGCTTACCAAAAGATTCTGGAGGAGAATTTGCGCTCATTCGCCCGAAAGCTAAGCATGGGTCGCACTTGGATGTTCCAGCAACACAATGATCCAAAACACATGGCCAAGTGGACCTGCCACTGGCTGCAGCAGACGTGAGCGGTTTTGTTACAAACATTTGTACCATAAGCACAAACACTGTTAAAGTTGCATCCAGACGAATAGGACGAGTGATGTTAAAACAAATCTGCCGTATTAAGAATCTGGCTTGCTGCAAACATTGCTCCATCAGAGGACTTCTTCCTGTTTCTAGAGACTCTACTGGCTCCAAGTGAAGCCACCTGCAGGAATATAGATAAATAACTGATAGGATATCACAAAAAAACATATTGTTACCAATCTAGGTGTAAACATTGATTCAGAACTGAAATTTGACGCACAAATTAACACGGTAGCGCGTTTCAGTATTTTTCACTTGAGACACCTGGCTAAAGTCAAGCCCCTGTTGTCTAAGGAGCATCTACAGCTTGTTATTCATGCATTCATCCTGTCCGGACTTGACCGCTGCAATGCACTGTATGCCAGTCGGAGTCAGGGCGCGGTTGCTCACCTACAGCTGGTTCAGAACTCAGCTGCTAGATTTTTGACAGGCACGAGACGCCGTGACCATATTACACCGGTGTTGTCGGAACTCCACAGGCTTCATATCCAGTACAGAGCAAAGTTCAAAGTGCTGATGCTTGTGTTCAGGGCTCTTCATGATACTGCTCCTGCCTATTTATCAGCACTACCACAAAGACACGTCCCCACCCGCTCTCTTTGCTCTGCTGACCAGGAGTTATTGGTGGTCCCTCGTTCCAGATGCAGATCTAGGGGAGATCGTGCATTCATGGTCCTTGCTCCACCTTTGTGGAACAGTCTACCGTTGACTGTCAGGCTGGTGCCCTCCTTCTGCATTTTTAAGTCACGTCTGAAGCCCCATTATTATGTCCAGGCGTTTTCACCACAGGAGTCTGCAATTTTGTCTTGATTTGAAATGTTGTTTTTTTTTTATCAGTTTTTTTTTTGTTATTTTTTATTGTGTTTTAAATTTTTTTGATCTTTGTTTGTTTTTATTAATGGGATTGCTTTTAATGTTGTGTTCAGCACCTTGAGCTCCTGCTAAAGGTTGTAGAAGGTGCTCTATAAATGAATAAAGGAAAGATAAATTACAAAAATATGCCCTTAAGTTTTCATTTGATAAGAAATGTTTTCACACATTAGTACAGAAAGAGAAGTTGTGTGTGTGTGTGTGTGTGTGTGTGTGTTTTTGTGAAGCGCCTCAAGATTTTTATCTTGAGAAGTTCCATAAAATCATCATTTCTCCTTCTAAGCTATTCCAAGTAATCCAGCACCAGTGCCTTTTAAAACATCAGAGTTTTAGGAGAAAATGTACTTTTCAGTGAACTGTTTAATTTCACAGTCATCTTGCTTTAACTTGTGAACACTTTAGGGTATTTATGACAAAGCTGTCCAACAAAAGTAAAGCAATCAGAAAACAAACAGGATGAAAAAGAAAGTCAGCTATGATATTTCCAAATTTGCAAGTCAAACAGCACCAGCTAAAAGTGCCAGCTTTTTAGCTGGTGCTGTCTGACTTGCAAATTATGGATAATGTTTAAGTTTTAAGTAAAGAAGTGTTAAAGAGCAAGTTCACTGAGAAACATTTTTTACTTGGTATTTTTTTTTAAATACGGTCAGTGACTCAGAGTTTTACTTACATTAAAATGGCCTTCTACTCTTATTTCCTGCATTAGCTGCTGATAGAAAATAAAAGTGGAAACACGTGTCCAAAACGTCACACGGCTCTTCCTCACAATGATGACTGGCATCTATGGCTATTGTTAATTTAGCCTCCAGGAAAGAGCAGAGCATGCCTCAGCTCGTAAAAGCTAGTTGTTAGCATTAGCTACTTCATGACATTGCAGAACTCCTTCAGGTTTGCTTTATTTATGGAGATAAAACGTCAATGTTGCAGAGCAAACTTATGTAGTGGTAGAGTTGCGTTGCTGTTAGCCAATCAGAGGTGAGATGGTTGAATATCATGAATAATGAAACTCACCATTTTCCAATGCTGCCCATGCTCCGCTCAGTTTCTACTTCCTGAAACGGGGAGTGCCAGAGCTTTTTCTTCACAGAGAATGCCGCACAAGGTCTTCATTTATGATAAAGACAACAGCAAATGTTTTGGAATAACAAATGAATGACCTTCAAATGAGTGAGTTTGGCCCAGGTCACACGGCAAGATAGTTGTGCCAATTTTTGACCAGATTCTCCTCTTCAAGCAACTTTAAGAATGGGCCCAAATGCCTAAAGATAATCTTATCAGATATCCCTGCCATGTCTTAACCCACTCAGGCTCAAAATAAGTTTTGATAAAAGGACGAACAACTAAGTCCTTCTGTGGTACTTCTGAGTTCAAAAATGCTCATGAAATACGTATGTGGAGTAACCAGGTAGGTAGGCTTTAACTGTTGCAAATCTGCAACGCCTGCCTCCAGAGGGTTGAAAGTGCAAAGCATTGTTCCAAGGGATGATTCCAAATCAGGGGTAATCACCATGTAGGAATACTGGCCCAATATTGAAGCGTTTGTGCCTGTGCCTTATTAGCACCAGATAATGGAACCACACTGGTTGGAGTAAGGGAGATCCAAATCTCCTTCTCTTCGGCCATACTTGTTTACTCTGAACTAAGTTGATCTTGATACGTTTAGTGAGTTTACCCGTCTGACTCTGGAATATTTGTGAGTGAAACTGATTTGTGTCCAGTGTTTTTTATTTCCCATGCGGCCGCTCACCACATACTGAACGACTAAAACGATCATATCCGTCATCCCTTGATAACCGCGAGTGATCTCTCATATTTTGAAAATTTCTCAACAGTTTAAAGTCTTGCTATGTGAACTGAGCCTTAAAAACATTTGAAAACTAGTTAAAATGAGAACTGCTGTTGGCCTGGAAATCCCATATATTGTTCCTTAGAAGAGGCAGTAGTTAACAAGAAGTATAAGAACCAGAGAACTAAATAAAATTAGAAGAAAACGCTGAAGACATTGTTCAAGTTATGCACGTCTTTTGTGGAATTACAGATTTTTGATTTTGAATCACCACTTTGATGACTTCTCATTTGGATCACTTATGAGAATCTCATGAATAAGAAGCTTGCTTACTGACTTTATGAAGTTTTAGTTGACCGTCTTATTTTGTTCTATTATTATATTTATCCTATTGTTTTCTGTTATTTCTCTCAACTCAACTCAGTGCACGCGTGTGCACAGACACACACACACACACACACACACACACACACACACACACACACACACACACTTATTGGATTGTGCATTTAATCGATGTCTGTGTCTGACTATCATGACCCATCCTGAAGTGTCTGTGTGTGTCTGCATGTGTGAATGATATATAGGGACTAATATGTGTGAATGTGATCTTTTATTTATTATATTTTTAATATTGGTGTTTACAGGTTTTTATGCTCAGTAGCTATTCATGTGTAATGCTTTGTTGTGAAGCACATATCATTGGCTGGCATGAAATGGGCTATATAAATAAAGTTTTGATTGATTGACAAAATAAATACATAACAAAATATATTTAAAGAAAAGTGATGTTAACTTTGAACATGCCCAAGGCATAAAACATAATTGTGTTTGTGAAATTAATTAGCCTTTTCTCCCTCTTTCAGAGTTCCTTCAAACTGTCAGACATACGTTGACCTGTTGGCTTTTGACCCAGATGGAGATAAGGTCAGATGCAGATATGGAGACGATTCCTCATCGGAGTGTAGCCCATGCACACCTCCACCTATCCTCAACCTCAGTTCAGTATGTAAAATTAGTTACTCTTATCACACATTAGATACAGTCCCTGGCCCCCAGAAACTAGCCAGACAATAATATTTTATTGGACTGTTGTTAGCTTTGATAACAGCACATGCTCACCATGATACTGCAGCATCTCCAGGTTCATTTCCATCCATCAATCAATCAATCAATCAATCAATCAATCAATCAACCAATCAATCAAAGATACTTTATTAATCCCAGAGGGAAATTAGAGTTTCAGTACACACAATTCAGAGATCAGACATACATGGGCAAGACACATGACAAGAATTGGTGACTGTGGTCATTCCCAACCCTGAGTCGAGCCACCTTAATAGAGATAAGAGGGTAACACGAGGAATTGATTCAGGAGGAGGGAAAAAAAGGCACTTCATAGCTACCCTCCCACCAGGAGGGCAGCTTTGCTCTGCAAAAAAACACCTCAAACAGATAAGCAACAGACAACACAACATAACATGAAACTCCAATAGGAAGGTGGTGGTGGTAGTGGTGGGGTGGGGGGTGGGGGGTGGGGGCTGGGATCCTGTTTCCCCAGTGAGAGCAGCCATCTACGGTGCTCAGCCACTGTAGTCACAAGTGGGAGGGAGATCTTGGGAGGAGCGCAGGGCACATTGACTCCTGCAGGTTGATGACCTCGCCAGGCTGAAGTCCACCAATCCGAAGGTGGGGCGGGGGGGGTCAGGTATTCACACCATCTGTCTGCATTCCTTTGTGGGGGTTTGTTGTTGGCGTCTCAAAGGCTGCTATGGCATCAGATTCGGATAACAAGACTTTGTTTGGGTCAGGCTGAGATAATTTTCCTCTCAGCCTTCAGTCTTTAAACTGATCATTCCAGTCCTTCAGTGAAGCCAATTTAGGTTTTTAAACATGTCCTCACCATCCGGTGACCCTCTCCGAGATGACATCCATTTTGCTCACTAATACCAGTATCGCAGCTAGAACATTGTCCAGCTTGCGATTCACCTCGAGTAGTATCCCAGTCTGTGAGGTCTCCACACGGACGGTGCTTTTCGTGGGTGCGGGTCGCCCTCCAATCGCTCCCGTCTTCCCAAATTTCCAGAAAACCAGATATCCTCCCACTCCAATCAGAAGAAATCCAGTGATCATCAGGCCAAACATCCACACGTCTTCGACGTCCTCAATGGACAGCTGGGAGAGGCATACGTTCTTTCACTCCTTCCAGGAATCCAGCACATACCCCGCTGGGTGTGTCCCTTGCGGGCAAGTGGGAGCCCCCTGCTCCGTTGTCACTGTTGAAAAAATCTCATCAATCGTGTTGAATGACCAATTTATCAAATCCATGGTTAAAAATAGGGTTTTTCAGAAGAAATGCAGAAAAGCGCTCTGTGGGCAGACAAGACAAAAAGCCTTGGAAAAAAGATAAGGGAGCAAAAAGAGAAGCGTCTGTACTCTGGGAGTGCCAGGAAGAAAAAGATCCAGTGTTGCATTCAATTTTCTCTAAGTTCCTGTATTGATGATGGAACCCAACCCCTGCGCAAACCCCTGTGACCCATGTGGCCATTATCCAATAGGAGGCCCATGCCTATTTGTTTGGTTAAATCCTGGTGGTTACTTTTTTACTCAGGCAGTGCTTATAGATATTTTATAGAAAATAAATTATATTTGAAGCAAGTTGGTTTTGCTGCAAGGTTGTCTTTTTCTTTTTGTCACAAAACCTTTAGTTCAGGGCTATTCAATTGTGGGCCTTGAGGGCCGGTATCCAGCACAGTTGAATGGTTTCTCTGCTCCAGCACACTAGATTCAGTGGTTGGATCACCTGTGCATCAGGCTCTGCAGAAGCCTGTTAATCACGTACAAATTGAAATGAGGTATGTTGTGTTGCGTTGAAGGTAGGAGGTCTGGACCCAAAATGCAAGAACCTAGAGCTACACAGGCAGGAGTGGTTGCAAAAATCAGAATCCTTTATTTAGGATGAGTTGCAAAAATCCAAAGAGGTGGAATCTAAGCCTCGCCTACAAAAACACAGAAAGCCAAAACAAAAGCTTAAACTTATGAGCAGGAACCTAGAGCACAGGAGGGAGACCAGAACAACGCTGACAAAGACAAAGTCTAACAAAACACTGAGAGACGAGACAGGGTTATATACACAGGGGCTGGGTGATTTAGGGAATTGGGCACAGGTGAGACTGATAAACTGAGAGGAGGAGCAGAAATGGGCAGGGGAGAACACCAGATCTAAATCCTGTAAAACAAAGCTACTAAACTAAAATAAACCTAAACACTGTAGAACAAAGACACAGGAGGTCTAAAGATAAGTAAACTAATGACCTAAATAGGAAACACAACACACTAAAAGAGTTATGAACTAGATAATCTGAACATATAGAAAACTAAAAACAAGTGCAGTGACTAGGGGGAACATGAGGGAAACCAGGAGGGGGCTGGGGACCAAAGAGACACAGAACATGACACGTTGAAGCAGGGTTAAAACCAAAACGTGCTGGATACTGGCCCCCGAGGCCCGGAGTCGAACATCCCTGCTTTAGTTGATTTGTTCTGTTCTCTGTCAGTCTTGTACTCTGTCATTCAGCCCGACCCCCAGCAGTGCTGAAGGTGTATACGTCATCCAGCTGGTGATGGAGGACTTTCCCACACAGAACATGGTCCTGACTCAAAGTAATGGTTCACAGGAGGTGAAAACTACCAGCAGCGCTATCAGCAAGATACCCGTTCAATTTGTTTTCAAAGGTAAAATTACTTATCTTGTTTAGGAACAACAGAGCTGCATTAAGATCTGATTTTGATAAAACGAACAAACAAAAAAGTAAAAAAAAAAAAAAAAAAAAACTCTGTTCAAATTATTAACTTTTGCAATAAAGTAGTAAAAAGTATCTCATTTTTATTTCCTGTACAAATTAATAAATTTTTACCTGTGTCCAAATTCAGGAGCTGTCTCCTTCCAAGTACACATTGTAAAGGGGAACCAGGAGAGTTATATATATATATATATACACACATATATATATATATATATATATATATATATATATATATATATATATATATATATATATATATATATATATATATATATATATACAGTATATATACACACACTCCTAAATGGACATGGTTGGACAGGTAGACAAGGACTCTGAATTTGGACACAGCCTTGGTCTGACAGCAAATTACACTAACAATCATTTGTGTGAAAGTGGTGAATCACTTCATTGACCGATGTCTTTACTGCCACAAAAAAAACGTCATCATGACTGAGTTTTGTGATTCCTGTGTTGTTCCAGTTCTTCCTGCAGTCCCATCCTGCTCTGATGGTCTCTATCTGCCCAGATTTCTTCCTCCAACTCCAGAAAACGGGGCTCAGTTCAACGCTGCTGTTAATCAGAGTCTGGAAATCACCATCAGAGCAGAAGCAACTCAGTCTGTGTAAGAGGAAGTAAAACTTAATTATGAAGAACAAACATCAGTTGGGTCAGTCGATCTCATCTGTTGCATCACAAAAACAGATAAATGACATGTTTACCAAGGCAAGAGCAATGGAAGAGGAGGTTTAACAGAATAAGCAGTTTGTATTTTGCACACACATAAAAAATACAACTCTGTACTATTTTTGTTTCCAAACGCAGCAGGAGGGTAACACTTACACACATTGAGAAAATACAACTAGCAGAACTGCAATCTAAAAATGCACAAGAACTGGCAATGCACACAGGAGGAGACAACAAAAATAACAAAAAAATAGAACTAAACTCTGACCAAAAATAACATTTAGGTCAACCCTGGTCCCCAGGACCCCCCTGTCCTTCCATGCCTTTGCTTCAGCACACCTGATTTGCATTGCCTCCTGCAGACACCTGTTAATCACTCATTTATTTAAGTCAGGCGTGCGGCAGCAGGTGGTGTTTGAAAGTAAACATGTAGGACAGGGGGGCGCTGAGGACCAAGGTTGAAAAACATGGATTTAGACCCCGAAACAAAGGCCAGTATCAAACGTTTTGGGCTTGTAGGAGACATTCATCTGTCCTCTGAAACACCTGTTTATTCCTGGTGAAATTCAGGATCACTGAGCTCCTGTTCAGCGGGCCGTACGACGTTGTCAAAATCACATCAGGATCAGGAAACTTCACCCTGAGATGGACGCCGTCTGACATCAGTGATAAGGAACATCTTCCCATCTGTTTCGTCATCCAGGCAAGGTCGGTATCTTCCTTGATGAATGTTGAAGTGTTTGAAGGTGACATTAATGAAAAATTCACTCCTTTAGTCATTCAAATGAAACAGACTGAAAATATGTCAGTTAATAACAAAAGTCTGTTTATAAAGTTTCTTACCTCTGAAGTGGAGCTCCAGCTTCAACACCAAAGTGTCCAGTTCACATTGATTTAACTTGCTAGGGCTAGTTCCTCAAGACTTATCCCAGCAGAGGTTGGATTGTGTTCACTGAAGGATCTTAAACTAAATCAAAATCTTTTAAACTAAAGTTTCACAATTCGTCTACTGCTCTGAATTATTTCCACAGTTTTAACAGTTCTGATTATCAGTCCGAGCTCCGATGTGTTGTTGTGGGAGTTGGAACCAGTGAGTAGATTTCCTTATTCCTCATATTACAAAACCCATTAGTTATTTACTGAAGTCACATGTTTTTCCTTATCTGCTGTCCTCATCCCTCCACCAACTCCAGCTCCTCCTCCAACACCATGTGAGTACAAGAAAAGCACAGTAGGTGTTTTACAGTCTGCACTGTAATTACCGACTGTTACCATGGCACGTTGTGTCTACTTTTGTTTTTTCTTCATTTATTTCTGTTTAGATTTATATACCAATGCCTCTAAACCATACAGCATGGCCGCTCTCACTACTGGAACCCTTTTATCACACCTGACACTGTTCTCCACCCCGTTACCTGCTTCTTCACCTCTTTTCTACTCTCACACCTCTCACACCTGTTCTCTGCCACTCCAGACCTCCACATGCTATAACAGCTCCTCGCAGCACCCCGTCACACACTTTCTCTAAATCTGCTGCTTCTCTCTACTTTTTCATCAGTATCCTTACAGCAAAAGTAGTGCAGTACTCTGTAGCACTCTTTCTTAGCGTGAAGTATCTTTTGCTTGAACAGTGTACTACAGTGCTTGTTGGTATAGTTTTTAAATTATTTTGTTCTAAAGTTTATTTAAACTTTTGCTGCTTTTCACCTTTACTGCCCGCTGTCTGCCATGACAATGCTAAGTTCAGACTAATACAGGATTCTCCTCTTCTCTTCTCTTCTCTTCTCTTCTCTTCTCTTCTCTTCTCTTCTCTTCTCTTCTCTTCTGACATGTAAAAATGTGTAAAAATTCAAGGAGTATAAAATCTGTTGCAAGGCACTGTATAAAAAAAATCGTATACCAAGTCAGTTCCAGGTTTTTGGTCTGAATGCAAGTCAAGTCAACTTTATTTATAAAGCACTTTTCAACAGCATAAAAGCTGACCAAAGTGCTTAACAAGCCAAAAAGAACAGAAGTTCCCTAAAAAGTCTAAAAATAAGATAAAAAGTTCATCACAAAGTAAAAACATGATAAAAACAAACATATCAAACTGACATAAAAGCCACTAAAAACAGATGCATTCTCAAACTGAATTAAAAGCAGCTGAGAACAGATGAGTCTTTAAAAGTGATTTAAAACCCAACAGTGACGAAACCATCCTAATCTGAATTGGGAGTGCAATCCACAACCTTGGAGCTGCTACTGAGAAAGCTCTATCACCCCTGAGCTTTCTCTTTGTTCTCGGCACCTCCAGAAGAAACTGGTCGGCTGACCTCAGTGACCAAGACGGGGAGTGAGTAACTAAAAGTTCACAAAGATACTGCGGAGCATGGCCATGTACAGCTTTAAATGCCAATAAAAGAACCTTGTGTCAGGTTCGTTGGCAGATCTGAAGCGTGACTGAGAGGATCTGTTGCCCAGATGCAGCGTGGTTATCTCCTGAAGGTTTAGTTTGAAGGTTTAGAGGGCTGGTAAGCCTGGAGACTCGGAACAAAGTCTGGTGAGAACGATGACTGAGCAATGAATGAAACGCCGGCACTTCCTTAAGTAGTGACGGCGTGATGACGTCAGCCGCCACGTTGGTGGCAGGAATGATTGGAATGAAGTCAGCGGGAGGAGTTTGTGACACCTTGTACTGCACCCTAAAATCCACAGGCAGCCAGTGCAGCGAAGCTGACTTTGGGGTAATGTGCTCCCTCTTTCTCGAACCCGTCAATAGGCGTGCTGCTGCATTTTGCACCATTTGAAGACGGGAGAGGTGAGACTGAGGAAGACCAAGGTACGGTGCGTTGCAATAGTCAAGGTGCGATGTAATAAACGCGTGATTCACCATCTCAAAGTCATGACTTGAGAGCAGACGTTTAACCTTGGCGATTGCAGACTGATTCTTTTTTGATAGTTACAGTAAATTGATTGAAATGGGAATGGTAGAGAGGATAAATGTTCTTCTCTCTAATGTCAGTCTTTGTGTGGAGACTTTGACTCATTCATCATGTTGTGTTCTCTGTGCTGATGCTGGCCTGTGGGACTCAAGTTGGTTTTCATGGCATTGTGAATACCTACACTGTGAAAGACTTTGATGGAAATGGATACCCGGTAAGCTCAGATACTTGGTTAAAGTTTGGTTTTGCATTTGAAACTTTGATTGTACCTGAATCCTATTTCACTTCAAATCTACAGGTGATCAGACGTGTAAAATTCAGCTTCAGTTCATGTGAGGCGTTCGACTCGTATTATTGTGGTGGAAACTGTAGTAATAGAGGAGATATACATACGGTTGAGGAAAGCGTTGGTGAATGGTGTCAGAAAGAAGTCAACATGAGTTGGTCTCAAACCAGTTTCAATACATCTTCTGTATGGTGAGTCCCATTTACCTTTAATATTGTTGTATATTTAGTAACATTTTACATTACTGAATGATGAATAAAGTTTCCATTCAAAATACTCATTAATTTGACTCAGCTTCTGCTTTTACAATAAAAACAATCATTGCTTGTTCAGCTCCTATGAAAACATTTTTTTATTTGAGAAGTTTTGTTGGATTTCAGAGATCTGTGTAACATCTGAAAACTTCTCATTATCTTTGTGCTAGGTGGGAGGGTGAGGTCTGGATACCCAACATGAATGGTATTTCAACATTTAAAGCTTTTAATTACTTAGAACTGAGGAACCGCTCTGACATCGGTAAACCCAACTCATCTCCACAGACCAGCGTCCTTCCAGCTGTGAGGTAAGTTTCTGTCAGTCATCACATGTTGGATTTTATTATGTTGGGTTTGGCAAATTGAGTGCTTTAAGAGCTTAATATATATATTACCTCTACTTATGACCAATAAGCTGTGATACTCTATTTAAATATAGAATCTCAACCTGCTTGGTCCTTATTGTGTTTTAATCAGAAGATTCTAGGATTCTTTGTTTATTAAGGGATAGTACACACTTCACTTTGATTCAGAAAAGAGTCAGGTTTATAAAAGTAAGAATTTATTTTACCAACAATTAAAACATGACAGGTTAACTAACATTTACTGTGATGGATGGAACTAGATGTGATGTATGAAACCTATGTGTGAATGCGATGTTATCAGAACTTCCGTGTCTAGGAGAGCTGAGTTCTGGAAAAGAATTTGGTTTGCGTTCAGCTATGAAGTTGATTATTATCAAAAGGCATCAGACGCTGTCTGTGTGTCTACTTCACCTGTTTCGGAGAGCCTCTTGGTGGATCCGAAGGTCAGAGAGGTCGGATGACCTCTGGCACCGGAGGGCTGTAGAATACTGTGGCACCGACCCTTCAGTCCAGAGATATCTCGGGTCATGACAGATGGATGGAACCGCGCGTCCTGGACTCTGTAAGGCAGGGGTGTCAAACTCAAACTCACACGGGGCCGAAATGAAACTCTGGGACGGAGTCGAGGGCCAAACTTAATATTTTTGAAAAAGTGACGGCAAATTTGCACATTTTCTTTATCAACTTATATGCAATTTTGAACCTTTAAATTTGGAAACAAACTTATTTCTGCATTAACACTGAATGTGGAATAACCAAATTACACACGAGCAAGTCAGTTTTAAATAAAAGGCATCAGTGGTATTCATTACTTGTGGTATAATCAGCATTTTTAAAATCTATTCAGGATTTATGTTTTCTTGTTTATTCATTTTTCTTATTTTTTATTCTCCTTTTTTTCTCCTGTAATACGTGTCATCGCTGCTGTGACTTCTAGCGTTCCCCACTGAGGAACAATAAAGGGATTTTCTATTCTATGTATCTATCTGCAGCCTTTCCACTTCCTGTTTACTGTAGGTTAAATCTTTTCTCACGGGCCAACAACAAAATAAAAATATCATTTTATCTTAAATGAAAATGCAACATCTCACCTGTTAACTTTCATGTTTTGGAGCAGAAAAAGAGCATAAAACCAACATATTTAAAGCTCAGTTTGCTCCACTGGTTTACTGTGATGCTCACCTGTTCCAGCCAGATACCTGCATCATGGGGTTGATCTGAGCTGAGGAGGAGACTCCTGTTGTTTTGTTCATCTTCATCATAATAATGACAACATTAGATGACAACAGGTGCTCACATAGGTTTGTGCTGCTGAACATGTCTGAGCAGCTTGACCACGTTGTTGTGTGTCGGGGAGGAAACACAAGGACAGCAACCACAGAGTCGTGCTGGTTTGAGCGTGTCGCTGTTCGCTGGAGTTATATCGGCTCTGTCTGGACGTTAGCTGGAAAACTTTCTCTTTCAGTCGTGAACACATTACTGAGCGGCTAGAATCTCCGTTTCTGGGCTTCAACGTCAGAAAATAGCTGAGTGAACTCGGCACTGAGTGAGAGGAGCGTTTAGTTTGTCCGAGACAGCGGAGCTGCAGACACCGGCAGCAGGCACTGGAAAAAAACACAAAGGAGGGGGTGCGTCGGCTCCGCGCTAACGCCGCAAAGCATCATGGGAGTTGAAGCCTTTGTGGTAAAATCGGCCAGCGGGCCAGTTTTAATATATTTTTGATATTTATCTCGCGGGCCACATAAAAATGCTCCGCGGGCCGCATCTGGCCCGCGGGCCTTGTGTCAGACATATGTGCACTAAAGAATGTTTTTTTATTTGTTGATTTTTTTTTGTTCAAATTTTCAAGTACACTTCAGGTGTTGTACTTGTACTGCACTGTCCTCAGGCTCCAGCCTCGTTTTATATTGATTGTATTAAAACAAAGAAAACAATCTGAAGTATTTAATTAATTTACCGGTCCGGCCCACTTGGGACTAGATTTCCCTCAATGTGGCCCCTGAGCTAAAATGAGTTTGACACCCCTGCTCTAGCGGAAACATTTAAAGTCATATTACTTATTATATTCTGTAGGATTATAATATCAAGTAATTATTATTTTCATTTCATAAATCGGTTCACATTTTATTAATGACTAACACTTTGTTTGATTAGCTTATTAATATAATATTATTATTATTATTATTATTATTGAGACCTTGAGGCAATATCTCATGCAGATTAGTTCTTGCTGAGGAGAGGGGGGAAATGATTTTTAGGTGGAAAACAGTCACTTCATTTTGTTACACCTTATTTGGTTCAAATATTCATCAGAATCACAACATAGAAAATCAAGACCTATAATACCTCATTTTAATATTGTGAACTTTTCTAGCGTTCCTTCAAACTGCCAGAGAAATATCAGCTTGTTGAACTTTGACCCAGATGGAGATGAGGTTGAATGCAGATGTGCAGTTGGATCCTTATCAGAGTGTCTCACTTGCTCACCACCATCGATCCTCAGTGTCTCATCAGTAAGTAACAGAAACGTAGAGCGGACACCCACACCAAATAAAATTAGAGCGATATAACGTTTTAATTGAAAAACTTCCCCATCAATATAATTTTTAATATTTGAATGCTATAATATCACATTTTTACAATATACCTTTTTATTACACTTGTACAATATAATTTATATTCTTTGTAAAATATAAAATTATTCTTCAAATGTGATACATCTGTGTACAGTATTAATGTGAAAACTATCCACTGTAATGTGATTTTCTTTGGTGAGGGTGGCAGCTCTCATGACATAGACAGGTGTGATTTTGACACAGATAATGAAACACCACATGTGATAAAATGTAATTTAATCTAAGATGTTTTTAGTTTTCCACTTGTATTTCTCCTGTAATATGAAATCAACATGTACTTGTACTTGTCTCAGTACTGGAGTAATGTTTGCACACTTTTCACAGAATTGTAGCAGTTAGCAGAAAAATGACCACTCACACAACTAAAACATGAAGTCAGACTAGAAAAGAAAATAGAAAACAAAAAAATGAAAAGCTTTGAAAAGTCAATAAAATTAAATTAGAAATAAAATTTCAAAAACCCAGATGAATTACTAAGAATAAGCGAATCAAGCAATAAAAGGAGCAAAGATTAACAGGGGGAGGCAACGGTTTACTTTATTTTAATTAATACATTGTGATAACAAATTAAAACAAAAGAAAAAACATAAATGAAACATAGATCCCTAAATTTTAAAACAATAATAATTAAATTGTTGTATTTTAAATGTCCTTCCCCCTTCTTTTCTACCTTTCTCCAGTCTTGTTTTCTGTCGTTCAGCCCAACTTCCAGCAGTAATGAAGGTCTATATGCAGTCCAGCTGATGGTGGAGGACTTTCCCAGACAGATCATCACTCTGACTGATTCCGGTGTACAGACCATCACTCTGACTGATTCTGGTGTTTTGCCAGTGCTGAAAACTCCCAGTGACCCCATCAGCAGGTCCCCCTTGCAGTTTGCTTTAAATGGTAAGACTCCATCTTTAGATTTTATGCTTTTAAAAGAAGAAACAATCTTTTATAAAGTGCCTCTCAAGAAAAAAAATCACAAGGTGCTTCACAAAAGCAAACTTAAAAACAAACAAAGATGAAGATGATTAAAAAATGATATAATAAAAAATGGGGAATATTTACAATGACAAATGTGAAAAAACAAAAACAAAGAAAAAGGTAGTCACGGTATCCTGAAAAAGACAGAATTGGAAGATGCTACAGCATGAAAAGAAAAAAAGGATGATGAAGAATAAATCGAAGGTCACGCCAAAGCCAGCCAAAACAAGTGAGTCTTCAGCTGCTTTTTAAAGGAGACCACTGAGTCCACTGATCTCAGGCTCAGGAGGAGAGAGTTCCAGAGTCTGCGGACCACCGTAGCAAATGATCTGTCACCTTTGGTCTTCAGCCTGCTGCGCTGCACAACCAGTAGGCTTTGGTCACTGGACCTCAAGGACCTGCTGGGGGTGTAGGGACTGAGAAGATCACCAATGATGGTGCTTGTCCATGTAAGGTCCTAAAGACCAGAACCAGGATCTTGAAATGAACCCTGAAGTTGACTGGCAGAATGGGATGTTCTTGTGATGGAAGAAAGAAGAGCAAACAAGAGAACTGACATTCGAATCCAGGGTAAGGGCTGGATCACAGGTCACGCCAAGATTCCTGACAGATGGCTTGGTGTGAGAAGCAAGCTGACCAAGAATATCTGACTTTGGGAAAGGCCAAGAACTGACCCCTGTGGTACACCTTAACATTACATGTCTCCATTTGAGGTAAAAAATCACCCATGTGAAGCCAGATAGGACCCAATACCCCATAGAAGTTGCCGTTAGATCAAGGAGTAATAACATCACCTCTCCAGCATCGTTCATCAAGTGGATGTATTTCAGGACCTCTAAAAATGCTGTATTGAGTCTTGAAACAACACTGCAGTGTTTTAAAGCTGCTCATCCAGGAATTCTAATAGCTGACTATTGCATTCTAAAAAATATTTTCACCATGTCTAAGATTGATCTCTCCTGTGTTGTTCCAGTTCTTCCTGCAGTACCATCGTGCTCTGAAGGTCTCTATCTGCCCAGATTTATGCCTCCAACTCCAGCAAACGGACTTCAGATCTATGCTATTGCTAATGAGCAGCTGGCGATCATCATCAGAGCAGAGGCAACTCAGTCTGTGTAGGAGGAAGTACAACTCATTTAAACATTAAGGAGAAAACTGTGCATGCAGGAAAGCCTCTGCTCAGACAAGCTTTGGAAAAATGTCAGGCTGTCGAGCCTTAAACTATTTGACTGGATGAGTGACTCAATTGACAGAATCAGAATATTTAAACAAGAGATCAAACAAAATACTTCACTTTTATTAAATCCAGAACTAGGAAAAAAATGCATTTAACCCACACAGAATGTAAAAAGTAAACAAAGTTTGAAAACTGTTTACCATTAAAACAGGGCAGCATTTTAGCTGATAGGACAGGTGGCGGCTCATTCATAGGAGGTGCTATGGCACCACCCTCACTGACGTGAAGAGAAAAAACATGAAAGTCAAAACAAATGTCCATCCATCCATTTTCGTCTGCTTTTCTGGCGTCGGTTCCCGGGATCAGTCTAGCAGGGAGGCCCAGACATCCCTCTCCCCTCTCCAGCTGGTCCAGCTCCTCCAGGGAAATCCCAAGGTGTTCCCTGGCCAGCAACCTGTCCAGGGTGTACCCCGCCGGCTTGCCCAGAGACGGCTGGAGATAGGCACCAGCCTCCTGCCACCCAGCTGGATAAGCGGGTAAAGAAAATGGATGGATGGGTATTTACTATAAATTTGTCAATTGTGCTCAATTGTGTGTGCCTGCATGCAATCTGAATTACTTGTACATCATTTTCACCAGTTGTCTCTGATATCTAAAAATCTATCACTATTATTTCCATTGGGGTGCTGGAAAAAGGTGGACAAGTTGTGCAGAGAGCTGACCAAACCAATTAGCTTCTGCTGTTGGTGCTAGATTCACCAAGGCTACTGCTGGTTCTCAAGATGCTACAGCCTTCAGTTTGGAGAGGCAGAATCTTTCTTAGGAACATACTACGGGAGATATGTGGGGATAAAAACTAATACAAGAGGACTGCAGGAAATAAAATTATATTTAAAAGGATCATTTAAAAAATTCAGAATAAAAAGTGGGAAATAAAAAGGAAAAAACTTAAACACGAGAGCCCAAAAATACAGAACTGACAAACACCTGCATGAAAAAAAGCTAGTGAGGAAGAAACAAATGAGCAGGAGTTCACGTGAAAGCAAGCCTGAACAGATAAGTTTTCAGCTGCTGTTTAAAGGAGACCTCTGATAGAAGTTTTCCACCAAATTAGTTTCAGAGCTAACTCTGTGCTGGTGCTACAGCAAGTGCTTTACCAGTTCTAACCAGTTCTTTAAAAGCACTGGTTCCTTTTCCACAGACTCGGGGCTTAGTCGGTGCTGTAATGATGCCATCCTAAGTGTTATAAATGGTAATGGTAAGTGTTGAGACACACCTATATACGGCAACATGAGGAGAAAATATGTCATCTTGATTTTTGACTTGCAGCGTGTAAAAAAAGTCTATATATAACTTGGAATAGAATAGAAAAGGTTCCCTTTATTGCCCCTCGGTGGGGACATTTTGGCATGACAGCAGCAATCACATCCATTACAGGAGTAAAAACAAAGAAAGAAATTAAATCCAGTGCAATCCAATTTTATCTCTACACAACACTGTTGACCAAAGTGCTGCACAGCCATAAACAAGTACATATATAAAAAACAACAAAACACACCAATAATAAAACGCATCACAGCTAAAATTATTCTGGAGACAAACACAAAATAAACATGGGTATATGACATTCAAACAAGGCTGAATGCACAACAATCAGATGGTGTTAAATGCTAGCGAGAAGAAGTGCGTCTTGAAAAGAGTTTTAAAAACCACAAGCGAGGAGGCTTTCCTTATATTGACAGGCAGCTGATTCCATAGGCTAGGAGCAGCCACAGCAAAAGACCTATCACCTCTCCGCCTCAGCCCTCGAAACAACCAACTTCAGCTGGTCAGCAGACCTTAACAGGCTTCGTGGACTGTGTGAAATGAAGACCAGGGACTCAGAGTAACCACGTTAGACAAGCGTTTAATCCGCCAGCACCCAGCTGCGAGATAACATTAAACCAACATGGTGGCTTGCAAAGCCTCCTGGGAACAGTAGTCCTACTACTACAGATTGTATGGCAGGAGAATGACCGAGAGGTATGATGGTGCCAGGCCAAATAAAGATTTATATGTCAGCACAAGAATTTTAAAAGGAATTCTAAAAACAACTGGAATCTGGTCAAAATAAGATAGCACCAGGGTGATGTGACCATACCTACAGGTGCCTGTTAGCAAACGTGCTGCTGCATCCTGCACCAGCTGCAGTCTTGAGAGAGATTCTTAACTCACCACAATATAAAGACCATTACAATAGTCCATTCTTGGGGTAATAAAACAGTCTTTCCATGTCTCTTTTTACCAGGACAGATTTAACCTTAGCCAATTTCCTTAACTGGACAAAAGCAGGATTTTACCAATACAGTTTATCTGCTTATCAAATTTCAGCTCAGAGTCTACCTTGACCCCCAAGTTTGAGATGACAATGGGACAAGACAACAATGCATCCAAGAGAGAAGGAGAAACACACGATTACCCGCTGAATTAAAAAGATAATTTCGGTCTTGCTCTCATTTACTCTCAGAAAATTAGAAGCCATCTACACTTTTACCTCCTCAAGACACTGTTAATCCTTGCCAACCCCTTAACTGGAGCATAAGTTGTCCGAGAAACAATGAAAGGCCAGACCATATTTCCTAAAAATAGCACACAGAGGGAGCAAATATAAAGAGAGCAGTAGAGGACCAAGCACTGAACCCTGGGGAACACCACATTTAAGGGGAGCCTCCTTGGAACAAAAGTCACCAATACTGACAGATATTGACCTATTGGATAAAATATGATTTGAACCAGCTCAGGGCAATGCCTCTTAATCCAACAAAATCTTCCAAACATGACATCAAAATGGAGTGGTCAACCGTATCAAAAGCTGCAGTCAGGTCCAGCAGCAGTAACAATACGGTTTCAGCAGAATCTGTAGCCAGAAAGATGTCATTAAAAACCTTAACCAGTGCTGTCTCAGTACTGTGGCAGGACTTACCACCTGATTGGAAAACCTCAAAAATCTGGTTCCCATCAAGGAAGACAGTCAATTACAAATAAATAAATTAAAAAAAAAAAACCTTTTCCAACACCTTGGAGAAGAAAGAAAGCATAGAAATTGGCCTAAAACTAGACAAAACTTTTGCAACCATACCAGGTTTTTTAACAAGGACTTTAATGGTAGCATGTGAAGAAAAAAAATACATGTAAACATAAAACACATATTTAAAGATAAGACAAGAATACTTAATATCGCCAAGAGAGTCTCTTGGTGGTGACTTCACAAACCAAGGCTAACCAGCTTGTCTGGGACACAGATGAGGATCTCAGTCTTCATTCAGCCGTAGAAAGTTCCCAGCCATCCAGGTTTTGATCTTAGCAGCTTACATCAGGAATTTATTGCAGGATATCTAATTTAATTTCAATGTTTTGTAAATACTGCTGACAGTCATGCTTATTTTCTGTTTATCTAAGGATCACTCAGCTCCTGGTCAGCGGGCCGTTCACTATGGTCAAGAGTTCATCCGGATCAGGAAACGTCACCCTCACATGGACGCCATCTAATAGTGAAAATGATGAAAGTCACCCCGTCTGTTTCGTCTTTGAGGCGAGGTCAGAGTCTTACGAAAAATTCTGATTCAGCTAGAATAAAAAAAGTTCACTGTAGCAAATTTGAAATGAATAAAATGCAATATTTTATTTGCCAGATTGGTTCAGGTCAATAATGCAGAAAGAATCCAACTCTGCTGTCACAATAGATAAAGGTTCTCATTGAAGAAGAACTACAGAGACTATGTTTCAGGAAGGAAGACTAAAACTGTAACATGAACTTGAAACATTTTTTATGAATTGATCCTCACAGAGGTTAGACCTGAACCCACAGGGGCTGTGACTAAAGTCAGAGTGTAGCTTTTGTTAGAGGGCAGAGTATGAAAAGCCACCAACATCTGTATGCAAATTTGGAGCAACGGTAGCTCAGAGGTTAGGAAGTGGTGCAGGACAGCAGTGGCTGTGATGTAGCTCATCACGACCAGCGTGTGAATGTGTGTATGAGTGGGTGAATGACTGGTTGTGGTGTAAAGAGCTTTGGCATCCTCTGATTCAGTAAAGTGTTTCAAGTGAAGTTCATCTAATAAACCATCATTAAAGCCCTATTTCCACAGAGAGTGAATGATTTTAAAGACTCCAAAAGAGTTGTTATGAAAGATTGATTCCTCACCTGCATGTGAGAAAAAATGTTTGAAAACTTTAAAGTCACTTTTATTCAGATGCTAAAGATACAATAACAATTGTACAGTGAAATAATCCCAATCACAGTATAATATCTCAATCATGTTGGAAGGAAGACCCCATTGAAACACATTTTCTTCCTTTGAGCTGTGGAGTCCCTGCCTCACCATCATTATGTTTAGTGGCAACTCAACAGAAATGGATCATCTGCCAAACCCCTGCCAGAGCCGTGTCCAGGACTTTTAAAATGGCGTGGCCCATGTGGGGCACTTGCTTATGTATGGGTGGCACCAATGGTTGTGCTTATTTATTTATTTACACAAATCGTTTATTTATTTACTTTCTAGTGAATTTTGGAGTTTCACATTGCACAATCACCATTTTTTCTATTCATCTTCTAGTTTTGTGGTGGTTAGCAAGTCACTTCTTGTTGCATTATTGCCACCGACTGGAGTTGAGTGGGACTAAATACTATTTATGTGATTATGAAAAATAATAAATAATATTGATACCACAGAAATGTTCTGTAGGCCTGGGCTAGAAGACAATGTTAAAGGTGCATGCTACCACACACTATTTTTGGAGTTTACAACTCAAGCCTTTTGTTGACAATGTAAATTCAATTTAAACTGGAACTTAGTAGGGTGGCACCTGGGGTGGCCAATCAGATTCTAAGGGTGGCATGTGCTACCCCAGGCCACTGCCTGGACACGCCCCTGATCCCTGCTCATTTATCTACTATCACCAAGAAAACCATTCTTCTAAATGGAAAATCAACTAAACCACTTCACTTCATTATTAAACGATGCACCTTTCACAATAAAGCTAATGCTTTGTTTTTCTTCCAGTTACTCTGGTTCTGTGTATCAGTCTGAGCATCGATGTGTGGTTGTGACGGTCATCCCATGTGAGTGGAACTCTTCCTTATTTAAACATCATTGAGTTTGTTTCCTGAACTGATGTTTCTGATCATCACTGACTACAGGAGACTTTTAGGCATCGGCACAACAATGATCAGAGACAGACATTACCCCAAGGCCTGTAATGTGAATGATTCTGTTTCCACCATTTATTTCTGTTTTGATTTATATATTTTATGTAAATATCCTCAACCTTCTCCCTTCAAAAGTCGCCACAGCTAATCATCTGTCACCATATGTCCTACCATCTGTATCTCTACCCTCACACCAACTAACCTCATTTCCTTTATCACCACATCCAAAAATGTCCTTTTTGGTCTTCCTTTCAGCCTCCTGCCTGGCGGCTCCAACCCCGCCAGCATCCATCTAAACATGTCATCACTGTTTCTTCTCTGTACATGTCCAAACCATATCCAGTCCTTTATCAATGTCAATGTCAAGTTTATTTATATAGCACATTTCCAACAATCAGAGATTGCACAAAGTGCTGTACACAGACATCCAGTTAATATAAAATGATAAAACACTGAGAAACATCCAGTAGACCCTAGGTAAAGTAAAAAAAAACGAAGAAATTAGTTTTTAAAAGCAAGGGTAAAAAGGTAGGTTTTTAAAAGAGACTTAAGGTAGAAAGGCTGTAAGCAGACCTAATCTGTAGTGGAAGGCTGTTTCAGAGCTTGGGAGCAGCTACAGAAAAAGCTCTGTCGCCTCTGGACTTCAGCCCAGACTGGGGAACAGATAAAAGATGTAGAGAAGATGATCACAAGTGTCTTTTGGGGACATGAGTGCTTTAGAGTTACGACAGATAATGAGGGGCCAAATTGTGTTGTGCCTTGAAACAGAGCAGTAGCATTTTAAATTGAATCCTGTAAGTGATCGGAAGCCAGTGAAGAGCTTGTAAGACCAGAGTTATGTGATCCCTGCATCTCCTACCTGTCAGAAAGCGGGCTGCCACATTCTGAGCCACCTGTAAGCGATGAATTGACGACTGCTCCAGTCCATGATATAGAGAGTTGCAGTAGACAAGTCTCGACATGATTAGCAAGTGTATAACCTTTTCAGAGTCTTTAATTGGTAAATAGGGCTTGACTTTACTAAGAACACGCAAATATCTGGACCACAGAACTTATCTGTTTATCAAGCTTAAAACAGCCATCAATGGAAAAAAAAACCAGATTTCTTGCTTGAGACACGCAAAAGGATTCTAAAGGGCCAAATACACTGTTTACCCCATGACTTTATCTCCAAAATATGGGCTGTCCCACTGATGGAGTCACTCTATAACCGCATCCATGTCACTCTGATAGAGAACCTCGTTGTCTTCAGCTCTGCAACCTCCAGTTGTGCTTTCTGTCTTTTCCTCACTGTCTCTAAACCAGTGGTTGTCATCGATATACCAGGTGCTACTGCGAATTTTCCTAATTTCTGACTCAATTCAATCCGAGTGCTATGTTGGCTTCATCATATTTGATAGTCTTTTTTTGCTAGCATCACTAGCTCTGGCTCCTGCACCATTTCCCCTGTAGGCTTGTTGCACCAGTCTACTTATAGACTGCTTAAGTCTCCTCCCCTTCCAGTTGGTCCATAGGTCTCCTGACTCCTGTCTTCCTTCTTCCATCTCAGGAACGTTGCTAAGCTGAGTCCCATTCTGTCCCGCTCTGAACTTGAGACAGTTCTCCACACCTTCATCTCCTCACGCTTAGACTACTGTAACTCTCTTTTCACGTGTCTGAGCAGAACCTCCCTGAACCGTCTACAGGTGGTTCAGAATGCCTGTGCTCGGCTTCTGACCAAGTCCTCTAAACACACCCACATCACCCCGCTTCTCCTCCAGCTTCACTGGCTGCCAGTCAACTTCAGGGTTCATTTCAAGATCCTGGTTCTGGTCTATAGGGCTTTATATGGACAAGCACCATCTTACATTGGTGATCTTCTTAGTCCCTACACCCCCAGCAGGTCCCTGAGGTCCAGTGACCAAAGCCTACTGGTTGTGCAACGCACCAGGCTAAAGACCAAAGGTGACAGATCATTTGCTGCTGTGGCCCCCAGACTCTGGAACTCTCTCCCCCTGAGCCTGAGATCAGTGGACTCAGTGAACTCCTTCAAAAAGCAGCTGAAGCCTCACTTGTTCAAGCTGGCTTTTGTATCACCTTCTTCACTACTCTCTCTTTATTCTGCTCTCCCCACCTATTCCACCTTCCTCAGGATCCACTGGTTTCCCTCTTTCCTATTCTCTCTCTCTCTTTTTCTTAACATTTTTTTAATCACAATTGTCTATTTTTGCTCATTTTAAATATATTTTATACATTTTTAAATGCTTTTTTATATTTTTACATTTTTTGTTTTTGTGAAGCGCCTCGTGATTTTTACCTTGAGAGGCGCTATAGAATGATATTTTCTTCTTCTTCTGACCAAACAAAAAAGAATGTAAGTTAATGCGTCTCTTCTAGCTCACATCCTGTCGGTGGAGGCAGAAAATAACAGCATTGACCATTATTCTTTCAACTTCAAACTTCAGACTCACCTGCCTATCTGGCACTCTTTTCACTTCCAGAATGTTCCTAAGATAGTAAGAAAGGTGTTCCCCATGGCTCACTTCTTGGTCCTCTGCTTTTCACTATCTACAACCTCCTTTCTGGTTCTACTTTTGCAAAGTATGGCCTACTTTATCACTTCTATGCTGATGATTGTCAGATTTATTTTTCCTTAAATCAGACAGGATCCATTCACCTTCTCCTTGAATGCTTATCGACTTACTGCACATGACTTCACTTACAGAATCGTCACTTCTAGAATCTTCTGGTGCTGATCCATAGCTGGCAAGAGCCATGAAAGCTCATGGAATGGCAGTGACAAAGTCACTCGTGTGTTTGGAAAATGGGCTTCAGAACCCAATTTTGACCACAGAACATCATTCGCAATTCATTCTTACATAATGGGCCTTTAAGTTTCTTGTTTAAACGTGTTGGAATTTGTAAACGTTGAAGGGGTATGCATTTTTTTTTTGCATAGGCTGTATCATAATGCATCAATTTAACATACCAGTCCCAGGTATTTGGACCATGCTGTTTGTTTTTATTGGTATATTCAAGTAAATAGACTAAAGTGGTAGTAGTCTAGAAGCTGTCCTAGAGAGGTGAATATTCTTGTCCTTAATATTTCTCAGTCTTTGTGTGGAGACTTTGACTCATTCATCATGTTGTGTTCTCTGTGCTGATGCTGGCCTGTGGGACTCAAGTTGGTTTTCATGGCATTGTGAATACCTACACTGTGAAAGACTTCGATGGAAATGGATACCCGGTAAGCTCAGATACTTGGTTCAAGTTTGGTTTTGCATTTGAAACTTTGATTGTACCTGAATCCTATTTCACTTCAAATCTACAGGTGATCAGACGTGTAAAATTCAGCTTCAGTTCATGTGAGGCGTTCGACTCGTATTATTGTGGTGGAAACTGTAGTAATAGAGGAGATATACATACGGTTGAGGAAAGCGTTGGTGAATGGTGTCAGAAAGAAGTCAACATGAGTTGGTCTCAAACCAGTTTCAATACATCTTCTGGATGGTGAGTCCCATTCACTCTCAACATTGTTATATAATAAATAAATAATTTTTTACATTACTGAGTGATGGACAAAAAGTTTTCATTCATCCTTTTAGTTCAGCTTCAGCATTTTAAATTAAAAAAATCATTGCTTTTTCACCTCTGCTGTTTAGCTCCTGGAAACAGAAACCTTTTGGTATTTTATAATTTTTGGGGTGATTTTAGAGCTCTGACTCTGTGTAACATCTGAAAACTTCTCCTTATCTCATTATAGGTGGGAAGGCAAAATCTGGATACCAAACCTGAATGGTATTTTAACATTTCAAGCTTTCAATTACTTAGAACTGAGAAACCGCTCTGACATTGGTAAACCCAACTCATCTCCACAGACCAACGTCCTCCCAGCTGTGAGGTAAGTTCACCTGTTTTTTCATCATGTTAGATTTCAGTAACAGTAAAATAATCAGAGGAAATTTATTTCATCTCATTAGTTTTGTTCCATATTTTATCACCTGAACTAAAGAGAGCCCTAGTCTCTGAAATGATATTTTAACATTGATTTATCAACAAATTCCTGATTTTATTCAAATGTTCATCAGAATGAGACAGTAGAACATCATCAATTAATAAAACCTTATTTTCAGATTAGCAATTATTTTTTTGCTCTTTCAGCGTTCCTTCAAACTGTCAAAGAAAAATAAGCTTGTTGAACTTTGACCCTGATGGAGACGAGGTTCGATGCAGGTATGCAGATGGATCCATGTCAGAGTGTCTCACCTGCTCACCACCATTCGTCCTCAATATCTCATCAGTAAGTTACAAACATCAGTAACAGTCACATGAGACAGGTGTGGTCGTCAAACAGATAAGGAAACACCACGGATAATAAATTCTGTAAAATACCTCTAAATCTTAACTCATTTGCTACCAGCAGTTTCCTGATCGGCAAAGCCCTTCGCTGCCAGCGTTTCTCACAGTTTTTACTGTTTTATTAAGAGTCACAGAACGTTGTGCGCTAGGATGATGTCGACGCCAAAACAACCAAAACAAACTAGAGACTCACCTCTTACATCAGGAAGAATCCGCGCGTTTCGAGCTTTATCCGTTCTTTCATAATCCGTTGTTGAGTTGTGATCGGTAGAAGCTTTTCCGGTTTGCGCTTCACTTTTTTTACAGCAGCGGCCCAAAACGATCTCCTAACACATGGATTTTCTGCTTCCTGGTCACGTGATGTGTGACGTATGCGGATGAAGATAGGCTTTAGAGCTGAGATGTTTGTTTTCACAGTGCAGGGGCTCGTTCCGATGCCCACACAGTAAAAAAAATGCAAATGACGACTTTAGTCATCATTGGCAGTGAATGAGTTAAAAATCTTCTCTAAAATAAAAATGGAACTATGTCAATAATTGACAAATGTTTTCACAAATGTCAAGTGTTGCGGTGAGCGGATTAATGACCACTCAAACACAAACGTAAAGGGATACTTAGTAGTTTTGCTTGCTTTTAGCACACCCTAGTGTCCATTATTATTATTTGTGGTCAAAGCAAGAGTGAAATGTATCTCCTTTCTGTGGAACACATTCTCACACTCTAAGTGTCGAAAAATGACATTGGGTGACCAGGCGTTAGTTGGGACTCCCAATGCGTTGGGAGCGACGTGCTATGCCAGACCACTGGTTTCCGACGCCTGCGGTAAAACGCACATTTCACTGACATTTAACCTCTAACCTCTTGCTATTTAACCTTCCCCTCACCCCATCCTAACTTTAACCTGGTTGCTCATTCTAAACTTCCCGTTAACTGTGTTCGAGATGGATGTTACAACTATGAACAAAGTCTTGAAAGTACAAGAGGGAGCGCTTCTGAAACAAACGTTTGGTCACCTGAAGCATCATTTTTTGACTCTTTGGGTGTGAGAACATGTTGCTCTGTGCATTTGTGCTGTTGTGGAATATATTTTTAATTATGACCAATAAGATGTGATATTCCATACAAATATGAAATATCAATCTAATTGATCTTTGAATGTTTAATCAGAAGATCCTAGGGTTCTTTGCTTATTCAGGGACCATAAACACACTTCGTATTAATTCAGATAGAGTCAAGTATATAGTTTATAAAATGTATTAAATTATTTTTCCTAAAATAATGATACATGACAAGATATGAATAAGGAGATGTGGTGTGGAGGATGTAAGGTGTGTGATGCAGCTAGATGTTGTAGCAACCGCTCTTTGTATCTGAGAGGAATTGTGAAATCTGGGTGTAAAAGAATTTGTTGTTATAAACTAGAGAGTTAGTTATTGATAAAAACCTCATCAGACATCAGTATGCAGGCTTACGATACCCTGGTATGAGTTGCTCCCGGCGGTCCGGAGGGTTGCGGTCAGAGTGGTGAGGTCAACGGACGTCGAAACCACGATACTCCGGGATTAGTAGCTTCCTCTGAGTTCAGATTCCCCGGCCATGAGATGCAGCTTGGGGTCTGCAGATTAGGTGTCAAAGGTGGATGTCTGAGAGTTGAAGTAGCTCTGAAAAGAGCTGTTGTGTCTGTATTCACTTGCAGCATCGCAGAAAGGTATTTGACTTAAGGTCAAAGAAGATTGTTTCAAAAGAGATGCTTCTTTCCCGTTTTGGCCGAATCGGGGCTCAGCTGGAAACTGAATTAATCGGAAAGTAAATCCTGTTTTAATAAACTCATTTATAATTTCTGGCGTATTCTGGCAAATCGGAATGTGCCATGTCTGGAAGGCTTTACCAAAACATTCCTCAGAAAGCCACGCCTTCTCGCAGATACAAAGATGTTTTTAACCTCAACCTGTATCTTATTGTAATGTGTATGAGTTTACATAATGATTAACTTGTTAAATCAAACACATACTAATTTGTGATATAAATGGATCATTGTAAGAACAATATTCATTTCAAATTCATTGATTTAAGCACAGATTATTCAAACATTTGATTTAAACATCTTATTCATTCATCACATGTGATTATTTAACTTATAACTATAACATTGTGGAGTCTTCACTTATTCAGAGTGAAGCATGTTGTCTGGCTTCTAAGCAGAGAGTGTAGGACCTTGGGACAGAGTATTTGAATGTTTTGTCAAAGCTTCCACATTGAGGTACGCTACGCTCAAAACCACCGTAGTCCTCTTGGCATGGGTCTGGCTGCGTGCCAACATTGTTCGGACGACACTGCCGTGTCAGTCCTACCAGCTAACCCTCCCCAGACCCTGCTGAACCACAACCACCGCTACTTCAACCAAGCTCTCTGTGTGGATTTGCCAACTGTGTACGCTGATGGCAGTTCCTTTCGACACAGTGCTGAACCTAGCTCAGGCGCGGGTGTCGTTTGGTTATACGCTAACCAGTTCGGCCAAATAGAAAGTGGATTCATGCTGTTGATGTAAGGTCACTATGTTGGTCATTGTAGATGGTGAAAAATTTACCCTTTTGGACATTACAGTACGTTCCTTAATCTAATTGCTGAAATGTCACCTCATTCTTCATTAGTGTCTACAGTGCCCATCTGGTGACATTGAGGATAAAAAAATAACTCGTGGCCACGAGATACTTAATGCATGGGGACAAGTTATTAACTCGTGGTCACGACTTATTAATGCGTTCCCACGAGTTATTAATACATGGCCACGAGATACTTAATGCAAAGGATTGCACCTTCAAATACAAAATGTTTTCTTTACTTATGAGTGTTTATGTATATGCAGACAAATAAACTTGTTGATATGATATGTCAATAAATATGTAGATACATAAACCTGTTTATATTCAGTACAAGTTACATAGATTTTTTTTTGCTTCCGTTAGTTGAAATATGAGAAAAGCCCCTGGAGAAAATGATTGTGAATTAAATCGCAATTGAACCATTCAAGAAAAAAATCGCAATTAGATAATATTTCAAAATCGTTCAGCCCTATATCAGAGGGAGGCAAATATTTAAGTTGTTTTAATTAAAAAAGTGATTTTAAATAAAAGCACAAAATTTACTACATTCAATATTTAAATTGTTATTAACTTAAATAAATTTTATGAACTTAAATTAATTAATTTCAAACTTAATTTTTATTTATCTTCTTTTTTGTTTCTTTCTATCCAGTCTTGTAATCTGTCATTTAGCCCAACTTCCAGCAGTAATGAAGGTCCATATGCAGTCCAGCTGATGGTGGAGGACTTTCCCAGACAGATCATCACTCTGAATGATTCTAGCGGTGCACAGGTGGTGAAAACTCCCAGTGACTCTATTAGCAGTTCACCCCTGCAGTTTGCTTTGAACGGTACGATTCCATCTTTAGATTTTCTGGTTTTACAAACACAAAGAGCTGCTTTTAGTTAGAAAAATGGATTCCAACTCTTTGTGTTTGAAGAATATTTGTCCAGTCTTCGTCTACAAATCTGAAACATGTCACCAGCTAGTGCTTAAATCGCATTAGCAAATCTGCAAAACAAGCTACAGTAAAGTCCATAAATATTGGGGCATCAACACAATTCTAACATTGTTGGCTCTATTTGAAACAAACACAATGTGCAATAACTCCAGCTGTCAGCTTTAAAGGATACTAGGCAGTTTTGCTTGCTCTTAGCACCCCCTAGTGTCCGTTATTAATTCACCACAGTTATACCAGAAATGAAACATATCTCCTAACTGTTGAAATGTCTCCTTAGTTTTCATTAGCTTCTAGAGGAGTGACGCATCACTAAATTCCCTAAATAAATCAGCTGTGTGTAAATGTGGCGCTGGAATTACACCTGTGACCTTTCAAGTCACCCTAGGTCACCTTACAGAAAGTAAAACAATATTCACAGTGGTAAAAATCCAAATGAAAACCTATGAGCCGGCATTAGGGAGTATTTTCTGGAAAGAGTGGGAATGCAAGCTTGAACAGGTGGGCTTTGAGTCTGGATTAGAATGTGATGATGGAGTCTGACAGTCTTATGTTTAGGGTGTGGGAATTCCAGAGCGGTGGCGCTGAGCAGCTGAAGGTACAAGCACCCATGGTACTGAGCCATGTAGAAGGGATGGTCAGTATTCCAGCAGGTTGAACGGAGAGTGTGGGGGCTTTCTTGTGAAAAAAATAATACATTTTAAAGTATAAAAAATTTTCAAAAAATTATTAAAAATATGTTTAAAATGAGAAAAATTAAAAAATTTGAAAAAAATTAACATAAGGAAAGGGAGAGAGAAAATGAATAGGAAAGAGGGGAATCAGTGGATACCAGGAAAGGCGGAACAAGAGCGGAATAAGGAGAGGGTGTTGATGAAGGTCATGCAAAAGCAAGCCTGAACAAGTGAGTTTTCAGCTGCTTTTTAAAGGAGACAACTGAGTCCACTGGTCTCAGAGGGAGAGAGTTCCAGAGTCTGGGGGCCACAGCAGCTAATGATCTGTCACCTTAGCTTGGTGGTGGTGAGCTTTGTAAGTGATGAGGTTTTTGTAGTGGGGTTTGAATAAAACGGGAGTGATGGTCAGAAGTTTAAGTGCAGGTGACAATCTGGGTAGCCAAGTTTTAAATAATTAATCAATCAATCAATCAATCAATCAAAGCTTTATTTATAAAGCGCCTTCCGCAACCCTGTCAGGAAGCCCAAAGCGCTGAACATTGTACAGTTGTATGTAAATATATTGAATAAATCAACAATAAAAGAAATTCAAATTACAAAATACAAATTACAAAATACAAAATGGAAATTACAAGATAGATGAAACATTCTGGTAAAGGCAGCCTATTGATGAGTTTGGTAGAAACTCCAGTGAGGAGGGCATTGAAATAGTTGAAGACTATATCTATCTATCTATCTATCTATCTATCTATCTATCTATCTATATATATATATATATATATATATATATATATATATATATATATATATATATATATATATATATATATATATATATAGTTAAGATACATGAAAATGTTTTTTGAGCTATCTTGTTTTTCAGATTTGCTATTGTAGCTTTAAAATATAATATGTTTTTTAAATTTTTAGACTTTTATTTTCTCTGTTTTGAACTTTTGTATGCAGTTTTTTATGTGTTTAATTGTTCTCTGTTCTTTTATCACTTTTATACCGTGTTCAGCCCCTTGAGCTTCCGTAAAGTCAGTGAAAGGCGCCGTACAAATAAAATTTGATTGATTAAAAATATCGCCCAATAAAAGTTTTGATTACCTGTGTAATGATGGGTAGTTTACATCTTACTTATGAACCATAAAATGTGAGATTCCATAGAAATATGAAACATCAGTCTGATGGATCTTTGAAAATTTTTACCAGAAGATCAGAACTTTTTATTGCAGGGATTATGTGACACTTCGTATTTACCCCGAGGAAAGAGAGAGAGTCAGGTTTACAATAGTTAAGAAATTTATTTCTACACAATTTAAACGAGACTAACTTTAAACACTCTGTGCACTGATGAACTAGGTGGAATGAGACTGAGATGAATGTTGAATATGTGTGAGATGTTGTTATCAGAACCTCGTAACCGGATATGCATTTAGTTCTGAGTGGGAGTGAATATTTCGCTCTAAACTTTAGTTGGAGATTTATAACACACATGAAACGCCATCTGTCGGTCTATGTACCCCAGCGGAAGCCTCCGTTTAGATCCAGAATGTCGAGGTCCGTGGACCCTCCTTGGTACCGAAGCCGGTAGAAAAGCAGCAGCGCCGACCAGTCTAGTCTCAGAATGCTCCCAGGTCACGACAGGTTATAACTGGCATCAGCGAGACCCTGAAGGAGTCGTGAGGTTCAGCTTTTATTCTGAAGGAACCATTGTGGTCAGGTATAACGTGCAACAGATTTTATCCAGCTTGTCGAACAAGGTTCTTTCGACTGAAGAGGCGTTCGAATAGCCTGTCCGAACTTCTCTAGAACACTTTGAACTGAACTAAAGGTGACGTGGAATAGTTTTTATAATTGTCATATTTTGGTTTACTGGTGAATTAGAATTTAACATGCAAAAGAGGGCTTATACAAACACCACACCACGCCTCGCATCACAAACGAAGGTTCTGATTGGATCAGACAAAAGGAAATGTGTCATGTGACTTTAGCATTACTCTGTGTCATCACGTGTCTAGTGCAGCTGTCCAAGCTTATAATTACTTGTAAAATACTACTGGTCACAGAATTTTTATATCAAGTAATAACATTGTCATTTCACAGATTGATTGAACATTGGGCACACATTATTATTGGTAATAACAAACGTTGTTCGGTTATGTATTTATCAAGAGAGTTCTCCGTCTTGTCTTGAGCTGTAAAGAGGTGAAGCAGTTCAGATGAGCAGAGGCATGAAAGACCTTGGCCAATATCTCATGTAGATTAGGCCTGTGTCAGAGACATTATGTCTCCACTCGAGCAGACGCAGCAGAGCATGACCTTTAGGTTAGGGATGAGCGAGTACACCACTATCTGTATCTGTATCTGTATCTGTTCAACCAACTAAATTATCTGTATCTGTATCTGTACTCGGAATGGGCGTGGCATAACCCGGAAGTGGGCGTGGTTTAACCGGAAGTGGACGTGGTTTACATCAATGTATTATTTTAAGTCTGAAATTGATATGGATTGATCAGAAGTTGCTATGTGTATTGTTTATTTGAAAACTATTTACAGAGCAGCCTCAGAATTGAGATTAAATATTTTTGATCACAATAGTAAAGAAACTATTACAGAACAAGTGTTTCAATAAAATCAGAACATTAATATTTGAGTGCATGGATTAATACATCTGAACTCATGCAGTAGGAACTAGGAAATATGAAATGCTAGAACCAGACACAACTTTCTATATATTTTTTTTATTTTAATTTGATTAAACTGATTTTTTTCTTAACATTCTTGGCATTTTCCCACACAAAGTTAAACAAAGAAATGTTGATTAATGTGTGTGTGTGTGTGTGTGTGTGTGTGTGTGTGTGTGTGTGTGTGTGTGTGTGTCTGTGTGTGTGTGTGTGTGTGTGTGTGTGAGTGAGATCAAAAAAAATAAAAAAACCCGACCGGAGCGGAGGTAGTGACAACAGCACGTCAGCTCTTTCTTGTCAAATGCACCATGTCAGTTACGAAAAAAGTAACTTTAAATATTCAACCGAAAAAGAGGCGAGCTGAAGAAAACCTAGGGAAAACTGAAGAAACGTGAGAAACAGTGAAGCCATCACAGCGCGATCCGTTACTGTCTGTGTGTGTGCGTGGATGAGCCAGACGGACTGCGCTCCCGGTCGGCTAGAGAGTTTTGTAAGTAGGGAGGGGCGGGCGCTCTATGTGACTGGCCAATCACAGAGCGTGAAGACAGTCAGTTACCCAATGAAGATTTTCCTTCAGCACGATTACAGATAATGACTCGTTTTACTCGTTTCATGCTCGTATTCGTCAAAAATGCGTTATCCGTACCGGATACTCGTCTGAAACGAGTATCCGGCTCATCCCTACTTTAGGTCAAAAACAGGACATTTCATAACGCTACATCTGTGTAGACCAAATAATATAGTAACAGGTAATCTTGCATTCAAATAGCAGCAGTCTTTTAAAATCAATCAAAAACACATACAACAATGACTTACAACAGTAGGAGCAATAAAACAATAAGAAAACACATCTGCCATTTGCTGTGTATTGTGAATTTATCTTAAAAAATGTTTTTGACTGGCATTGATTTCAGCTGTGCTTTAAGCACTTCCAGCTTCCAGAAGACAGACCAAAAACCAATGAAGGGAAGCCAGGACTTGGGAAATATGGTCATTTTTTTTTGTGTCAGCTAAAATCAGAGCAGTAGCAACTTGGGCTATTTTAGCCAGGAAAGTGAAATTTGCTTGAAGTTCGCTATGGAGATTTTCAATAGAGTTGCTGTATGTCTGGAAGGTAGTAAGATAAACCTGGCAGTCCCCATGAAGACAAAATTTAACCATTCATTTGAAATAGTGCCACCAATTGCAACAAATATTAAAAAGAGAGGAAAGCACCAAGAATGGACCCCTGTGGTACACCCCAGACTAAGCTGGATCTGCAGTGTTTCAAAGATGCAATCTAAACAATAATTTCATCATAACTAAGTTTGTTGTTTCTTGTGTGGTCTAGTTCTTCCTGCAGTACCATCTTGCTCTGAAGGTCTCTATCTGCCAAGATTTTTGCCTCCAACTCCTCAAAACGGACTTCGGATCTATGTTATTGTTAATCACCTGCTGCAAATCACCATCAGAACAGCGGCAACTAAGTCTGTGTAAGAGGAACTATAACTCTTTTAATCACTGCATAAGGATAAAAATTAGCATATAGAACAGTCCTGTTTAGACAAATCTTTGAAAAATATCAGGTGGTCTAATCTCAAACAACTTCAATGAATGAGTAACTCAATTTCAGCAGAGGACCAGTAACAGTTTTTTCATAGGCGGCGTTTGTACCTTGCATGCAATCTGAATTATTTATTCATCATTTTCACCAGCTGTCCCAATAAACTAGTCTTGCCAAGATTAGCCGCTTAGTCACAACGACTACGACTACCAAAATCGTTGAAGAAACTTGAAGCTCATTTTCAACATTTCATTTAGATAGTTAAACAGAATAAGAACAAAAATATTTTTGAAATAGCCCCACCAAGCATTTTTTCTCCAGCTGCTATAGGAAAGAACATTCAGATCCTGGATCAAATATAAAAATGGAAAACTTTTGTTTGTGGGAGGGAAATGTTTGATAAATACTGCTAACAAACATATTTATTTCCTGTTTGTTTAAGGATCACCAAGCTCCTGGTCAGCGGGCCATACAATATGGTCAAGAGTACATCAGGATTGGGAAGCTTCACCTTGACATGGACGCCATCTGAGAGTGAAAACTACGAAAATTACCCCATCTGTTTTGTCTCTGAGGCGAGGTAAGAATCTTAAGAAAAGGGCTGAAATTAGTATAATGAGAAAGGTTCACTGTAGAACCCTTAAATTTGATATTACTTAGCTCAACTTATTGACACTGTGGTCAATGGGGTGGGGGTGGGGGGTGGGGGGGGGGTCTTTTTGCACTCTGTGACATGAGGGTAAGACTGTACTATCAAACATTTTTCATAAATTGATCCACATCCTGCACCCAGAGAGGATTTCTGGGGTTTTGTGTTGAAGACTTTAAGTAGCTGGTCTGCAGTCACCAGTATAAGATTTCAAAAATATTTTCAGGTACTTGTAATGCATGACTCAGTCATGATTAAATTAGTGCAGATTCTTTTTTCTGGGAGGAGTATGTATACATGCACATACTGCGTGCGCGTGCGCGCACACACACACACACACACACACACACACACACACACACACACACACACTTGGAAAACAAAACTCAATATTTAAAAGCCCCAAGATCCATCTTAATTCATTCATTAACCCCAAAACACAGCTCACCTCCACACATCCTTATATAATAGATGTAACTACCCGTAAAAACCATATTTAGAAAAATACATATACAAATACATACATCTATACTTATCTAAAATGCATAATCTATATTTCTACCTGAAATCTTTTTTGTTATTTTCAAATAACAAAAATCCTGGTAGTGCATTTCATACCACCATTGTACGGTGGCTCTGAAGTGCAAATCACAAAAACAAATCACTTAACGCAACAAAAAATTGAAAAGCACAACAACAAATTCACTATAAGGATTAGGTTTCTAGTAAATACTGTTAAAGAATACTCCAAACGCTCACTTACTTTCCGCCAGACCAAGTTGTCATGCATAGTCTTGCACTGGTTCTATACGGAACACCCAAAGCAAAGCGAGCTGCAGTCTGCAACCTATAGAGATTATTGTCGTTCGTGTTGGACCAAACAACTGACTGAAAATGACTGAACAAGTTGCTTTAATAATCCATTTGGGATAAACTTCCTAATTAATAGCTACTCCTTCCCATTCTTTTCAACATATAATTAATATTAATAACAATTAATAGTGTTGACAATTTATTGTCAACAATGATACCTAATTTAATTTCTTCTACCTGTTCAATAGTAATGCCTCCTATGGTCAAACACCAAATTTTATTTAGTTTCAAACTATATCTGGACCCCGTATTTAAAATGTTATTAAGTTGTTAAAATGTTGGGGCAGATGTATATAATATAATTGTAGGGTTTAGGAAATTATGTGCTTTAAGAGCTCAATATATATATATTACCTCTACTTATGACCAATAAGCTGTGATACTCTATTTAAATATAGAATCTCAACTCTGCTTGGTCTTTACTGTGTTTAATCAGAAGATTCTAGGACTCTTTTTTTATTAGGGGATTGTACACACTTCGTTTTGATTCAGAAAACAGTCAGGCTTGTAAAAGTAAGAATTTATTTTACCAACAATTAAAACATGACAAGTTAATTAAGCATTTACTGTGATGATGGAACTAGATGTAATGTATGAAACCTATGTGTGAATGCGATGTTATCAGAACTTCCGTATCTAGGAGAGCTGAGTTCTGGATGTAAAAGAATTTGGTTTGCGTTAAGCTATGAAGTTGATTATTATCAAAAGGCATCAGACGCTATCTGTGTGTCTACTTCACCCATTTTCGGAGACCCTCTTGGTGGATCCGAAGGTCAGAGAGGTTGGCTGACCTCTGGCACCAAAGGCTGTAGAATACAGTGGCACCGAGCTTCAGTCCATAGATGTCTCAGGTCACGACAGATGGATGGAACCGCGCATCTGGGACTCTTAAGGAGCCGGAACAATATCAGCTTGTTCTGCAGGAACCGTTTGCCGTATCAGCTTCGCAGGTGCAAAAAGATTTTGACGATGTGTCAAAAGCTTTGATGGTTAAAGAGGGTTTTGCTTCAGATGGCCGGTCTGAAGCTTTCTCTAGAACTGATGAATCACCAGAGTGATCCAGTTTTAAGGATCTCATGTTATGACTTGTGTAGCCAACCAAAGGTTGACAAGTTGAGGAATGGTTACCAAGACAACCTCAGAAACACCCCTTCTTTGATATGGAGGCTCTGATCTAGGGTAAAACACTATTTATGTGTCACAAGTTCAACTTAACCTTACTTGAGCTTGTGTGAGTTCAAATGGTGATGATCTTGACATGTAAACAACATAACATTCATTTCAAATTTCAATCATTGAGCACAGATTAATGAAACATTTCATTTTATCATAATTATTATAAGTAGCAATAAACAAATGTTTATTTAATGATTATCTAGCTTATAAGTTGTAGAAGAAGTTCATATTGATTTGGGAAATCATTCTTGATTTAGCAACTGATCCGAGCTGGAGTGTTCCTTATATGGAGGCATGAAGACCTGAAAGATTGGACCTTGAGGAGAGAATGTTATTGTTGACATTACGTTATCTGTGTTTAGAGCTGCAGGCTCTGACCTCCAGCTGGTGGGATGGAGGCAGGCCAATTTAAAGGGAACACATGCAGTCTTGTGTCTCCTTTTTGACCAGACGTTGAATAGCTGTTGAATGGTTAAACTGTACCTAAAAAATGACCATTGCTGGATGTTACATAATGTCATCTGCATAAATTGCCATGATAACATGATCCAACACCAGAGGTAAATAATTTCTAAAGATCAAAAATAACAAAGGGCCCAAACAACTGCCCTGAGGTACTCCACAAGTATTTTTGTCAGTTTTTTTGTAACCAATAATCCAAGATTTGAGTTTAAGCTGTAGTAAAGAGTTTTTAAATTATGTTGACTTTTATTTAATTGTATTTGATTTTTTTTGTATTAGAAAGACTATGACTGCATTTGCACGTGAGAAAATAAACTGTTTTCAAGACCTTTAACTACATCAATTTAATCAGAGGTAAACCATAAAGCAGACATTCTACATTATTTCCACAGTTACTCTGGTTCTGTGTATCAATCTGAGCATCGATGTGTTCTTGTGACGGTCATCCCATGTGAGTGGAATTCTTCATTGATTAAACTTTTTGAGTTCAGTCAGTCATTTCATGAATTGTTGTTTCTGATCACCTGTTTTTCTGTTCAGAGTGCCACCAAGTCCAGCTGATGTTTTAGAGCGCACCATAATGATCAGAAACAGACTTTATACCAAGGCCTGTAATGTGAATGATTCTGACCTTCATCATAATGTTGATTCCAGATCATGTTTTGTATCTGAAAATGAAGATCTCTACTACAATGTCTGTGGTGAAAAACAAGGAGATAATTGAGAAAGCTGTAAGTAACCTTTTTGATTTCAATTTCAACCATAACAATCAGATACTGCCACGTCAACTGGTTGTTCTGATATTTCTGTAAACTACTGAGATTTACTTCTTCGTGTTTGGTATTTTATCATAGATCTTGGTAGAATATAATGGGTGTTAACAAAAGTCAACTCTGATGATTAGAGTAAAGAAGCAGTTTATTTTGGTTTGTGGTGACTGAACACAAACACTGATCTGCTGTTACAAAAGTATTAAACTCGTATGAAGTTTTTTAGTTTCTGTTTTTATAGAGTTGAAAATAAAATGTTGATTAGGCATCCTCCATGTGGCTCAGTGTCTTGCCCAAGGGAGCTTCCACTGTCTGTCCAAATAGGGAGCCTAAGTCACGCCCATCTACCTCCAGATCATGGGTCCCCGGAAATGAGAAGAAATGAATGCAAGTCAGTGGGGCTATAAATGCTATTTTCTAGTCCTGTTTGAAATGTTCCATGGATTTCACATATGATGCCTGCAAAATGTTGAATCCAAGAATACGCTTATTTTAAAATGGTGGCAAAACAAGTTATGTTATGATTTTTGTGAAAATACGTGTAAGACTACAAATGCATCTCACCATATTGGCATCATCGAACCAGACACAGAGAAGAAAATTGCTGTAAGTTTAGCGAGCTTCAAATCTTTCTTCCAGGATGACAGGAGGAGCATTACGCATGGGGGAAAAGCAAACACTCTTATTGTTATTTAGGAATTATTACAAGCTCAAAGTACTTGACAGACATGGTTGAAACTCACATTATCACTTACCATTTAAGTTGAAGTAGAACATATGAGCCCCATTCACTTGGATTCAGTTTTTCATTCTTCCGGGGACCAATGAGACTTAGGCTTGTTATGACAGATAAATAAGTTTGATATTGGCTTCTTTTTTTTTTACTAATAACAGGTATACATATGTAGTCGTACTCTTAATTTCCATTAAGAACTCAGAACCGGACCATCAAAGCTTTTTGTATTACTCATGAGGAATTGATTTACATTAGAGACCCTTGCAAATGTTTTGAATACACGAGTAAACAACGTGTTTAATGGAAGACAGCATGAGGGTAAGACAAACACTTATCAGCTTACTGTTGTTGTGATTATTAGTCAACGAATTATTTGTAAGCTTTTACTTACTTTTTGGATTCTTCAATAAAATTAGTAAATATGGAAATATTTACCGATTTTATTACGTAATTAGGATATCCAGAGATATGCCTCGGGGCACCACCCTTTTTAACAAGGGAAAATGAATCCAAAACCTCTTATCAGTCTGTCTTAAAGTTAGTAACATTCGTTTACGAGCAGCAGTCATAAATTCATATCACACAAGCAAATTCACTTGAGACAACTGAATTGGCAATACATTTATTAACTAATATAATCACTTCAGCTCCTTCTGAAGCGTTTAGCCAATCAATATTAACCAACTGGTTTTATCAAACAAACACAAACAATGAAACAATGAAATGATAATGTAAAACAATCTGACCCAATAATTGTGTGTTTTAGTCTTGTCCCTACCAACACTAAAAACAAGTGTGTGTGTGTGTGTGTGTGTGTGTGTGTGTGTGTGTGTGTGTGTGTGTGTGCGTGCGTGCGTGCGTGCGCGGGAGGTAACTTTTTCCCCACCACACTGAAAACCAGGGTGTGTGTGCAGCTTTCACAGTAAACTTTACCAAACACTTTAAAATCACAGTGAAACTTAACCAAAAACTGAATTGTTTCCCAGTTCAAGGAAAAACAACAAATCAATCAAATTGAATATCTAAAAAGCCTGTCCAGCCGGGCCCATCTTAAACAAACACAGATATCACAATAATAAAACAAACAGACCTTACTTGGACTGTCCGATGGCGTTTTTGGTACAGAAGAGGAAAAACCGGTTCTCTTTTAAAGCGATCACGCGGCCGACCGCTTGTTCTGGACTATAGAGAAAACGGGAGAAAAAGATAGATAGAGGAGGAAAAAAAAACTCTTCTCTGGGTTAACCAGACGTTCCTCGTCATTCAAACGGATTAGATGACGTTCTCAGTTGATTTCAAACAGCTCGGCCTGCGCCCACGCGTCCGGAGGCAAAAGGCGAGCGTACCTCTCCAAACCAGAAGAACAAAAGAGGTTGTTTCTCTTTGCGCTTCAGCCCTTAAGCACACTCATGCGGGCGGGATCTGGGAGTTCCGAGGTCCGGCCTCGCTTTGGTGACGTCATCACGCTGCTTCTGGATGCAACGGCTCATGGGACATGGATTCTGCTGGCGCTGGAATTTATTATCTGCTTTTTCAGAGCGCAGATGACACAGTCTTTTGGAGGAATTACTGCATAGTAATTTTCTCATGAGGGCAGACCCTCAACACTGTTTATGACTCGTCTTCGCTTGTCGTTTAGAACCTTCAGGTGCTGATCCCTACCTGGTAACAGCAATGAAACTCACTGAACGGTCATGAGATGGTAACTTTTTGGTTAGAGAAATGGGCTGCAGTAATCAAATTTAACCACATGATGTCATTCTTATTTATTCTTACACATTGCAACTTTAAAGGTGCTGCTTTACTAAAAGAAGTTCAAGGCGTGGTCAACAGGACCACGTTATCTGCACACTGGTTGTGCTGCAAGTCTGTTTGTTTCTTTGTTGAAAACACGATTTTGTCTAAATGAAGGTGATGTTTTTGTTCAAAGAATTAAAATTCATGTTGAAGTTCAGATTATTTTTTTTCTAGTAAGACCTGTGGTTACCTGGCTCATTTAAAACATGTAATGTTTTTGGACCCCCTGCCAGTTTAAAGAAACGGAATCGGAAATTGATAGGAACCGGAATCGGAACCAACTTGCTGCAAGCAATGTGGACCAAGTTCTGGCACAGGTCATACAGGGATCTAACGGCCCATACCAAGGGGCCTGGTACCCCATACTCTCGAAGTACCCCCACAGAGCTCCTCAAGAGACGCAGTCCAACGCCTTCTCCAAATCCACAAAACACATGTAGATTGTTTTTTTTGCGAGGGACGTTCAGAGTAGTTTAAGGGAATGGTTATGGAATGGTCATGATCCAGTAATTTAGGGGGACCAGCGCTACATTGGATAAGGTTTATCCAGTACTCTATTTTTCAGAGGTGATTACAATTTTACATGTTTTTGACAAAACATTGAATTTATGGGTTTCCACCTCCAGTACAAGAAGAGCAGTAATGCAGTAGCAGAAATGTTGCAGAAAAAATATTATTTGCACAATATATGGCAACTACTTCAACTGAAGTTAGTCCAGTTGTGCCAAAAAAACTAAAGTATGCCTAACACTATACATTGGATCTGCCATATTTAAACATTCTGAGTGCTAGTACAAGTGAAGAGTTTAATGTTTGACATGTGGATGGTATGTAATGATTAAGTCATTAAAAGAGTAAAAGCCAATACAGATCATTTTCATCAATACATTCTAGTACTGATATCAGTCAGTAATAATAATAATAATAATAGTAGGCTGATAATATCTGACATATCTACAGACGACCACTCTTCATCCTGAGTAACTGCTGATCCAGTGTTTATGCTTATGTTGTTGCTCAGCTTTCATCTCAGCAACATATTGTTTTCTTTTTCAGGTCAAAAGTGAAATGGTGAGACAAGGAATGCCATCAGTCATAAATGTTCACCTCTCGGGTGGTGATTTAGTGGAACTGAGTACAATTGCACCCCCTAATGCCTGATTATGAAAATGTAAATCATACTTGCAGAACGTCAGGTTTCTTTAAAGTGGACAAAGAATCTAAACCAGCATTTTCTTGTTTGTGAATAAAGACAGCCTGGGTGGTCAAAAGTGCCACGCCAAAAAGTCAAAGCTGTGTGTGACCTACTTTTTATGTAAATTAGAAAATTTAAAAATGCCAGAGAAAAGCTTCTTTTCTGAGAAACCTCTTATTAAAACGTCATAACGTGGAGCCCTTCCTCCTCCAATCTGCAGTCTCCAGTGTCTGAGGCCTTCTGGTTTAAACCAACCAATCAGCAAGCAGCTCATTAGCACGCTCATGTCCTGGCCAAGTGGGAGGGGGTAAACAGCTCTTTTCACGGCCAGGCTGATTTAGGGAGTTTATAATGGCCTGTATCAGGGCTCCTAGGACAGATGAAAGCCAATAGAACATTTCTTATGCTTCTTAGAAATTCAAAGCACTGTTTTAGATTGCTGATAAACTGCATTCTTTGTCCCTTTTAAGTTTGATTCAGATTGTTGTTTTTAACCATCATTTCTATAATTTATTCTCATGCTCTTGTATATGTTCATGTATATATATGTTTAAGGCTTTGCTAATGTCCAAATAATATTATTTGGTTATTATAAAGGTAAGGTAATGATGCGTGTTGAGATGTATTGTAGTTTATTAGGATTCTAATTTCTGTTTAATGTATGTATGTATAAGATACAGACACTGATATTTACTATACCACGAGATTAACCTTCCTGCTAGAAATACTGCACGATAGGAAATACTACATTGAAATATCATCAATATACAGGTGCTGATTGTAAAATTAGAAAATCGTGAAAAATGTGATTTATTTCAGTAATTCCACTCAAAAACTGACACTTAGTTATTATATATATTCATTCATTACACGCAGACTGATTATTTCTTTAATTTTGATGATTATAATTTACAACTAATAAAAATCCCAAATTCAGTATCTCAGAATATTAGAATATTGTGTTAAGGTTCAATAATGAAGACCCCTGGTGCCACACTCTAATCAGCAAATTAACTTAAAACACCTGTAAAAGCCTTTAAATGGTCTCTCAGTCTAGTTCTGTAGGATACACAATCATGGAGAAGACTGATGACTTGATAGTTGTCCAAAAGATGACCAGTGAGACATTGCACAAGGAGGGCAAGACACAGAAGGTCGTTGCTAAAGAGGCTGGCTATTCAGAGCTCTGTGTTCAAGCACATTAAGAGAGGTGAAGGGAAGGATGAGATGTGGTAGAAAACGTACAAGGATTAAGGATAACTGCACCCTGGAGAGGATTGTGAAACAAAACTCGTTCAGAAATGTGGGGGAGAGTCACAAAAAGTGGACTGCAGTTTGAGTCAGTGCTTCAAGAACCACCACCACAGATGTTTGCAAGACATGGTTTCAGCTGTCGAACTCCTTGAACAACAGACTGCATTAGAAGTGTCTCGCCTGGGCTAAAGACAAAAAGGACTGGACTGCTGCTGAGTTGTCCAAAGTTATGTTCTCTGATGAAAGTCAATTTTGAATTTCCTTTGGAAATGAAGGTTCCAGAGTCTGGAGGAAGAGAGGAGAGGCGCAGAATCCATGTTGCTTGAGGTCCAGTGTAAAGTTTCTAGTCATTGATGTTTTGGGGTGTCATGTCATCTGCTGGTGTTGGTCCATTGTGTTTTCTGAGGTCCAAGGTCAACACAGCCATCTACCAGGAAGTTTTAGAGCACTTTATGATTCCTGTTGCTGACCAACTTTATGGAGATGCAAATTTGATTTTCCAGCAGGATTTGGCACCTGCACAAAGTGTGAAAGCTACCACTGCCTGGTTTCAGGACCATGATATCCCTTAACTTGAATAGCCAACAAACTCATCTGACCTTAACCACATAGAAATTCTATGGGCTATTGTGAAGAGGAAGGTGCAATACACCAGACCCAATAATTCAGAAGAGCTGAAGGCCCATATCAGAAACATGGGCTCTCATAACACCTGAGCTGTGCCACAGACTGATCGACTTCATGCCACGCCACGTTCCTGCATTAATCCAGGCCAAAGAAGCCCCAACCAACTAAATACTGAGTACTGTACATGCTCATACTCTTCATGTTCACACTCTTCAGTTGGCCAACATTTCTAAAATTCCTTCTTTTGCAATAGTCTTAAATGTTATTCTAACTTTATGAGATACATAATTTGGGATTCTCATCAATTGTCAGTTATTATCGTCAATGTTAATTAACCTTTGGGATATATTAGTCTGTGTGTAATGAATGAATCTAATATCCAAGTTTCAATTTTTAAATGGATTTACTGAAATAAATCTACTTTTTCATGATATTCTAATTGTATGACCAGCACCTGTGTTTTATTTGTTCATATAAAATATGTTTTTTGTCCAATATTTTATTATATTAAACCAAGCGTATCAAATTATGCAATCATGCAACAATTTCTTCCTGTGTTAAAAATGTTGTCCATTGTCTTTGACTTGATTTTCTCCTTTCTGGTTGATCACAAAGACATTTTTTTAAGCTAACATACTGATATATGTGAATTTCATCTAGAAGCGTTTCAGATTGCTCAACTGTTTCAAAAAGAATACTTTATTCTTTTTTATTTCTGTTTAGATCTTTAAAACATTAAATCAACATGATGTTGCCCTCATGTGGGTCACTTTAGGGCTGTCTACTGCTCACACTGGAGTCTGATGGTAGGCAATGTTATTATATGTAAAACATCTTCATTAAAAAAGAGACTTTTTGAACATTGTTGTTTTTTTTTTTTTACACAACACCTCCTTTAGACGCATTTTTCAAAAATGTAGTGTGGGTAGAATGAGACTTGTGGTGGGGTGACTCGCTCTTTAAATACGTGGACTTTAATTTTGTAGCACTTTGAAAGGTTTAAAACCACAAAGTGCTTAAAAAATAACAAATAGTACAAGCATTCACTAAATGCAGGAAAAAATGAAGGGTGTAGAAGCTAAATAAAACTGATAAAAACAAAAAACATACAGCCCAGTTAAGTGCAAGTCAAATTAAATAAAGGTAGATTTCTGTATTATAAAATACATGTACCAATTTCTTATCATATTTATGTACATCAGCCAATTCCAAACTACTTCAATTATTATTATTTGTTTTCACTGAAATAGGGAGAGTTGGCTGGGGAGAGGGAAGTCTGGGCCTCTCTGCCTCCATGACCCGACCCTGGATAAACTGACGAGGTGGGAGAGATGGATGGATGTTTATTTAACACCTCACTACAATTCTGTTATGTCCCAGCCTGTTTAAGGGCTTCTACCATCAGGCCTATCACATAAAGGCCTAAAATCTCAGAACTCAACTGATACAGACCTGGGGTCTCATTTATCAAACAATGCATAGAATCCTTACTAAAACCATACTTAAGCTCAGCAAAACAAATGTACTTACGCCAAGTAGGTTTGTGATCTATCAAACATGGAGTATGCTCAGCTGCACGCAATCACGAGAAAGTTTCTCAGCTGCATTTTAGTCACATCCCACCCTCACCACGCCCACTTACTGCCATAAATAGTCAATGCAAAGTGCCTTGTGGATCTTATGCATATACTTAAGCCGGTTGTTGCAGCACTCCGCCAATGACGATGGCAACCGTAGATCAAGGCAGATCAACGAAGCTCAATTTCACAGAAGCAGAGAATTGAAAGGAAGTACTTTTGCAAAACAAATAAGAGAAAATCCACAGAGTGACACAGCATTGCTGAAGCAGTCAATGTTGTGAGCTCTTCAGAGAGATCTGTGGCGGATATAAAAAAAAATGGTCCAAGCTGGATTTGATCCCCAGACTCCCAAGTGAAAGTCACACACACTAACCAGTCAGCCAAACAGGGATCTCTCCTGTTCAAGTAGCCAGGGCGTATGATCAAATGGGTCACAGTGACAGGACACACTGTCACAGACGCGTGACATTCTGTCTCAATCTGTCCCCTTGCTGATATTCTGCATTCCGTATTCTGCGCTTCAGGCTGTGTGTGTGTGTGTGTGTGTGTGTGTGTGTGTGTGTGTGTGTGTGTGTGTGTGTGTGTGCGTGTGCGTGTGGGGGTCTTGTTCTGTGTGAAAACGAAGCGGTACAAGTGATAATGCTGCAGGATTTCATAATTGTATCCTTCTCAGCAGCAGCACTGCAGGTGCTCTCCATGTCCAAAATGTGTGTAAGCCAGGTCCTTAGTCAACTTAAAGTTGCGCACATTTTTCCACTAAGTTTTCTTTCATGAATCCCAAAGTTTGCGTGAAAAGTTGCTTATGCAGTTTTCCGACCCCGTTTTGTGTGTAAGCAAGCTTGATAAATGAGGCCCCTGCTAACTTCAGGTCTGTAGTCCTCCAAGCTACTGATGCTTTCACATTTAAATTCAATCACAGATTCCCTAGTGAGTGTTTCTCAACCCTGTTCCTAAAGGCACGCTGTCCTGCATGTTGCCTTTTTAAACACCAGTGTTTCTCTGATGCCATACACCTGACTTGAATGAGTGAGTGATTAACAGGCATCTGCAGCACTTGATGTCTTCCTGAGGCAAACTGTTTGGTGAGTAGGCAAACTGCTTGGTGTTAATTCTTACGGTGAAAACATAACGCAGCGCCGAACTTGGCGTGGCTATATCAGCCGGCCCAGTGGCACCGGACCCGGCGTGGTTACATCGGCCCAACCCAGCGGCACCGGGCCCCGCATGGTTCCATCCACCTGGGCCGGCAGCGCCGAACCCAGCGTGGTTACACCGGCCCAGCCCAGTGGTACCGAGCCTGGCATGGTTCTATCGGCCCAGCCCAGCGGCGGCACAGAGCCTGAAGTGGTTCCATCGGCCCAGCCCAGCGGCACCGAGCCTGACGTGGTTCCATCGGCCCGGCCCAGCGGTACCGAGCCCGGCGCGGTTCCATTGGCCCGGCCCAGCAGCACCGAACCCGACACAGTTCCGCCGACGGGGCCTAGCAACACCGACTCCGAAGGGGTCCTGCTGAGCCAGGCCCAACAACATTCATCGCGTCGCGGTGAGCACGGGACCAGAGGACGACAGTTGCAGATGAGTGGAAGAGATGCCAGGAGGAAGAGCCGGTGGACGAGGTAAAGAAATGGCCACAGAAGACCTGGAGGAGATCAAAAAATCTCTGAACTTTGTGTCAGGTGAACTGTCAAAAGTAACATCACAGCAGGATTGATTATTGAGACTGATGGAGGAGGTGAAAGAGCTTAAAATACTGTTAACTGAAAAAGATAAGAAGATTTGGGCCTTAGAGCAATGACTTGATGAACTTGAACAATACAGGTGCTGGCCAGTAAATTAGAATATCATCAAAAGGTTGAAGATATTTCAGTAATTCCATTCAAAACGTGAAACTTGTACATTATATTCATGCAATGCACACAGACCAATGTATTTCCAATGTTCATTACATTTAAATTTGATATTCATAAGTGACAACTAATGAAAACTCCAAATTTGGTATCTCAAAAAATTAGAATATTCTGAAAAGGCTGAATATAGAAGACACCTGCTGCCACTCTAATCAGCTGATTTACTCAAAACACCTGCAAAGGCCTTTAAAAGGTCCCTCAGTCTTGTTTTGAAGGCACCACAATCATGGGGAAGACTTCTGACTTAACAGCTGTCCAAAAGACAATCATTGACACCTTGCACAAGGAGGGCAAGACACAAAAGGTGATTGCTAAAGAAGCTGGCTGTTCGCAGAGCTCTGTGTCCAAGCACATTAACAGACAGGCGAAGGGACGGAAAAAATGTGGTAGAAAAAAGTGTACAAGCTCTAGGGATAACCGCACCCTGCAGAGAATTGTGACGACAAACCCATTCAAAAATGTGGGGGAGATCCACAAAGAGTGGACTGCAGCTGGAGTCAGCGCTTCAAGAACCACCACGAGGAGACTCATGAAAGACATGGGATTCAGGTGTCGCATTCCGTGTGTCAAGCCACTCTTGAACAAGAAACAGCGCAAGAAGCGTCTCGCCTGGGCCAAGGACAAAAAGGACTGGACTGATGCTGAGTGGTCCAAAGTTATGTTTTCTGATGAAAGCAAGTTCTGCATTTCCTTTGGAAATCAAGGACCCAGAGTCTGGAGGAAGAGAGGAGAAGCACAGAATCCACGTTGCATGAGGTCCAGTGTAAAGTTTCCACCGTCAGTGATGGTGTGGGGTGCCATGTCATCTGCCGGTGTTGGCCCACTCTGTTTCCTGAGGTCCAGGGTCAATGCAGCCGTCTACCAGGAAGTTTTAGAGCACTTCATGCTTCCTGCTGCTGACCAACTTTATGGGGATGCAGACTTCACCTTTCAACAGGACTTGGCACCTGCACACAGTGCCAAAACCACCAGCACCTGGTTCAAGGACCATGGTATCCCTGTCATTGATTGGCCCGCAAACTCGCCTGACCTTAACCCCATAGAAAATCTATGGGGTATTGTGAAGCGGAGGATGCAATACGCTAGACCCAACAATGCAGAGGAGCTGAAGACAACTATCAGAGCAACCTGGGCTCTCATAACACCTGAGCAGTGCCACAGACTGATCGAGTCCATGCCACGCCGCATTACTGCAGTTATTGAGGCAAAAGGAGCCCCGACTAAGTATTGAGTGCTATACATGCACATTCTTTTCATGTTCATTCTTTTCAGTTGGCCAACATTAGAGAAACAAACATTTTTTCATTGGCCTTTAGAATATTCTAATTTTCTGAGATACCAGATTTGATGTTTTCATTGGTTGTCACCTATAAATATCAAAATTAAACGTAATAAACATCGGAAATACATTGGTCTGTGTGCATTGCATGAATATAATGTACAAGTTTCACGTTTTGAATGGAATTACTGAAATATTTTCAACCTTTTGATGATATTCTAATTTACTGGCCAGCACCTGTATACAAGACGAGAGGATTTGGTGATGATGGGACTAGAAACCCGACACAGAAGCTATGCAAAAGCAGTAGCAAATCATGATGCAGCAGAAGAGGCTTCAGACAAAGAACTTGAGACACTAGAACAGCAAGTTGTTACTTTTCTGCACAGTAAGAACATAACTATTCAAAGAGATGCTATATCAATATGTCATGCACTGCCTAAAAAATTTGAGAAAGCTAAACCAACTATTATTGTAAGGTTTACCAGCAGAAAACAAAGAAACAGCGTTCTGTTACAAGCAAACAAGCTAAGAGGCACCAATGTGTATATAAATGAACATTTAACCAAAAAAATGGGACCGTAGCTAGAGGCACGGATGCTAAAAAAGCAGAAAAAAATTGTAGCTACATGGACAAGGAATGGTATTGCATGGATCAGAGAACAAGAAGGGTCACAGGCTGAGATAATAAAGGAGCTGGGAGAACTGGAAAAATTTAATAAACAGTGAAAGTTGGAAGAGGGATGTAGAATTAAGTAAAATCTCATATAGCATCACAGAAATGAAATACAAGTAAACCACAACACAAGCATATGGACATAACAACAAATACATATGAGGAACTAGAATACAAGATATATAACCCTGGAAAGGAACTAGAAAATAATTTGTACATACATATGAATAATAAATGTGAATATTTTAGTGAACAAGAACTAAGTGATTCAGTTTTGATAGAGGGTACACTCTCCATCATTCACTTCAATAGTAGAAGTTTGTATTGCAATTTCTTTAAAATATTGTATTATTTAACACAAAATAAAAAACCTTTTCAAATCATTGCTATAACAGAAACATGGTTAAAAGAAGGAGATGAGGAGGAGGTACAAATAGAGGGGTATGAAATGTACTTTATGAATCGGAATAATAAAAGAGGTGGTGGTGTAGCACTGTATGTATGTCACATTTTAAAAAGTAAAGTCATTCATAACATGTCAACAGCCATCCAAGATGTAATGGAAATGATCACTACTGAAATAATCTCTGAAAAGACAAAAAACATAATAAGTCGTATCTATAGAGCACCTGGATCTTGTGTAGAAACATGTACAAATACAATTACTGAGATGTTGAGTGGAATCTGTAACAAGGATGTATTTCTCTGTGGGGACTTTAATGTTGATCTGGAAAATGTAAAGTGGAATAGTGATGACCGATATCAGTGATCATCTGCCAATTTTCACAGTCTATAAAAATCACCAGATCAAAAATCAACAAAAAATGGAAAAACTTATAAGGGACAGGTCACAAAACGCTATAGATGCACTAAAAAGAGATCTGGAACAACAAAACTGGGAAGAAGTATGTGGTAAATGGCCTGTATTTAATATAGTGCCTTCTAGAGTCATGGAACCCCTCAAGGCGCTTTACAACCCAATCAGTCATTCACCCATTCACACACTGGTGGGGATGAGCTACGATGTAGCCACAGCTGCCCTGGGGCGCACTGACAGAGGCGAGGCTGCCGAGCACAGGCGCCACCGGTCCCGCCGACCACCACCAGCAGGCAACGTGGGTTAAGTGTCTGACACAAGGACATAACGACAGCGACAGACTGAGCGAGGCTCGAACCTGCAACCTTCCGATTACGGGGGGAGCACTTAACTCCTGTGCCACCGTCGACCCGTGTTGATGATGTAAACTTGGCTTACATTTCTTTTATAGGAATATTATGTAGTCAATATGACAAAAACTGTAAAACAAAAACTCAAACAAAGAGAGGGAGGATGAACAAATCATGGATGACAAAAGGGCTGCTGAATGCGTGTAAGAAAAAAAAACATTATGTAGATGTTTTTTAAAACGAAGAACAAGTGAAGCAGAAAGGAAATACAAAAAATATAAGAATTAATTAATGTCTACAATCAAAAGACAAAAAATGATTATTATAGCTATTTATTAGAAAAATAAACAAAAATAATATTAGCGCTACTTAGGGAATAATAAATAATGCCATAAAAAGAAATAAAATAGCTTCAACTGTTCCAAATTATTTTGAAAATGGAGAGTCTGAAATTAGTGAAACCAGTAAAATAGTAAATTAATTTAACTATTTTTTTTTACTAATGTTGGACCTGACTTGGCAAAAAACATTCCAAAAAGAACTAATTATAGTACAGGCGAGAATATCAAAAGTAATAAAAACAGTATATATTTAAGTCCAGTAAGTAGTGATGAAATAGGAAATATTATCAATAAATGCATCAATAAAAGAAGTACTGACTGTGATGGTTCAGACATAACATTAATAAAAAAAAATATAATAGAAAGTATTATTCATCTATTGACTTACATGTGTAATTTATCTTTTGCAACAGGGACATTTCCTAACAGGATGAAAATTGCAAAAGTCATACCACTTCATAAAAGTGGAGACAAACATATCTTTTCCAACTATGGACCAATATCTTTATCGTCACAATTCTCAAAAATACTAGAAAAATTATATATTGCTAGGATGGACCGATTCCTGATCAAAGAAGAGATATTAAATGACAGTCAGTATGGTTTTAGAACAAATCATTCAACATCCATGGCATTAATGGAATTAACAGAAGAAATATCGTAAGCCATTGACAAAGAAAACTCATCTCATAAGTATATTTATTGATTTAAAAAGAGCATTCGATACAGTGGATCATAAAATTCTAATTAAAAAACTTAGTAAATATGGCATCACAGGGATGGCCCTAAAATGGATATTATGTTATCTTACCGATAGGCAGCAATATGTTCAAATAAACAACACAAAATCACATATAAATAACATTACTTGTGGTGTACCACAAGGGCCGGTATTGGGCCCTAAACTAATGACATTGTTGAGGTATCCAATATATTAAAATGCACCTTATTTGCAGATGATACAACTTTTTATTATTCAGGAGAAAATGTTGAGCAGATGATCGAAGTGATAAAAACTGAGATGAAAAAAATTAAACTATGGTTTGATGGGAACAAACTATCATTAAACAGCGATAAATCATGTTTTATGATATTTAGTAATACATATTCAAATGATTAAATTTTATTAAATATAAATGAGATTAATATAAAAAGAGTTAAAGAAGTCAAGCATCTGGGAGTCATCACTGTGAAAAAATGTTTTGGAAACTACATATAAACAGTGTCAAAACTAAAATATCTAAAACTATTGCACTGTTACATAGAGCAAAATGGTTACTTGATAATAATTCCTTATATTTGTTATATAACTCACTGATCATACCGTACCTGAACTACTGCATTGAAATCTGGGGAACAACATATAAAACTTACACAAATTCCATTTACATCTTACAGATAAAAGCAATAAGAATAATCACAAGGAGCAACTACAGAGATCCATCCAATCCATTATTTATAAAATTAAAAACACTAAAATTTTATGATCTGGTGGACTACAATATTTTAAAATGTATGTATATTGCAAACAAAAGGAACGTACCTGCAGGTTTAATCAAAAATATTTATAAAAAGACATAGTAAATATGATTTAAAAGGACATGAATTATTTAATATACCTAGACATAGGATACTCATAAAGGAACATTGTGTGTCCATATATGGAGTTAAATTGTGGAATAAATTAAATACTGAAATCAAGAATGCAAAAACAATATTGACTTTCAAAAAAGAGATAAAAAATGAAATGAGTAACTTATATAGATCTGTTACAGAAACGCGTGAGGGGAGGGGGGTTGGGGGATGAAAGAAAAAAAGGGAAAAGGAAACAAGTCTATGTATGCATATGTGTACATATGTATGTATATATGTATGTACATAACTTTATGATTCTTTCTGTGTAACTTGTTTTCTCTCTTTTTTTCAATTCATGGGTTGAGGTTGTGTCGGCCAGCCAGTCCAGAAACTATATCGTTCACATTTTTTAAGAAATTATTGTTTCATTTGTATTAATGTTATTTTAGTTAAAAGGGGGAGATTACATGTTTTTCTTCTTTCTGTCCCCTTTTTCATTTTGGCTTTTAGCTATTTAGTTCTGTATTTTTATTTTAATGTCAATAAATGAAAAAAAAGTTGAGAAAGAAAAAAAAGATCTGTCACATTTGGTCTCAAGTACCCAAGACAGCTTTGTTTATTATCTCTTTGACAGAAAATGGTATAAATGTTGTTTCTATATTTGATTCAGTAAAAAAGATCAAGAAACAAGGGTGGAGAGAAAAAATTAAACAAGATGGAAACATTTAACTAAGTTAGTTTTTTTAAAGAGAGTGGTTGGGTAGTTTTACATAACAAGATTAAAATACAATTAGAATCAGAATCAGAATCAGAATAGGTTTATTGCCATTGTCAGTGAACAAACAATTCACAAACTAGGAACTTGCTTCGGTACTAATGTGCTGCATATAACATGAATAATAATAAGATTAAAAATAGAATAAAATGTAATAAAAAAACTAGAGTAAAACTTTCAGCGATAAAAAATGGCAGGTAATGGTAACCAATGGTAATTGGTAACAATTATTAATGTTATATGCATTATTCACAATTGTGTAAGAAAATAGTCATGTACATGTCAGTAATACTTACAAAAAACAGAAAGGGGGGGAAAAACAGAGAATCCATTTCTGAAGAAACTCACATCCCTACAGGGATCAGTGACAAGTCAATAGTGAGCCACTAGAGGGCGGTGTTGTTATAACTTTCACAAAACCATCCTCAAGGAGGCAAATGAGCATGACTGATGGTATTCTTCTAACCAATTCACCTTTGATCTAGAGACAAAAGCACAAGATGTTGCATAGATTAAAGCAGAGCTACATTATAGATGTAACTAATCAGAGTTTGCATTCAGTCATGAGGAACAAAAATAAAGTGTCTGTTTATTGAAAATCTAGGTGTACTAATAAAAGCACTTGTTGAATTAGATCCGTTTTCATGACAAAAAAAAACATCTTGAAGAAAAATCTAGTTTTGATTTACTAACCGCATTTTGAAGCATCTCCATGTTGTTTTCCAGAGGTAATGAGGTAGCGATATTCATTTTTAGATAAAAAGCATGATCTAGAAGCACAGGACACCAACATTAGTATGCATGTGTTCATACTATAAGGTAAATTCAGCTTATTTCTGAGAATTACACAGCAGACTGAAACATGAACAGATAAGAAGCAGTATAAGAAGCAAGGCTCCACTCACATTTAATTACTGTCACAACGACACAACGAAGCTCAGACTCAAAAACGGAGCTGTTGAAGCTGTAGAAATAATTCAAAACAGCAGATTCATTAATGAAACAAGTAGAAGTAGATTTTAAAAGTACTTAAATCCTGTTTTCAATATTTTAAAGTATCAGACGTCCACCTTAAGCTTACCATAGAAATGCTATCTAACATTAACAAATGTTTGACTTGGGAATATTTGCATCCCTTTCAAGTAACTTTTGTAAACTCCCTTGTTCTGCTGAGGGATGGTCTCTTCTGTGCTTGTCATGGATTGTCTCTAACCAACACCATGTTCAAGCATAAAGGTGTCCACATGTGCTCGAGACACCAGGATAACTTAAGCTGCAGCTCAGTGATGGACTGTGTTGCTGTCTGATCTGATCTGCTTCCACATGTTTTGGACACTCAGATGAAGAGAGCGGTGGATTCTGCTCATAACGTTTATGGGCAGGTTGTCTATGCACAAAGTGCTGCAGGGACCCACTTGGTGGCCTCAGGTCTCTGCTTTTTGCAGATGGTGTGGTCCTATTGGCTTTGTCAGACCATGATCTTTAACTTTCGATAGAGCAAACAATGTGGTCTGGAGCTGGAGAAGGGTAGAGTACGTTCTCTGGGTCAGGGACAAGGTCCTGTCCCACGTGGAGCTGTTTAAGTGTCTCGGGGTCTTGTACGTGATTGAGGAAAAAAATGGAGTGGGAGATCGTTGGACGGACTTGTGCTGCACACGCTGTATCGGTTTGTCATCGTGGAGAAAAGAGCTGAGTGAAGCTTGATCTACATACCAAACCTCATCGATGGTTTGTGTTGTGACCTTATGAACGAGTGTGTGGATTTCAGGAGGGGCTAGGAGTAGAGCCTCTGCTCCTTCACATCCCTTTTGAATATAGCTCCTTTTGTTTGTATATAGTATTGATTTTAGGTTCGTTGTAAATATTCCCTTCGTTTTTGTAATAAAATTATTGGTTTTAAAGTGACACAACACTCTGATTATTTCACCCACACACTACTTTTATTACTCCCCTCCTCATCTCTCCTAGAGAGCCGGGGACGTAACTCACACACACACACACACACACACACACACACACACACACACACACACACACACACACACATACACACACACACACACACACACACACACACACACACACACACACACACACACTGGATTTTCATCACAGTTGAGTTTATTTTAGTAAGTAAGCAGTTTTTTTATGTCAAAGCAATGTGATGTTGATCAGATGAGGCACTGACCTCGCTGTGACGACGAAACAGATGGGATGGCTTTCTCCAACCTGAGTGAGGGAGGGTGTCCATCTCAGGGTGAAGATTCCTGATCCTGATGTGCTCTTGATCACATTGTAGGGCCCACTAAACACGATTCCAGTGATCCTTAAACAAACAGGATGCAAAACTAGTTAGTTGGATGATTTATCCTAAAGTTCACCATCCTACACACAAAACCTTTGTTCCATTTATGATGACTTGTTCTTAAACGTTTATACCAGGGGTGTCAAACTCATTTTAGCTCAGGGGCCACATTGAGGGAAATCTAGTCCCAAGTGGGCCGGACCGGTAAATAAAATAAAAAACTTCAGATTGTTTTCTTTGTTTTAATACAATCAATACAAAACAAGGCTGGAGCCTGAGGACAGTGTAGTACAAGTACAACACCTGAAGTGTACTTGAAATTTTGAAAAAAATTAAGAAATCAACAAATTAAAAAAACATTCCTTAGTGATTCAAAGAGCTTACAGATCCCATGGCTGGATCAGTTTCATGCAGCACTTAAAGTATATTTGACTCATTTTACTTTACATCTTTTAGCTTTCACCAGCACATCAATATCAGAAGTCACATCCTGAGTGGCGGCCAACTTCAGGATGTGATTCAAGTTCTTGTGTGAGCCTTGAGCTCAGCTTTGTTTTATTTATACTCATTACAGAAAAAACTTGCTCACAATGATAAGTTTATTTTCACTCTACATTGTAAAGTATGAAAATAAAGTTTACACAACCATCTCGTGGGCCGGATTTAACCCGCTTGCGGGCCGGATACGGCCCACGGGCCGCATCTTTGACACCCCTGGTTTATACGATGAAACGTGTTTTACAAGACTACAGTTGGTCATTTTCTGTTGGGAGTAAAAAAAGATTCAAGGTAAAGCTTTTCTTAGACAAACAAAAATGTGTTTATTTCATTTTAGATGTAAATTAAGTATTAGGCTAATCATTTGTCCCTTTTGATTAACTTCTTTGTTCCTCTTACACAGACTGCGTTGCCTCTGCTTTGATGGGGATCATCACTGTCTGATTAACAACAGTGACGATGTGAATGCCGTTGTCTGGAGTTGGTGGCAGGAATCTGGGCAGATAGAGGCCTTCAGCGCAGGATGGGGCAGCAGGGTCAACTAAAAATAAAAGATTTATTTTTGTTTAGATCTTCATTTACACAAGAAACTCAAGTGGGATGCTTTAATCAGATTATGCATCAAACTATTAACACACATTTTATTTGTACACAAACACTTTGTGCAACTTTATTTACTCACTGTTTTATAATTTAAAGGTGCAGTATGTAAGAATATAGTGAGAATTTTACAGCAAGAAAATCCCAAAAGAGTCTAACGTTTCAGTCGTTCTGGAAGGAAGGCTACACTGAAACATATTTCACATCCAGCCGGCTGTGGGCATTGTCAGTTATTTTCCTTTCAAAACAAAGGAAGGAAGGACGTAACGGTTTACCATCGGTGTGGGGGTGCCGCGTCTCTTGTGAGCTAATACTGCAGCGACAACATTTGTAATTTAACGACGGCCGGCAAAACGCTCCAGTTGTTTAGAGTGGTCGCAGTAACCACATTTTACCACAGGGAGTTATTTTTACTTCATTTCTACAAAATGCACCTTTAAGATTTTCTCCTTGTGTGTTTTTTAAACAGGACAAAATAAAATTGAAATGTAGAACCCTACCTGTCAAAATAAACTGAATGGGAATGCCGGTAATAGGGCTGCTGGTAGTTCTCACCACCTTTCCACCTACACTGTCGGTCAGAGTCATGGTCTGTCTGGGAAAGTCCTCCATCGTCAGCTGGACTGCATATGGACCTTCATTACTGCTGTTAGTTGGACTGAATGACAGAGTGCAAGACTGAAAAATGACAGAAACGAGACAAATTGTAGAATCAGATCAGAAGGGGTTTTAACCCTTGAACGTTTGGTCATGTTAACTCATTCATTGACAGGTCAGGCTTGGGAACGAGTCCCCGCACCGTGAGAGGAAACATCACAGCTCTGAAGCTGATCTTCACTCGCGTGTGTCACATGTCACATGATCAGGAAGCAGAAAATCCATGAATTAGAAGATCAGTTTGGACTGCTGCTGTGAAAAATGCTAGGCGCTAACCAGGAGTGTTCTGACCAGGAAACGGCTGGCAGTGAATGACTTAACGTTATCTCAGTTTGTATGTTTTTGACTTTGACATGCATTTGACAAACTGATGAAAAACATACACCATTTAATTGGAGAATGTATTTCCAATGTGAATACATTTTGCTCCTCTAGATGTGGAGGAGAAGCAGATCTACTCTCAGCCCCTCCTGGATAACCGAGCTTCTCACCCTGTCTCTATGGGAGAGTCCAGCCACCCTGTGGAGAAAACTCATTTTGGCCTCTTGTATCCGCGATCTCACTCTTTCGGTCACTACCCAAAGATTGTGACCGTAGGTGAGGATAGGAACGTAGATCAATTGATTCATTCGGAGCTTCCAGCTCTCTCTTCACCCTGACAGACCGGTACAATGCCCACATCGCCGTACATGCAGCACCAATCCGCCTGTCGATCTCCTGATCCATCCTTCCCTCATTTGTGAACAAGGGTAGCTACTGGTACTATGCCGTGATTAGCTGTATTTCTCAGTTTTGTTTTGTTTTTGCAGTAAATATGATTACGGTTAATTAAATACGGTAAAATCTGGTCTAATTTAAAAATAGAATTCCTTAGTATTACATTTTTCCTCAAAATTCTGAGAATAGTTAATGAAGGCTTCAATTTAATTCCCTCCATATTTCATCAGCATGAACCTAATTACTGGGAAACCCGTTTTAGACCAACAGGTTTTATTCACACCAGACTCCGCTCCGTGACACAAAAAATGACCCTGAAAAACATCACAGACTCTCCCTGAACATTTTAACCAACAAATCTTTATTCTAGCAGCATTTTCTTCATCACACCCATCTGTCCTCTGTGCCTGCTGACGCTTCTGCTTTGGTGGTTCGGGTGAGCGCTCCACGCGCTCCAGACCTAAGTTCAAGTCCCGCCTCCAACTTTGACAGCTACACAAAGCCTTCTCTACACCATTTACGCAAGATTTAAACTTGAAACGGGAGACTGTCAATAATGAGAGACATAATGTGTGATTATGTGTGAAAATTAATGAAAATGAGGGACATCTGGTCACCCTAACTACAGCGGCTAGTCAGGGTTATTTGCCCAGAAGTCGGACCTAAAAGAATAATCTACAAATTCCAACTATAAATCATTCTGGAGCAGGGAGAACCGCTCATCGCATGGCTAATGGTGTTGGCTCAGGTACGGATAAGAAAGTCATGCAGGTAAGATACAGCACACACATTGAGGTTCGGTCTATGAGAGTGATCCACATATACTACGGATCATTCTGGTAAGTTATCGGTTTCGTTTTTCGGTTAAATCATTGTGTACAGGCAGCTGTAAAACTGTCAGAAAATAGTTAAATTTTTCTGTAGATTAATGATTTATACTGGGAGAGCCCGATGCGGCTGAGGCTCTGAATGCTATGTTAGCTAGTAGCACAGAAAAACATAACAAGTGCACAATAAAAGTACTTAAATGGTACCGATTTTGGTTCTAAAAGCATTCACCATCCTTCCATGCTGGCTTTGCCATCAGCACCTAGATCGACTTGCAAGCATTCTGAGTCTTGAAAATGTTGTTTCCCATCCATCCATTATCTGTGACCGCTTGTCCACACAGGGTCATGGGCGCTGTGGTTCAGCCTCACGAAGACTGACATTTGGTGCTCCAGTTAAAATGCAACTACTGGTCTGTGTAAGATGGTTACCTGTAGACTTCAATGCTAAGACTTCCATCTTGTTCAATTTGCATTTTGACTCACAACACCCACTGGAGCACAAGACGTCAGTCATCAGGACTTTACACCATTGGACCGAGAACATCTTCGGTATGTTCTTGCTGTGTCTAGTTTCTAATTCCATTTTTGTTTTGTTTTTTTTAAACACAGAAAAGTTTTTTTTTTTTTACCTTGCTGACAGTTTCGTTTGCCAACTGCAAAACTTCCTCAGAGCTGACGCTGGTGGTGGCGCCACTTGCTACTCCGTTTATCCACGGGCAGCAGAGGACGTTGTCGCCCTCTGCTGCCCGTGGATGTGTAATGTGTAAACCCCATCGTCTCTGTTCACGGTCCCGTATCCATGTCTCCTTATCTCTATGGCTTCCTTTATCCATCAAAAGATGTCAGCAAGGTAAAAAAAAAAAAAAAAAAAAACCCTTTTCTGTGTTTTAAAAAAGAACCAAAAATGGGACCGAGAACATTCCCAGAAAGACTGAAGGAAAACAAAAGTAAGAAAAACACATTAAGAAAGCTCTCCGAAACTGCAGAAAGCCTAAATGGGCCTTTGTGAAATCTGCAGAGAAGTCTGGAAAAGCATCCAAAGCAGCAACCAGCAAAGAAACGGACAACAGATGCAAAGGCACCGTCATCCCATACGTGGCAGGAGTCTCAAAGAAAATTAGAAGAATCTTCTCCAACACAACATCCCGGTAAACTTTAAACCCAAGCCCTAACCCTAACCCTAACCAACACCATAAGGACAAGGGACACACCTTTGAAGATGAGGAAGTACGTATTCTGGACAGAGAAGATAGATGGTTTGAGAGAGGAGTAAAACAAGCTATCTATGTCAAACAAGAAAAACCCACTTTAAATAGGGGAGGGGCTTATTTCACCTTTCCAGTACCTGTTGACCCTTTGCACGTGACGTCACGCCACTCATGGGACCGCCCCGTTCGCCATGATGGACAGCAAAAAGACCGTTACACACGTTGAAACTCCAGTGAAGCTAGTCAAAACAAGCCTGTTTGTAGCCTTTTATCGCTTTTATTTAGTTGGTTTAACAGTAAAATGGTAACAACTTGCTACGTGGCTGGCTGCACCAACAGACAAGGATGTAAAGTCAACTTGGTTTTTTTTGTTTTGTTTTTTTCAAAAAACGTTGATCGCGACTTGAGGACGGAGATGAACTGCAGTGATCAATCAAACGGACTAGCAGCCCTCAGGTTCACAGCGAACGTGTTTTTACCGGGTAAAGTTAACGTTTATTTATTTCATGACGAAGACAGGGGCAGGGACAAATGTGATGCGTTCTTCTGATGGATGGATATCTCACCATGGAGGACGCGTGGTACCGTCCTCCATGGTGAAATGTGAGATAATTAATTACAATATTGCTCCAATGTATGAAAATGTGTGTTAAAATTACGTTATTTAGTACGAGCATCGCCGTTAAGAGAGATCTTGTCTCATGCCGGTGTGAGAGCAGCAGCTGAACACACGGTGACACCACCAGCAACAAAAACTAGTAGGGATCCGGACATTTTTTTAAATCAGCTTCGGTGTAAAGTGAAACACTGTTTATACCATAATGTTATAAATCCAAATACTTTTCCCTTTGTTTAGTACTCGTGTCGCTCACTGTTTACATGGTTTTGCCATCCAGTATGGCGGACCCACGTGATTAAGTGACGTAGGTGCAAAGGGTCAGTAAGGCAGCTTTGGATCTCATTTCTAAGCAGTTTCAGTCTAGGTCACACCTTCCTGCATCTGATCAAGATGGCAACTCCCTCACAATATAGGCTAACAACTCATCAGAGGATACAGAGGAGGGGTACTCAAAGTAGTTTCGGCTAGTTAAATAACAACAGACAGCTGCAGCTTATAAGCTTGACTCTCCTATATTCCCGTTAGAATTGACAAAACTCCTCAGATGAGAAGAGAAACGTCTTCAAGAAACCAAAGAAGTCCAGTTACTTTCATTTGAACCCTTTTGATAAAATTCTGATTGTCCCTATCAGGGTATTGCACTCTTCAAGCTGGTTTTTGCGTGACCTTCATCACCACTCTCTCCTTATACTGCTCTTTCTACCAATTCCGCCTTTCCCAGGATTCACTGATTTCCCTCTTTCCTATTCACTTACTTCTCTTCTGGCGGGAGCCGGGATCAAACCTACAACCTTGAGATTCCTGGACAACCCGCTCTACCCTCTGAGCTACTGGCAATAAAGCAAAGCAGCAGTGTTAAACATCCAACAGCTTTCCAAATAAAAGACACATGCACGGTTTCAGTTGCTAAAAAGTGTTGCTACTTGTAAAACCTCCTGTTGAGATACAGAGCAGGAAATAAACCATAGACCTTTTGGATACTGGCTGCAGTCTTTACTTGTTATTGCATGAACTGCCAAATTTATGCATGCTCTTGCAATTCTCAGGGGATTTTATGACCTCGCAGAACTAGCTGCATTCGCTGCAGATTCGCTCCTGAAATGGTCCTGGTGGTTAAGGGACGCGCCACTGAATGCACATATTGTGTTACACACAGCTATTGCTGAAAGCCTGGGTTACAGATTTACTCTCAAAAGTAAAATCTCACTCTATCTACTTTATTGTGCCAACTTGTGTCATGTGACCCGTGGCCAACAATTGTTACTCACTGAAAAGAGGCTGAGAACAAGCGGTGGTGTGCAGATGCTGCACTCGTGACGTGAAGCAGCTGCATATCTACATCTAACCGCATCTCCATCAGGGTCAAAGGTCAACAGGCTGATATTCCTCTGACAGTTTGAAGGAACTCTGAAAAAGAAGGAAAACTTAACCCACAGTTTTAGATTCATCTATAAAAAATCCCATGAATAACAAAACAGGAGTTATTGTCAAATTGACGGCTCAGACTGATGCATCTGCATCTGTTTCATAGATCTTGTGTTTCTATTACAAAGTGAAGCTGATCCACAGTGACAAAAGTTGAGTTTTGTTTATAAGGATGAGAAAACAATATCTGAAACATCAGGGTAATCTGAATACTTTACAGCCATTATTAAAAACGCGAGGTTCTAATTAAATTCAACATGTATTTGGAAAACAAACAAACTGACCTCAGTGTTGGGAGAATCGTGGTTTGTGGTGATGAGTTGGGTTTACTGATGTCTGACCGGTTCCTCAGTTCAAGAGTCAGTAAAGATGTCCAAGACAAAATGCCATTTTTGTTATCCGTCCAGTTTCTATCACTCCACCTAGAATAGGAGTTACTATTTCAGATTCTAGTGTTCTGATTTCAAATCGACCATCTGAAAGATGTCTGAAAATATGACGTATTTTTCTTTTCTCCAGAGACAAAAAGTAATTAGTCACGCTTCAAAGACATAAACAACAAAAATGAACTATTATGATGCAGTGCTGAGGTAGACTCACATGGTGGAGGATGAGGAGAAACTGGCATTGTTGATTTTCGATATTCGTTCAGTCTGACACCCGCCATCACTGAAATGATCAACACGTTGTATATTTTTCCAATAGCTACAGTCGCCACCACAAAACCACGAATCAAACTCTCGACACGAAGCAAAGCTAAATCTTTCACAACGGACCACCTGTGGATTTGAAGGGAGGAGACGTTAACATTTTGACGTGATTCATGTAGAGCACATTTTGGTCTTTATCTTAATAAAGTATGCACAAAATCTACAGGTAAAAGCTGCACTTTTAGAGAAAATGCAACAAAAAGGTACAAATTTTAAAGATGGAAAATGTCTATTGCTTTTTTCTTGGTTAACACATTAAATAGTCAAGTAAAAATCTACATCAACTCACCTGGTATCCGGCTCCTTGGAAGAGTTTAGTAGTGTAGCTAAACACATAGCCATAGAAACTCGCTTCAGTCGTGCTGACCAGCTGCAGCAGCAGAACAGAGAGCAACATGGTGCATGAGGGCGTCTTCACATCAAAGACTGAGTTATCAGAGACAGGAGTGTTTAATCAGCTACACAACCTTTAAGCCACACCCTCTTTTTTTTATTCTCTGTTCTACCCACAGATATCCAGGTCCAGATTCACCAGTAACGCACTACACACACACTTTGTTCAAATTTGAATAAACTATTATGCCGCTTTTGGAGAAAATTCTGTCTGTCTGTCACCTAATCAAATAAGACGGGTCGTTGTTCATTAGAACTAAATGCCACCAATAAATGGGTTCCACAAAAATAAACAATCAATAATGAACTAGAGTCTGCTTCTAGACCTGCAGAAAGAGAAAAACGAACCAAAAAAAAATGGGGGGACACACAACAATACAACTAGAGCAAGCTATCACTGCGTCAACCTGATGAGGAAATACAAAATCAACATTGTTTCACTGAACAATCACATGATAATGACTCAGTGCATTTAGTGCCAACCACAGCCTTAAGACATGTGTTGAAAATGCCCAAGTCCATAATTATGAGAGCACCATGTGAGCACCTGTGTGTGTACACGCGCTTATTTATGTAAGGTCAGCGACCCGGGACCCAGGGGCGACCACCCCCGCTGGGAACCCAACAGAGTCCAGGGACTCAGACCCCGCTAGGCAGCCAACGGGATTAATCAGACAGACTCCAAAAATCTTAAACCCCCTGACCCGCGAGCCGCCAATACTCAGACAGACCAAGGCACCACACTCAATACAAAATGTGGCAGGGGGAGGGCAGGTGAAGATGTGTAGTAGTAAAATAAGTTCGAGGAGAGGGGAGGAGTCCAAGACCCCACCTGACATTTACAGCCATACACAGACACAGTCACACACTCCCTCCCTCATGCTCACACATACACATACAACCTAAGATTTACACAAATGAACGCTAGACACCCACTCATGCTCCCCATACACACCCTATTCACTCTGGTCCCGGTACTGCTGCACAAAGGGTAGAACCATCACCGGTTCCCAGAGTGTCAGCTTCCAGAGGCTGAGCTCTGGAAGCTGACACTCAAATGAAACCGGGAAGAAGATCTTAGAGATTTGCCACTGACACAAAGAGTCAACAAACTGGCCAAACCATAAAGAGCTTTAAAAACAAACAAGAGCTCGAGAAGCAGTCAGGCAGCCAGTGGAAGGCAAATAAGAAGAGACGGATGTGCTCGTGTGATGGACTGACACAAGGGTAGCATCATCAGGAACTTCATGCAACAGGTAAGTTCAAATTAATTCAAATTAATCTGCATTTGCAAGTGAAAAGCAGCTGGTAAAAGTGAGCACTTGCTTTCAAATGTTTTTGACTGGCAAATGATGAACATGTATGAGTTTCAAAAAAGCGCGGTGACCTTGTGTCAGCATGAAGAGCTGACTTTATTCCAAAGATTTCAGTCACCAAAGAGAGAGAAAAACAAAATAAGCAAACTGACATTAAACGTTCTAACACACATCCCATTATATAACCTAACCCTAACCCTTCATTTACAATTCAATGAAAAAGATGGACACTTCCTTGAAAGGCAAACTGAATGTAAATGGTATTGTAATCACTGGATGTGATTAGTATAATACTGATTTGTTTGCCAAGAAAAGTCATAAGAATTTAGAATAACTTTTACTTTAGTGGTGAAGTTTTGTTTTGAGTATGTCATTTGCACGCGTGTGTGTGCACGCATGTGTGTGTGTGTGCGTGCATGCGTGTGTGTCCGCTCTGTCTTCTCGATCCCCAGTGAGTCATGGCAGATGGCTGCTTATAATGAGCCAGGATCCTCTGGAGGTTTCTTCCTGCTAAAAGGGAGTTTTCCTCTCCACTGTCGCTAAATGCTTGCGTAGTATGAGGATTGCTCTAAAGCAGGGGTGTCAAATATGCGGCCCGCGGGCCGGATCTGGCCCGCAAGCGGGTTAAATCTGGCCCGCGGGATGGTTGTGTAAACTTTATGTTCATACTTTACAATGTAGAGTGAAAATAAACTTATCCTTGTGAGCGAGTTTTCTCTGTAATGAGTATAAATAAAACAAAGCTGCGCTCAAGGCTCACACAAGAACTTGAATCACATCCTGAAGTTGGCCGCCACTCAGGATGTGACTTCTGATATTGATGTGCTGGTGAAAGCTAAAAGATGTAAAGTAAAATGAGTCAAATATACTTTAAGTGCTGTATGAAACTGATCTAGCCATGGGATCTGTAAGCTCTTTGAATCACTAAGGAATGTTTGTTTAATTTGTTGATTTTTTTATTTTTTTCAATTTTTCAAGTACACTTCAGGTGTTGTACTTGTACTACACTGTCCTCAGGCTCCAGCCTTGTTTTATATTGATTGTATTAAAACAAAGAAAACAATCTGAAGTTTTTTTTTTTTTACTTTACCGGTCCGGCCCACTTGGGACTAGATTTCCCTCAATGTGGCCCCTGAACTAAAATGAGTTTGACACCCCTGCTCTAAACCATCACAGTCAGTACTTCTTTTATTGATGCATTTATTGATAATATTTCCTATTTCATCACTACTTACTGGACTTAAATATATACTGTTTTTATTGCTTTTGATATTCTCGCCTGTACTATAATTAGTTCTTTTTGGAATGTTTTTTGCCAAGTCAGGTCCCACATTAGTTTAAAAAAATGGTTAAATTCATTTTTTATTTTACTGGTTTCACTAATTTCGGACTGTCCGTTTTCAAAATAATTTGGAACAGTTGAAGCTATTTTATTTCTTTTTATGGCATTATTTATTATTCCCCAAGTAGCTCTAATATTATTTTTGTTTATTTTTCTAATAAATTGCTATAATATTCCTTTTTTTGTCTTTTGATTATAGACACTAATTAATTCTTATATTTTTTGCATTTCCTTTCTGCTTCACTTGTTCTTCGTTTTAAAAAACATCTACATAATGTTTTTTTTCTTACACGCATTCAGCAGCCCTTTTGTCATCCATGGTTTGTTCATCCTCCCTCTCTTTGTTTGAGTTTTTGTTTTACAGTTTTTGTCATATTGACTACATCATATTCCTATGAAAGAAATGTAAGCCAATTTTACATCATCAACATATACTTCATCCCAGTTTTGTTGTTCCAGATCTCTTTTTAGTGCATCTATAGCATTTTGTGACCTATCATCACTATTCTACTTCTCTCTATCCCCTCTGAAGCATTAGTAAATATATTATCTATAATTGTTGAGCTATGCGCGTCATTTCTTGTTGGTTTGGTTATGAGTGGAAACAGACCCAGTAGATACATTGAATTTATGAAGTCGTTTGCTGTCTTTGAATTGTTTACATTTTCCAGATCAACATTAAAGTCCCCACAGAGAAATGCATCCTTGTTACAGATTCCACTCAACATCTCAGTAATTGTATTTGTACATGTTTCTACACAAGATCCAGGTGCTCTATAGATACAACTTATCATTATGTTTTTTGTCTTTTCAGAGATTATTTCAATCGTGATCATTTCCATTTCATCTTGGATGACTGTTGACATGTTATGAATGACTTTACTTTTTAAAATGTGACATACATACAGTGCAACACCACCACCTCTTTTATTATTCCTATTCATCAAGTACATTTCATACCCCTCTATTTGTACCTCCTCCTCATCTCCTTCTTTTAACCATGTTTCTGTTATAGCAATGATTTGAAAAGGTTTTTTATTTTGTGTTAAATAATCCAATATTTTAAAGTAAACTGTCTCCTCCTCATGCTGACTCTGCTGCACAGTGTCTGCACATGAGCTGTGCATGCAATCTTCACACTGGCCAGAGGGGGCTTGTGAACTCTGGTGTGTGCTCCTCCAGGTGGGCCAAATCAGGCAATCAAGAGCTCACCACTAGTGGCTTCTTGATGCATCCAGCAGTCAATCAACCAGTGTGTGACAAAACTGAGATGGCAAGCCAGTTGGAGGTATGCACGGGAGTTGGGTGTAGGGGGGATTGACGTTGGTGGTATTGGGGGGGCGTTTGGTAGTCCGCCTTGGCGTTTGGGGGTCGTAAGGGTTGACTGGCACTTGCTGGAGATTAAGAACAAGTTGAGAGGTGTGATGAGTTGGGAGGTGGAGTTTTTGTAGTATGTGAATGATGGTTACGAACAGTATTTAAGGGTTTTTACGGATGGGTCTAAGGATCTTGGTCTTGGGAGTTCTGGGTTTGCGTTTGTGGTTCCAAGTTATGGCTATAGCGAGAGTTACAGGATGCAAGGGTTATTGTCCGTGTGTACAGTGGAAATGTTGGCATTATTATGGGCACTGGAATGGGTGGGGAGGAATATGCATAAGAATACATTAATTTGCTCTGATTCTAAATCGGTGTTGCAGAGTTTGGAGAGTAGGACTACAAGTCGTCCGGATATTTTGGACAGGATCCTGAAGCAGTATTCACAGATTGAACAACAAGGAAGATCAGTGATCCTTTGTATGGGGACCAAAGGTTGTGGGTGATGGAGAGGTTGGGTAGGGAAGGAGGAGCACTGACTGTGAGGTCTTTGTTCGTTAACATAGGCTTTCTTTGGGGATTCCTTAAAGATTCAGGTCTGAAAGATAGACTGTAAACTCTGATCCACACTCTGGAACAGTAGGGGCGGTGATGCACCTTTCAGTTGGTTACCGGCCGCCGTAAAACTCTAAGAAGAAGAATAATAAGAAGAAGAAGAACAATTCAGCTGTGAGGAGAACTTTGATCTTGACAGGCTATCGGTAAGCTCTTGGGGTGATTCACATGGACTTGTTTCTGAGCCAAGTTTTGTGGCAAACAAATGTGCTGGGAGGAAGTTTGTGCTCTTTCTTTAAGTTTATCAGAAAAATATGGGTTTCCATCCCAATTTATGGAAATTTAATATTTAAAAATGGTAACCCAAGATTCTTTGTTTAAATCCTGAAATTAGTGAATATATTTAGTTAAAATGTAAATAAGATTTTTTGAAAAAATCCTTAGTTAAAACCTTAATTAAAATGTTTAAAATACACAGGTTAAATACTGAAAATGTAACTGTGAAAGTAAAAATTTATAAGGTAGTAAAATCTGAGAAAAAAAAAACTTCTTGTTTAATTTAAAGACCAGAATGTTTAATCTTTGCTTTCATTGTGCAATTACCCACTTCTGGGATTAGCACCTAACATGGTTAAAGTATACTTTTACTTAGAACTTAAGCACTTCTATTTAAATTACAGATGTTGGTTGAAATGCTTTTTAGTTTGTGTTATCTGTAAAATGCATTTAGTTTTGTTTTCTGTGTGATCCTTAAAAAGTTCTATTTTTGTATTTAAAGGTTTTCACCTGATACT